TGCACTTTCTGCAGATCTACATCCTGGAATAAAACAATCTAATATAAGAAAACATTGTGTATCCACCACCTCACGTAGGGTATAATAAATTGAGTAGGCAATGCTAAAACAGATAAAATACTAACTGCCTGAATATCAGTGGCCAAGACTAAGAAGTCACATCGATAAAGAGATTATGTAATTAAAATGATTAAAAATTAACCTTCTGGAGCTTTTGCATATTTTCTCTGTTTCTAGCATCTGAATTTTTAATCTTGATTTTTAAATATATTTGAATGAGAGCATTTTCCACTTTTTCCTTGTCATCATCCGTAATTCTAAAAAAAACAAAATTATCATATTATGAAAATTAATGGCCTATCATATTTTAAGACTAATACATACTCGTTTCGCTAACTATATAAATCTTTGTCTAAAAATTTTACTTATTTCAGTTCGCTTATAATGACACTCGAATGTACATGCACTATAAAATTTCTGTCATGCATATCAGAAAAGGTTGAATTTTCGTGCAACATATAACATGACGCTGCTTCCTTCAGGTGCTTTTAATTACATTCATTTGAAACGATGAACTATATGCTTTAAACAACTAATCAAATATGGAACATGAATGTGAGACATAAGGCAATATGGGACCAGGTTTCTGATACAGTGAAGCATGGCAATTTTGAGGTTTTTTGAACTGTTTTGACTGTTAAAGTGTCAACCAGCCAAAAAGATATAAAATCCTCACAAAATTATTTTATTAAAGTAAATAAATGATTTACCGATTATTTTCCAATGCATGCTTTTTGTATTCTTTATGTTTCTGCTCCAAGGTTTCATTCTCGATAATATTATTTGCAATCAACTGCATAAAAATGTAATTGATGTCAACAAAGTCGTCGTTTCTCAAATATACCAGTAATTTACTAATATTGACATAGCCATTTGAAAAATATAGAAAAAAATTAACCTGTTCCATGGACTGAGAATAATTCTCCACAGCATGCTTTATGACTTCTTGTTTCTGAAAATTAAATAAAAAATTACGAAAACTGAATGAAAGTTTTAAAGATATTTCAAATATGATTCATATTAAGAGTTCCAAAATAGAGGAAAAGCTAAACAGTATATTTTGAATGAAAATAAAAAAAAGCTTAATAAACTTTTAAACTGAAAAAAATAAACAATATACTTATATATTATTCTTATATTTATGAAGTAATCCAATATGTTGGGAAAAATTTAACAAATGCCGCATAACAAAAGTAAGCTCACATCCCAGAAGATGAATTTTTTTAAGATTACCATTTTACAATTTATTTACAATCAACTATCTTTATCATTACAATCTAGTGAACTTTTTCAATTTCAAAAGCAAGTGCAGATAGATTTTGAATAGAATGCTCAAAGATATTTCCACAATGTTGATATCAATTATCATACTCCATTGGCTCAATACTTAATTGGCAATTTACATGGTGTGTATTCATTATGCTGAAATATCAAGTTTTCAATAAAAAAGCAAACAACTTGAAAGCGCCCCATACTGTACTTGGATTGTTTAATATTTTGCTCTGGTTGTTATATTCTCACTGAAACTACTCGCAAAAAACAAAACTGACATTGATGTTAGTGATGGAAGATACTATCGTAATAACTACTGGATGTTAAATTTTCTGATGCCTAACATTTACCTCATTAAGTTTAGCTATCTCCTGGTTTTTGGAATTTAAAGACTGATAGTGGAGGAGCTTATCTTGAACTTTTTCTTCAAATTCACCTTTAAAATCTTTCCCAAGTTGATGAGGTCGTTCTCTAAATGTAAACAGTAAAAGTAATTTATATTATTGAAATTACAATGGGCGCATTGAAGTTTGGCAAGTGTATCAAAATAAACGTTTTCCAGGATATTCATTCTATGTGTGCCTAGCTTCTGAGAAAAATTAAGGGGCAACCACTGTATTTCAAGAATGGTGGTATAGTAAGCACCAGTAAATGTTAGTTATTTGACACCTAGGTAACAGGTGAAGCCAATATAAATGCAGGAAGAGCTAAGTGAAACTAAATTCTACATTTTGAAAATAATTGAAAAAAGTCCAGATAGCATACTTAAAGGAAGCGGACGATAGCTCACGGCCATATAAACTGAAACTTCTTTGAAAAATTTCCAGAAAACAGAGTTGTCATAGTATAAATTTTTTAAAATAAACACAAAAGGGAAACATTATTTTGGTGAAAAAAAGCAAGTCCATGCTTCCGAAAACAAATAACTAACTAATCCCACGTGGTTCACCATATGGTTAAGCCATCTTATCCCCTTTTCTCTCCCCTGGGATAAATGTGTAAATCCTATATTTTCCTGGCTATCACTGTCAGAATGCCCATCATGGGCCAATTTTAGTACAGTCATAAAAATGCTGGCCTTAACATGACAGCAAAAACTCTATGTAAAAACGTATAAGTCAGTCAACAGATAGGGCTGGGCCTTTTATATAGAATATTCAAATCAAATAGTAAATCATACGAATCAGATCAGAGGGGGATTTCAAATCACCGTCATCTTGTTTTTTTCTCCACCAAAAGCCGAAATGAAACCTTTAATTATTTTTTTTGAAGCCACATTTTTAAAATACAATTCTGACAATATGACCTTTTTTTCCTGGTGAGTTATTAATGAAACATGTTTCAAATCGTGTGTGAACACTTAGACTTAGAGATACACTCTATGTTTTCAATAATATACCGTAGTACCAGACAGACACAGTTCTGTTGATAAAAGTTTGAAATAAGATGGCAGACATGTTATAGTTTTGAACATAGCACGATGTTCAAATTCAACAACCAAAGAAACGTGTCAAATGCCTACATTAAAATCAATTATTCAATTTAGAAAACTTACAAATTTTCAGAAAGTATTTTGAACTCATCAATTGCCTTTGCTTTACAGAAAAGATGCTTGGCTTCTAAATCAGACTTCGCCAAATATTTTCCATTAGACAAAATCTGAAACAATACTTAGTTGTAAACCTTGGAGGCAGACATACTAAACTTGTGGAATGGGGACAGTGAACCAAGTTACTGTTTGAACAGTCTGTAAAACTGTTTTTGTAGTAATCATTCTATCACAAATGAATTATATATATATAAATAAGAACAAATAGTTAACAGATATATTCTGGGTTTAAATAATGAGCAGAATTATTGGGATTTTTTATTTAAAAGACCCAGATTTAACAGTATTTTTGTTGTGTTAGTTTAGGTGTTGGGCTTGTTTTGGATGCTATTCAAAACCAAAATAACACTGCAAACATTTCCATTACCTAATTCTGAAAACTTTAATTGTTATTACCGGTAACTCCTTTTTGTGTTCCTATCAAATCAATAACACTGTTCAATACATTTTTGTTCCCGGCTTTTAATTACCATTTTCTGATTAGATAAGTGCCAAAATTTAAAAAAATGACATCAATATATTTAAATTTTAATTTTGTGAAAATTTTCCCTAATTTCATCAGGATTTCTTACATAGAATACAAGAAATACATTTCAAGAGTATCAAAAACACAAATAAATAGAATCAGGCTATGTTATAAGTTTTTGAATCTCCATTTTAAAACACTTTAACCAAATATACCTTATCTATCTCTGTGGTGTAATTGTCGATGGCTAGCCTGGCATATTCATCACATTTAGTCTTCTCCTGAATAAATATCAAGTGCAAATAACATGAAGAACATTACTCATAGTCAATTTTAGTTGCATTATAATAATGTTAGATCAAGATTAGCAGAATATTTTGGCATTTGGAAACAATTTTCCTATTTTTGATAGACGACACCAGTCAATATTGAAAGCATCTTTATAAAAATAACAGCTTGCTATGGTGCATTCACCGGCTCTCCAGAAGTGTGTTACCAATATGGAGGTAACTAATTTTGTTTGCCTACTTTATATCAAGAATAAAATGACTGAAACCTATGGGTAGGGGGTATATTTACTTGGCTAAAACAGACAGTCCCCGAACTCCTAATAGATCTAAAACAAGAGAGCTATGCTCCTTCTGGAGAAAATTTTTATCTTTAACCACTGAAAATTTCAAAGCAATTGGTCCAGTATTCGAAGAGAAAAGCGATTTCTTCAAAACGTGTTGACGGAGACAAATAATAACAATAACAACAAAATTTTGAAAGGATCGGTATGTTCACTACGTGTCCAATAAGGAAAATGGAATACACTTATGGCCTAACTCTAACCTGGTACACACACCACGAGACTACCCATTTAATTCTGATGATTTAACAAATTTTTTCTTTAACAAACCAGGCTATACTGTTATACATACCTCTGAAAGTCTTCTAGCAATAACTTGCTGATTTAAATTTCCAAAATGATTTTGAATTGTTTCTTTCAGCTCAATTTTTCGAGCACCGATAGCATTTGACAAATCCACTTTCCACTCTTCGGTTTTTCTTCCAAAGTCTTCTACTGCTTCAGCAAGATATTTGGAATGTTTCTCCTCTAAAGTTCTATCTGATATAGAAGAGATATCCTGCAAAAATTAATGCAAACTCAGGTAAAATGGGATATAAAGAAGTTGTTATTGTACAACTATATGAATATCAAGATTTCTTATTCACCATGAAATAGCTCAAATCCTTATTCACTCATATGCCAAACAAAATTTTTCATTTGAACTAGCCCAGGTCGAGTATAAAAATAGCTGAAAAATTAATCCTTTAGAATGAAAATAAGATTTTGCTGAGAACTGGAACCAAAATACAGAATCAAAGCTTTCCCTACTGCTCCTATTAGAAAATAAAAACAAAAATTACTGATGATTCTTGCGCAATTATGATAGCAAAGATCATTTGAATTGTATCTGAGAAACATCTGACCTAATGTAGCATTATAAATTTACTGATCAGTGCATATCGGATAGAATTGCAACCAATTGGTGGGGTTTGGAACTATCTTCATAAAACATTCAATTTTTCTTAAAAATGACCATGCATTCAACCTACCAACTTTCCCATTAAGCGCATATATTGGTTTTTCAATTCAACTGCTATCTCAAAAATCTGTCCTTGTGCTGCTTTTTGCTGAAAAGGTTAAAATTTTATAAAAAACAAAGGTTACAAACAAAATAAAATTTGGGGGAAAAAGTTTTGCAATTTGTCAGGACAAATGTCAATAATTTAAATACTTTATAGACAATGATTGAGTGGGAATTCAAAATCCAATATCGTATATTCTACATAATTGTAATGATTAGAAAATCGACCTATATAAACCTCATTTTTGACCAAATATATAAAAAGGCAGTCATTCAAAAGTTTGAAATATAAAGACAGATTTTAAATATATTTCGAATGAACATAATATGGTATGGTATGGAACTTTACCCTTTGAATAATCTCTCGATTTCTACAATTGCATGATTGATAATGGAGAAGCTTCTCTTGTATCTGTTTTCTCAAATCATCAATAAACTTCGTCCATGAAGCTCTGAATATATTAAATAATCTCATTTTAAAATGGTACTGAGCGTTTTACTATGTAAGGTAAAAATCATCATCACAAAACTGAATTTAGTAATCATTTTATAAATCCACTACCAACTTCACACACAGCACTGAGCATCAATTCATATTTATTTATTAAAAGCATAAGACCTTTTTGTTCAACACAAAGTTGATTGTTTGAACTCAAAAATGCTAGTCTGATAAATTTACCAAATGTTGAAAAACAGCACATTTTTAGTGTAAATTTTTTATTATTATTTATATATAGCGAACTTACATGTTTGCAGACAGTTTCATGAATTCATCAATTGCCATTGCTGCATAGCTGTTATGCTGTTCTTTTAAATCAGATTCTTCGTAGTATTTTCCATTCAAAAAAATCTGATAGAGAGTTTAATACCATTCAGATAACATTGTACAATGCATTTCGTTCAATTAGTCAAATTAACCTAAGCTTTCGATTATTCGAATGACTCTATTCAAATAAAAGTATAAGAGCGCAAGCTTCTGCATTCTTGTTTTATGAGTTTATATCGTACATGTACTTTAATTTCAAAGACATATAGATTAAATTATGAAAAATATAAACTTTTAAAAATTAAAAAAAGAATGATACCTTATCCATCTCTCTAGTGTATGAGTCAAGAGCTGATTTTACATGTTTCTCACAAGCAGCTAAATCCTGCAAAAATAAATTAAAAATATCTATTGAGTTTTGCTAAATTCTCAGTGGTCGCCATTTTTAATGTAATCATACCAGGAAGAAGAAAGTAGATAAAACAAACTTTTTAACCATTTTTTAACCAGCATAAGGTTCACAGTCCACCTTACATAAAAAGAGTCACGGGGCACGTAGTACACATCTAAGTTGTATCGAACCAAACTAGCTGTAACTTATTACTATGCCAGACAAATCATGGTGATTTGCATGCGACAAAATGCCCCAGAGTTGGTGCTAACAACTTTAATTTAATTGAGTAAGTATTCATTGACATAAATTAATTTTGTATTTAACACAAGCATTACCATTTAAGAACTGTTTAATTGTTACCACGAATAACAGAATAAAAGTTACATCCTGCCCCTGCGATACCAGAGTACTGAATGACTAAGCTGCCGTTTATCACCCACATAAAAACATAATCTTGGGTGTTGCTATCATTTGGCAAGGGGACAGGAACTCATGGAGGTGTGAATTCCTTATTTGGATACTTTTTACTTATCGATCTTAAGATCGGTAAGTATATTGATAGGTATTTGTATGTATGTCTGTCTGTCTGTCTGTCTGTGTGTGTGTGTGTCTGTTACATGCATGCGATATCTCACGAAAGCGAGATTGAATCTGCTCCAGATTTTGCATGTGCATTCATCTTATCTCGGACCAGAAGCCTATTGATTTTAGGCGAATTATGTCGTATAATTAGCGAGTTATCAATCAATTATTGATATAGTGATCTAGATTTTTGTAAAGCGAAAGAATTTTGAAACCTGCCGAGTGTGTGTGTGCGATGCGCAGTGCGCAAGTTACAAGAGCGGATGAATCGAAACTGCAGTTTCTGTTTTGGGGGATCCCCTAACTATCGATCGATAAGTCTTCGGTTTCCAACCGATATTCTCGTTTATTATTTTGGACTGTTTCCATTTGAAAGAACTTTTACATCACAAAAACGAACCTACATTTATGAATAAATTGTTTGCCGGGATGCTTCAAATCTTCCAATCACTGATGGATTAACCTTTAACCCTAATCCAATTATTTTGTGAGTCAGTTTTGCTGTGGCTATAACCCTCGGATATGGGAAGAAATGCATAGAATTCGATTTGGCAGTCGGGTCCAAGTAAGGAAGGTCGGTAAAGGATGGTCAGTTTTTTGGTGCAAAAATACTTTACCCAATAAACAAGGAACACATACACACAAAGTGGGCCTTTTTTAAAACTGAAGCTGTAAAAGGTGAATACTGGAATAGAGAGCAGTAACAGTTTCCCAAACCCAGGTTTGTTTAAAATAAATTAGAACAAATTACCTTTTCGAGTTGTTTCTGATTAATCTCATTTGTCTTCTTGTATTCATCAATATATTTCCTTTGGACAGTTTCTATCAACTTTCTCTTAAATTGTTCCACATCAGAATCCGAAAGGGGCGTCTTTCTGAATTTCAGTACATTGGTAACGTTAATAAAATACTACATTATGTTTAATTGTACACATGTCCACTTACTTCTTAACACAGAGCCTAGTTTCTTAATTAACCAGTGCATATTATTATAAGTTTATAAATTCTCAGCTTGTGTGCATTGGTTTCCAATCGGATAATTCGTAGTAAAAGGAGTCGCGAGAAACCAATACTGGTTATCGATCGGCGACACCTAATAAATTGTATTATTTTGCTTTTGAAGAAGTATATCTGTTTACAAGGTATCACTTGCAAAAACAATTTCGAAGTGAGCAAACAAGCATCAAAATTCGCCTATGGAATTGCCATGGACACTTCAAGCAGTATCAATCAAGCACTTAGAAAACACTGTGCAAAATTAATGGCCTACTTTGCGGCCCTGAACAACGAAACAATTTGAGGGTATATCACTGTCAGATAACCACTGGTTAATACCAACAGGCATTACATACACTCAGTTATTAATAGAATGGAATGAACTTCACTCCTTTATTCACAATTTTTATATATATTCAAATACAGAATATGACATCATTTATTGTGGAACATTTACAAAATTCAGACATTTGTTTTATCATATTTAGCCAATTTACCTCGGAGTCTGTTAATTATAACTGATATCATGGATACATTGTTCAACTAAATAATATCAATGTAGCTCGTACTCCCGCATCATGTGAACAAAGATGGCGGGCACCGAAATGTAGTATGTGTACCTGGTTATGGTTAGACTATAATTTCAGGCACAAACATTACAGTAGTTACCGTACTTGGCTGAAATAATAAAAATTGGAATGAAATCATGGCCTAATCCTAACCTGGTACACATATTACGTTTTGGTGTCCGCCATCTTTGTGCACATACTTTCGAAGCACCCATACTTTTTGCCAACATAAAAATCTGTCTTTAAAAAGGAATAAATAAAATATACATGAAACTCACATGTTTTTGTTCAAGATGGAAAATTTATCCAATGCATCACGTTTGATCTCACCATATTTTTTGACGAATTCTTTATTTGAGAGAGGCCCTTCATGCAACAGCTGTAATGAGGAAATTTCATATGAGATGCATGAAATCAAATGCCTGAAATAGGTCATGAAACAGTGCTTTCCAGCTTTTCTATGTTGTTGTTCGGCGGAATGCATAAAAACTTGATCAAACGGGGTAGATAGTGAGGACGATTATTAGCGTGCAATATATTGGGGATAATAATCTTTAATCTAATTCTGTGTGTTACACCACAGTGTTTTTAAAATTCAATCCACTGTTAAAATATTACAGATCTTTCTAATAATAACTTGAACGTAAAACAACGCATTAAAATAAAAAAGATATACAAAGGAACATGAACTAGGAAAACATTCAAAGTCTCATTTTATTGAATGCCTATTATTTTCTGTGAATTTGTTCCTGTGTTGTTTTTGACTTTGAAGTTATCAAACGGGACACCAAGCCTATTTCTACATTGTGCTGAAGCATAAGAAGCAACCAATTCATTCCTTTATAAGCTTTGTGGGGTCTCCCAGCGTTTTTCGAATAATGTGACGTTATTCGTATTTGCCCTCTAATTAGTTTAACATTTTCATTTTCCATTACAAATGACAAAAAATGAACTTCAAAGTTTTTAGTTTTTGTTCCCTATCCAAATAAAAAATCGACTGGCTACCAGATACAAATCCGGTTTAAACATTTAAATAATTTAACAATATTTTTTCAATTGAAATTCAAATGTAAATTCTAATTAGAACCCTAAATTTTAGAACAAGTTATATTGGAAGACCTGATGTATAGTGCAGAGAAAAATTGAGAAAATTGGGGATGAAGGACAAGACTCTTTATATTTTTGCTTCAGGAATATTTCATTTTGTAAGATAACACTGCACTCAATATGGACTGGACGATAACTAGCGAAACATTTATGCGCACGACCATGTGGAAAGCGTACTTTTTGGTGATGCCACTGCCTAATTGAATGACGGAAGACAAATTGCTTAATAAAATAGCATAGTTGTATATTTTTGATGAACATGTGGTTAGCTCAGGCAGTAAAATACCAGAACAAAAAAACATATGTAAATCATGCTGTCACTACAAAGAGCGACAGCTCATTGCTCATTGCTCATTTGCTTCATTTGCTCATAATTATCATTTGTGGAATTTAAGCCAGAAAATCTATGTAATCAGCCTTGGGGGGACAACAATAATTTTTTATCACATCGTTGTATTGTATTGGTTTTTGAAGTTTCATTTAATAATCTGATTCATGAATTCTTATAGAAATTATCTACCTGCTCCATCTCCATTCTAAATCCTTCACAGACAATTTCGACATTTTCTTTGTATTTTTCAGATATTGCTTCCTAAAATTAAAAACAGTGTGAAAGTACTGCAAATAATGAAATAATCAACATGTAATTGAAATAAAAGATTAATCAATAACTCAGTCTGTGTCAGGATGTTTCGATGATGAAGTCGTCAAAAATAATGTAAAAGACATGAGTACCATATAAAAATTGATTTCTGTAATTTTTCTGTAACCAATATATAAACATATGATCATGGCAAGGGTCGCTTTTGTGTGACTTGTACCAGTAAGCTGACATGCTTTTACTCTTACTCATTTATTGCCTCTACTTAAAAATAGAATCAAAATCTTACCTGCAGACAGATTATTATAATAAGCCTACCTACTTTGAGGAACGCATCTTACCTTTTTTTTCTCCATATCAATTTTGGCCAATTGATATGACTCATTGAATTTCTTTATGAGTTCTTCTCTGCATTCCTCCACCTAAATATAATAGCAATGCAATGTTACTAAATCAACTGAATGTGGACAACATTCGTTGTATTCAGCTGTAATTCTATTTCACGGGCTTGACTAAAGTTGTCCAATTGCTTGTTGGATTTCGAACATTGCAAAAAATCTTATGTCAATCGCAGACCGAGAATTTTAACCTATGCTCAGAACTTTCATGGAATTAAATCAGATTAGATAGATGATCAGGTAATATGAATAAAATATTAACCATTGGTTTATTGTGACCTTTATAAACAATGTCTACGCATCTGCACTGTGAGTTTGGGGACTTGTCCCCATTTGTTTGACTTTTTTGTCATATTTATTATTTGAGGTAAATAATATTGTTAACATAAAATGTTCTCGATATCAAATGAAAGTTACTACGATTATTGGTAAAGAACACTTGCTATTGAAGACACAGAAGACACAGACAACACATAATGCTATTGAAGTTATTATTAGGAAGAGCATTGGCGTACCTTTTCCCTATTTTCAAAAGCTTCACATTTTCCATCATAATAGTCTAATTTGAGTTGCTTCTGACGTTCAAAAATCTCTTTTATGTTTGGTTTGTAACTTTGCAAATCCTGTCAATAAAAGTGGATCAATCATGAATACAACAAGATAACATTCCACTGTGTGAGAATCACAGAAGCATGGAGGGTAATATGTGCAGAGGATACCCAGGCTGCTCATTGCGTCAGGTGCTTTATTTATTCTTGTATGTGGGCAATAGAGAAGGGCAATTCAGAATACTGAATCTGTAGGGCTAGAATGTCAAAATATTTCAATCCGAAGATATTACCAGAATTTCGTTTTGACATTGCATAATAATCTTGATATTTAGAGTAAACAAATTAATTTCTCTCACAAGCACTTGATATTTTGCTCATTTTATTGCTTGATTTTGCTTGTGATGTGGCAACAATGAACCTAGTAACAAAAGTTTCAATATTCACGATGTGAGGCTTTCAATTCATGAAAACTGACGGTGACGAGCACTTTGTGCGACACTCAGCATTACTATCGAGGTTACAATATGCTAATAAATTGTGAGCAGAGCCATTAACAATAATAAATATGCGAACACAAAAGTAGGCATACTTATCCCATGTTCCAGGAATCATATTTGCAAAGAATTTGAAATTGGGCAATTGAAAATGCAGAGTCTAGTGTTACATAACTTTCTCAAAAAGCAATTTACTTAAGAAACCAAATACGATATGAAGCTCGATTTGGAAATACTGTATAACATTTAGGGCAACTTCTATAATGGGGAATGGTTTCAATCAATTTAGGAGAAAATATTGTCAAAACTGTAAAAATATATATCTTTATATTCTGACACATGCATGTTTAGTTTGAATGAACGAAGTCAAATGTTAAGTCAAGTTTTTTTTTCAACCAGTATAATCAGTAGTAGTAGTGTTCACAAATTACACAAAGAAAGTGAGCATGCAATTTTATTGGAGAAAAGAAACGGTTTGGCATGCTCATGATATTTTTGTATTTGATTGTTTTCTAAGCATATTTTTCATCTTCCCTGGTAGGTGACACAACGGCCTAGCAGTTAGTGCATTAGACTTAGCTGGGTGAGAATTACCTATCGCAGGTTCAAATCACATGCTCTCCACCTTACCCGGGGGCAAAAAGTAGGAATGAACGCGATTTAAACAGCAGTTTATTTTTATTTGTTTTGGCTGGCAACATAAAGATGCACCCTTTTTCAGTTTATCTTGCAATATTTATTAACAAAAACTAACCCCTAAAAGTGGGCAGAAATAGGAAAATGTGATTCAGTAAAAAGTATTGGAACCATAAATAATTTTTAATGAGGTATTATTATGAAATTCGGTTGTTTCGTCTGTACGTACCAGTGCCAACGACTTTTTAAAATCATCTGCAGTTTCCTGGTCAATACTTGCAATCTTCAATTGTTCATCCCTCTAAAAATCACATTGTATCGTAATGCAATAGATTTATTATGCATGCTTCAGCACATTAAAACTCTAAGCAATACTTTTTCTAATATTAAATGATCATATTGTCTTATAACTGTAATTATGATTAAATTATTATTTAACGAAACGAAAGTATCTAACTTCTTTCAATATTTTCTTGTGTTTCTCCAGAACTTTTTTTTTTTTGAGATTTTCAAAACAAAGAAGTGCTCTGTCTCTCAGCCTCTCTTGTTTAGCAGTAATAACATTTGACAAAATGTCATTCCAAGCTTTAGTTTTGGACTCATACGCCATTACTGCTCGACTTAGATATCTGGAATGTTTCTCTTCCAAAGTATCGTTTTTTATGAATGAGATATCCTGCAAAAATTTTAATTGCCATGAATATGGAATGAAACAAAAACAAAATATGATTCCTCAGTTATTGAACCTATATATGGCTCAGAAAACATAAAACTTCAACACTCTTGTAGTTGAAAGAATTAGTTTTCAAGTCGATGAAAAAGCCTAATTATTAAGTATTAGGCACAGTCGAAATTAACACCTGCACTTTGATTGCGGGTGAAACCAAAATGGACAAGTTACGTGAACTATGGTGAATATTTAGGAGTTAAAACATCCTCTCACAGATCTGTACCAAATAAATCAACGGTGATAAATGAAGAAAGGTTGATGTGGAAGTTAGATGTGGACCCACACATGCAATCAATTGAAGGTGCCAAATAGGAAAGTGCGCTTCTGAGACATAGAATGATGTGCTGAAACCTTGGTCGACTGTTTGTCATGAAAATAACTCACCAACTCAGTCATCTTGTCTTCATATTTTTCTATCTCCTCTTCAAATACTTCATCAATTCCTTTTTTTGCTGTTGCAATTTCTTGTTGCTGTAAATGTTTTTAAATTAATTTTAGAGCAACGATGATATCTGTTCGTGCAGATATTTTGGGGAAAATTGATAGCAAACACCACACATATAGTTGTTATCCGTCATTTTGATGTATGATATTCATTGTTATTTTAATAGAGGAAAAATCAATAAGGTGATTGGAGCATATGGTGCATTGCAGCCTCTCATGAATTTTGCATGCAAGATTCTGTGGATTACTAGCTCAGATACATATTACAAGTTCGTGGACTAGCCATGTGACTCCCGTAGTATTTGTATCAGAAATTATGGCCTAACCCTAACCTGGTACACATATTACGTTCCAGTGTCCGCCATCTTGGTCACATACTACATGAGTACATAAATTTCATTTGGGTATGAGGACAACTCATCTTTTGAGGAATTAACATAACAAAGCCACTTGGGGCGATGTGACTTACCTTTTTTACCAAATCAAATTTGGCCAATTGGTATGACTCATTGAATTTCTTTATGAGTTCTTCTCTGCATTCCTCCACCTAAATATAATAGCATAGTAATGTTACTAAATCAACTGAATGTAGACTCTATTCGTTATATTCAGCTGAATTTCCAATTCACTGGCTTGACTGAAAGTTGCCCAAGTGCGAAAAATTTATGAAAATTCCATGTGATAGCACAAGTTTGTGTCTTATAGGGGTGGGATCATATACAAGCAGTTCAGTAAACAGCTGGGTTGACAAATTAAAGGAAGCATTAGCAGTATACTGGTCATTGCACCACTGATTACTCTACTTGAAGGTTTGCAGGTTCGAATCTGTGAAAAACAATCATGTTCAGGAGGATTGGCAAACTTCCCATGTGTCAATCCTCTTATCAAACGATTTTTTCCATCATTAAGTATATATATGAAAAAAAACCTGATAAATCAACTATTCTTGCAATTGTACTGGAATGACAAAATGATGAGAAATCTGATGATTAAGTGGTAAGAATATATATGAAAAATATAAATATTGGTCAGTTGTGACCTTTACAAACAATGTCTATGCATCTGTTTGAATGCTAGGCTTCTTACTTTTTACTTCAACTAAACATAGGATGGGTGATCCCCATTTATATGAGCTTTTTGTCAGATTTATTATTTGAGGTGAATAAAAGATCTTGAAACATGAAAAGGTTCTGGATATCAAATGAAGGTTCTTACCAACTTTGACAAAGAACACTTGTATGATATTATTTTTATACAGGATGCTGAGGATATCATTTCGAAGAACATGAATTATAATTAACCTTTTGCTTATTTTTAAAATCCTCACATTTCCTGTCATAATCGTCTAATCGTTTTAACATCTGTTGTTCAAACATCTTTTGTATGTCGTTTTTGTAATTTTTCAAGTCCTTTAAATAAAAATATGATAAATCTTAAATACAACAAAATGACATATTATTAGAAAAATTAAGCTTTTTATACATCTAAAATACAATGAAATTTACTGAGATAATTTCATAAAAGTTAAATCACTTTAATTACTGCTAACTGTGTGCGAGTATCACAACATTGAATTTTATAAAGGATAATATGTGCAGAAGAAGCAGCTCCAGGCCTCTTATTCTTATGCAATACTTTGGATAGTCAGTTGAACTTATCTTTAAAGTTACACAGTATTGTAATGCAATAGACTTTATACAAAATTATACAATATTTTTTCTAACATTTAATGATCATAATCAGTGTTCCCTCTGAGATGTGCGCGTGTGCACACAGCTTTCAGAGGCTGCGCACACGCATAGATTTACTGCGCACAGACTTATTTCGATGTAATGTAACAATGTTCTCGGTTGGCAGGTTGAGAAAGTTTGTTGTTGGCCCACCCATTACCCGGTTAGAAAGCCAAAATTTCTTCATTGGTTTTTGCACAAATTCCAAAAAAGTGCGCACACACCAAAATTTCTGCGCACACATACTACAAAAAATTAGAGGGAACATTGAATTCATAATGTATTATAAGTGTAAAAATAACTCAAATATTATTTGACAAAAACAGTATCTGACCTCTTGCAACATTTTGTTGTGTTCCTCCATAATTTTTTTCTTTTTGAGATTTTCAAAACAAAGACGTGCTTTTTCAATCATCTTTGCTTGTTTAGCTGCAATAACATTTGACAAAATGTCAGTCCAAGCTTCAGTTTTGGACTTGTACGCCTCTACTGCTTGACTTAGATATTCGAAATACTTCTCTTCCAAGGTATTGCATGCTATGGGTGTGATATCCTGCAAAGATTAGGATTGTCATTGATATTAAAAAAAAAAAAAATGCTCAAAAAATGATTTGTAAAAAGATGTAAAAAAATCCAATATTGTCCCTCGTTTAATATTGTCGTTTATTGAACCTGAGTTCGGACTATGGTCTGGCAGTTGAATAGCCTCGTTGTAAAGTATTAAGCACACGTGTATGGAATGAATTATCTGGTTAATCCATAGATTTGGTTGAAGAGTTAAGAAATTTGCTCACATGTCTGTACCAAATAATTTAATAATGATAAATCAAGGATGTTTTCTCATGCTCAGCACAATGAGTCGAAAATCTTTTTACATTTTAATATTTTCAAAAAATACAATGCTGCTAAAGTTAGATTTGGACCCACATATTGCAATCAATCACAGGTGCAAGAAAAGTATGTTCATAAGGCACAAAACGATGCGCTGAAACTTTGTTCGACAAATGGTCTTAAAACAAACTCACCAACTCATTCATCTTGTCTTCATATTTCTCTATCTCCTCTTCTAATACTTCATCAATTTTTTGTTTTGCTGTTGCAATTTTTTGTTTCTGAAAATGTTTTTGAATCAATTTTGAAGCAAAAATAATATCTATTCATTCAGATATTTTATGTAAAATTCATAGCCTACCCAAAATTCATATTGAATTTATTATGAAATTTTCCATCTTTTATCAAGCCTGCCTGGGTACATTATATTGTTTTGTTGGTATTAGAGTAAACCTTATGCATTGTAGGTCCTTATATGGGATGAACATTATCAACATTATTTACAAAAATAACTTTCAAAAATAAACTTTAGGGTAAGTTAGACAGACATAGAAAAATGTGATTCCATGAAAAGTATCAGAAGCATACATAATTTTTGATGGAATATTACAATAAAATTTGGTTGCTTTATCTGTACGTACCGTTGTCAACTTCCTTTCAAAATCTTTTGCAGTTTTCTCAACAATATTCTCAATCTTCAATTGTTCTTCCCTCTAAAAAACAAAAAATGCTATGATAAAATAAATTTATAATGGTTATTTTTATCGAATCAAAGCATTATACAATACTTTTACTGGTACTCCCATAGTATGTGTACCAGGTTAGGTTTAGGCCATAATTTTATTACGATTTTCCTTATTTTAGTTCTATTACAAGTTCGGGGAGTGTCCGTGTTAGCCAGATGAATATACCCCATGCAAGGTTCCCTCTGAGCTACGCAGTACATCCAGCCAATTTGCGCAGTAAAATCCCATTCTTGCGCACTTGCAACATTATGTTTTCAAAGCGTGGGTCTTGGGTCGTCATATTTTTTACGGCTAGCTAGAATGCCCGTTCTTTGTTTAATGGGTATTTTGAACGCCACTGTTCATTGTGATGTCACAGACGTGTCTGTCACGCCCATATACATTGATTTCTCTAAGCCGGCGCGGGACGGTTTCGCATTTCAAAATTTTTATTACAAGCCCTGAATTTCGTGTCGACGCAGCGGTATAATTTGTTCGTTTTCCGTAGCGTAGTCAACATAAAAAAATATGGAATGTTTGGAATTTAAATAGGTATTTGGGGTGTCCACTTTTGTTACAGGAAGTTTGTTAGTTGTTGCTCGTAACCGCATGGTTAGGATAGACTAGTTGGAATTTGAAGGAGAGAGTTCTATCGTCAGTGGCGTGCCTAAAGTGGGCGAAAAGGGGAAGCCGCCCCGGGCAGCAAGTTGTAGGGGGAAGAAACAAGTTGTAGAACTTACGTTATTACACATGCTTTTTGGTGTGTTTTTGTTTAATTGAAAGCTGATATTATGTGTTTAGTCTTGTGTGACTGACTGTGGTGATGGTGAGTCAACAATGGATGTTTCCCAGACCATTAACGCAAGAAAATTTCTTCCTATCCTATTTTATAATTGCTACATTTTTAGTGCTCATTTAAACCCTGTAAAGTACCGATAAAAGAGTTTAGCCTTGTCTATCACAGCTATTTTTGGACTAATTTTTGATTACTGCAATTAAACTATATGAGAAGACAGTTTTATCATTGGGTTCCATTACCTTTGCATCCACGTACATTTGCACCCAGGACAACTGCATCTGCATACTTTTGCACCCAGCAGTAAAGTTTGGCACGCCTCTGGCTACTGTCGTCGGCTCTAAAGCCGTGAGCTTGTTCTAAACCAGGGGTGGGCACGATTTTTGAATCAGGGGCCAAATATTTTGCCCACCCAGACTGGGAGGCCACTGGGAGGCCCCTGTCAATAGGTTTTAGTCCTTTTACACAACTTGATGTAAAGTAGGAGAACAAAATTAGTTACCTTTATTTTGGTACACATACTTCTGGAGCGCCCTTATTCCAACATAGCCTATAATGATCATACCGTCTTATAACTACAAAATACTTAAATTAATATTTGAAAAAAACAGTATCTAACCTCTTGCAACATTTTGTTTTGTTCCTTCATAATTTTTTTCTTTTTGAGATTTTCAAAACAAACAATTGCTCTGTCCGTCAGCCTTGATCGTTTAGCAGTAATAACATTTGACAAAATCTCATTCCAAGCTTTAGTTTTTGACTCGTAGGCCTCTAATGCTTGATTTAGATATTCGGAATGCTTCTCTTCCACAGTATCGTCTGTGAAGGATGAGATATCCTGCGAAAATTAGAATTGTCTTTGATATTGAACAAAACTAAAATTTTTAAAAAAATAATCAATAAAAGGATGTAAAAATTCTAGTATTGTTCTTCACCTATTGAACCCATATGGTCCATCCAATGTGGCATAAAAATTCAACACTTCTATGGGGCTAACAGCCAAAGCTACTAATAAAGTTACGGTAGTTTTTGAGCTGATAAGACAGCGTAAACACCGCATCTTTGTGTGAACCTTAGATACTAATCTGGGCTATTCAGCTATAAAAAGTATGTTTGTAAGGCATGAAACGATGCGCTGAAACTTTGGTGGATGAATGGTCATGAAACAAACTCACCAACTTATTCATCTTGTCTTCATATTTTTCTATCTCCTCTTCAAATACTTCATCAATTTTGTTTTTTTCTGTTGCAATATTTTGTTCCTGAAAATGTTTTTGAAATAATTTTAGAGCAAAGATAATATTCATTACTTATTGATCTCGATCGGTAAGTATGTTGATAGGTATTTTTTTGTTTGACTGTTAGGCACTTTCGTATGTTACGCGATATCTCACAAAAGCGAGGTTGAATCTGCTCCAAATTTTGCATGTGCATTCATCATATCTCAGACCAAAGACGTATTGATTTTGGATGAATTATGTCGTATAATTAGCGAGTTATTAATTAATTAGTGATGGGACACGCAGTGTCGCTATTGAGTCAGAGTGACGGAATCGAAACCGCAGTTTCTGTTTTGATGGATCCCCTAACTTTCGTCGCTGCAAACGATTGTGTGTGTAACAATGCCCTGTCTGCGATGTGGAGCGTTTAGGTATTTTGGTTACACGCCGCTCCGACTTTGTGGGGCTGGTGATGATCGGTGTATTCTCCCAAATTGTCAAGTAAAATATTGAACATGCATAAGAATGATAAGTCGGTGGTCTCCGATCGCTATCTAGTTCGTTCATCGCTTACAATTTATAGCCTACCCAAAATTCATATTCAATTTATTTCGAAATTTTCCATTCTTTATCAAGTCTGCCTGTGCACTTTATATTATTTTGTTTATATTATTGTAAACCTTCATACTTATATAGGATGAACCTTGGCATAATTTTTTACAAAAATAACCTTTCAAGATAAACTTTAGGGTAAGTTAGACAGAAATTGAAAAATGTTATTCAATGAAAAGTATCAGAAGCATAAATAACTTTTAATGGAATATCACAATGAAATTTGGTTGTTTCATCTGTACGTACCGGTGTCAACTTTTTTTCAAAATCTTCTGCAGTTTTTTGAACAATACTTTTAATCCTCAATAGTTCTTCCCTCTAAAAAAAAACATAAAATGATATAATAGAATAAATTTATTATGTTTATTTTTAGCATTAAACATTATAAATTTTTTTTTTTTAAATACCGGTACACTTATAACAATCATACAGTATTATGAGTACAAAATACCTATATTCGAAAAAAACAGTATCTAACCTCTTGCAAACTTTTGATTTGTTCCCCCATAATTTTTTGATTTTTGAGATTTTTAAAACAAAAACATGCTCTTTCATTCAGCCTTGATAGTTTAGCAGTGATAACATTTGACAAAATGTCATTCCAAGCTTTAGTTTTTGACTCGTACACCGTTACTGCTTGACTTAGATATGAGGAATGTTTCTCTTCCAGGGTATCTTCTGTTATGGATGAAATACCCTGCAAAAATTAAAATTGCTATGAATTTGATGCAAAACAAAAACAGTTTGCAAAAAAATATGATATGATTCCTTATGTATTGAACCTCATCTGAAGGGGCATCAAACTTCAACACTCTTGTAGTTAATAGAGTTTTTAAGATGATAAGACAGATATATCATTGCATTTCAGTACGCACGACAGACCACAATCTGCTCAACAACAGTGATGTATGTCCAGAATTAGGCACAGTTGGGGTTAATCTAGATGCAAAGACTTGGATGAAGGTGAAAACTATAGCTGACCAGATATGTGAACCAAAAATGAACTCACAGTTCAAGTAAATCATCTGACATGTTTGTCCTCATATATTTCAATAATATTAAATTGGGGATGCTTGTTTTCTAAAAATTCGCATAAAGTGTCAAAACAATTTCCGATTCAGCTAATCCCAAAAAATTCAACATTGGCCAAAGTTGGATGTGGGCTCACCTATGCAATCAATCAAGGGTGATAAATAGGAAAGTGAGCTCCAGAGACATAGAATAATGTGCTGAAACCTTGGTCGACTGTTTGTCATGAAATTAACTCACCAACTTATTCATCTTATCTTCATATATTTCTATCTCCTCTTCCAATACTTCATCAATTTTCTGTATTATCTTCAACTGAAAATGTAAATTTATGTTAAAACATATATTACTTATGCACCCCTCGCTACAATTCTAAAAATGCATAATTAATTAAAGACATTCTTGAAAATTAGCATGGATAAAACTTTGCACCAGAATTATTGTCCGTGGAGATACATCCAGGCGAATACACTAGTCAGTTAACACACACAACCTCCAATGTCCTTTCTAGTGAGAAAGTGGTGGTCACCGCACAGTAAATTAAATTTGCGATTTTTGTTTGTAATTTTAGGCTGGCGATGCGCTATTCATATATATTGTGTGTTGGGGTGTGTCCGTTATATCCTAGTGTAGAGGTTTGGTGTTCAAAACTTATCCAGTTTTTAAATTGCCTCTATCATCAAGTAATGAGTACCAGTCTGTTAGAACAGGGATCCGCAAATACAGGGTCGCGACTCAGATTCATTCCACTCTGGGTCGCAAAACAATTTAAATTTGCAATAAATATGAGCGTCTTTGTATCGTTTCCATGTACTACATCTTAATACCCTCTAGTTATATTTAAGGATGCTTCTCCAAGCATCGACTTCCTTATTTACTGCTGTAACATTGGCCAATAAGCATAGGTCCAAAATTTGACGTGGGAACACAATTTTAGTCCATGTAATGTCTTGCTATCCGTTTTGCTTCTGCATATTCTTGTTACAGTTAATTCAGAAATTTTTTGAGGGTACCGGTACCGTAAAAGATAAGGTGGACTACTGCTTCGCTTTGGTCCATGTGTCGATATATATTTGAGCATTGCTCTCTTGTTCGAATATGTAGTCAATTGTATTGCTTTGTAGCAATGCGAGGTTAACAGTAGCTGTGTGAAATTGCTCGATAAGACAGATAATGAGATTTTAAAAGCAAAGTTATATTTAATTTTGTGGAAGAAAATTGCTAATGTGAATAATGGTCTAAAAATCGATAACTAATTACATGCTTAACAAATGCTTAGGTCGCAAGAAATTAGAAAAAAAAAATTTGGGGGTTGAGCCAAAAAGTTGTTGTGGACCCCTGTGTTTAGAATACCAGCACAGTATCGTCTCACACTACTGTGCTAATTATGGGTGTACCATAACTTGTATTATATGTTTTTTGGTACTCTCGTAGTATGTGAACCAAGATGGCGGACCATAGAAACTTGAGGATCTCTAACGGCAGCACGATTAAGTAAGGGAGAGGATTGCCCAAAAAGTCAGTCCATTTTGAGCGCTGCACGTTTTGTAGACATAGTCGCATGACTGATATGCGATGGCTAAAAATTGAAAAATTTAATGTTTACTAAAGGCCCCCAAGGCTTCTCCAGTTTATAGAGTATCAAAACCTAAAACGACTTATCGGAAAGAGTATTTTCCTATGCTGAAGGTATGCGGAGTTCTTGCAATTTTAATATTCGACTTGGTCGTTCCAACAGAACGACTGATAATAAGGGTCTCCTAGAGCAGAGCAGACCCCCATCCTATGTCATATCAATTTCTGTGCATAACCAACGAGAAAGGATAATGTTTCTTTGACAAAATAAAACTCATGAAATCTGAATTAATTTCGTTTCATGCCTCTTTCTTGCAGCAACGGTAAAAGGACCCAGATGACCTCAGCAGTCGCACAAGTTATCGACTGATGATAACCCAGTAACCTATACAACTATTATGATGATGTAGCTCTGTAACAAAGGTCAAGCTCAGACGCTAAAGGCAAGAACCGTTCTACAACAGCTTTTTCACTCCCATTGTTTTGCAACAAGAACGATTTGAGATTGCGTGAACTCATGACTTCATCTCGTTTACGAATGTCTATCTATGTGATAATGTATCTACGTTGAAACATACATGTTTCAGACTCCTTTCATATCGTTGCGGACCCAGTTCGGGAAACGCTGTCCTAGACCATTAGAACAGGAATAATCATTTTCTATCCAACGATAGGTGATGTATCGTACCACATTTTTCCCATAAGATGTTACATTTTTCAATCAAAGTAAGGCTTTGATAAGCAGAAACGAATATATTATTTGACGCCCAGCTATAGTTGTAGTATCAGACCATTTCTATGAAGAACTGAAGTTGTTTGTACATTGTAACAACGATTAGTTGTACCGAAATATTGGTTTAAAGACAATGTACACAAATTTTAAAACTAATTTGTTTTGGTTTCGTATAAATTTTAAAAGTGTCCTGGTTGGAATGAGGATTACCCTCCTTTGAAATTATCCCTGAAAGTTAACCCTTTACTAATTTAACAAAACAAACCTCTTTTGCTTTATTTTCTTCAATTATACGTTCATAATCATTTTTGCAATCGTTCACTACTTTTTTCCAAGTTTTGTTTTTTCCGTCTTCTGACCCAATTATCACTTTGTCATCAAAAGTTTTTCTCGCTTCTTGAAGAGAATCCTTATCGTGCTCAGACAAAGCAATCTCTGGTAAGATACTGTCACCAATGCGCTAAAGGAAAAAAAAGTGAATAGGATCGAGGGTGGATATGGAAAAACACAGATAAATTTGTTAGCAACAAGAATCTTCAACTAACAAATATTTTATTTTTTTAATCTTCAAATGTAATGCATGTATCACAGGAGAATGAATACATATGCATGATAATGCATGTTCATTCCAATGATATCAGGATTGATTCTAATGAAAGATTTTAGGACTGAGAACATTGATAATCTGAACTGACATAGAATAGTAACTATATAGAAGGCTGTGGTCTGACACATAATAAGACATCTTAAAAGCTTTTTTTCAGCCAAGGTAATAAAAAAAATAATCCTATGACACTACGAAGACTGACAATCTCCAGTCACGAAAAAAATAAATGAGAAAGCTTAGAACAAATGCGTATATGGGTCTAGTTACATAATTATTTTTACTCCAATTAACAGACTATGTATAAAATATTAAGTAATCACCTCTTTCATTTTGTAATTATACATTTTTACAGCTTCGATCAAAGCATCTATCTTGTTTGAATTCTCGACGCCCTGAAAAAAATTCAATTTAGTTCAATGTTCTTATATTAACTTCATTTTGAATGCTCGACGCCCTGAAAAAAAATTCAATTTAGTTCAATGTTCTTATATTAACTTCATGTTGGAGCAGCTTAGATGCCTCTGCTAGATAACCAACTTTGGTCCCCAGCGGCTTCCCTTTAATTACAGTTTAAACTAATATTCGCCAAAGACCAAGAAACTTCTATATCGGGCTTACTTCGAGCATGGTTTTAACAGTAGGCAATCCATCCTTTTCAAATATTTTGCTTGTTTCTGCAATCATACTCAGAAAACCATTTGTTGACATCGGTTTGCCACAAATCTCTTTAACTATCAAGTTTTCGGGAAGCAAAATTGTTTGTGTCAACTTGAGAGTGAAATCACGAAACTCACCAGTGATATCTGAAATTTTTTTTTATTGATGATCAAGTCAAGTTTATTTTTCCAACCAGTAAAAAAATAGTAAAAGCATCCGGTAAAAGCATCTTGGAAATATATTCACATAATCTAATATATTCAGTAGATACTGTATAATAATTTTATACATAAATTTAAATAATTAAAGATATTCAGTATATATTATAAATTTATTACAAAAATTATAAATAAATATTAGTATGAATATCGCAAGAGATTTTGAGATGAGTACTCACTGGTATTGACTAATGCATTGGCTAAGCTTTCGTCAAACTCACCAGTATTCGTAAGTTCAGAAAAATCTGATCCTCCATCCACTTCATTTCCAGGTCGAGGCAATAAAAAACCACGAACATTTTTGTATGCTTTAGGAATTGACTTTTTGACCCTTTGAACTTGTGGTCGATTTGTGGTTGATGTACACTTTAGTTGCTTATTTATGTACTTCCCCCCACCTTCACTGCCATAAAGAAATTCCTTTGGATGTCTCCAATCGCGAATCAAAAAGGTGATTGTCTGCGAATAAAAATAATTAAACAAAATGACCATGATAAGTATCGGATTAGTTAGCCAGTCAATTGTTTCAGGTGCATGGACTTGATGGTAGAGGGAGCTGAAACTGACCAGCGGTTATGTGAACTCCCTGTGGCAGTTGCAGCAATCCTCTTGCACATAATTCGAACCAGCAAACCAACGCGGGGTAATTAGAGGTGTGGTATGTATTTAGACAAAGGTAGGCCTGACCAAAATTTTTCTTTTTTGATTTGAATCAAACCGAATATTTTTTTTCTAATCTAACGGAATGATCGAATATTATTGAGCAATCCCAAATCTGTCTGCTTAGTACAATAAAATTCCCACTTAGATCCTCTGTTAACATACAATTGTTTACATCGGAAATATAGCTGAAATTTTTACAACTATGTCTCTTGAGATGAAGTAGGAGATCACATGCCTTACACCAGTGGTTCCCAACCGCCAGTCCGCGAAGTTATTTTGCCGGTCCGCGAGAAATTTTATTTTGTTGTTTTTCTGTTGTCTCAATCGCTTTACAGAAGCCGAAGTTACGTTTGTTTTTGTACTCAGTTTCTCTTCCGCCGTCATATTTCTGTTTATTAATGGCTCAACGATGTCTTGACGCCGAGTAATCATACTTTTCGCTCTTTTGGTTCCGATTCATCGCGAAAGCACTCCGTTCATTTTTGCAAGATCCAGAAACCTGAAAATCAGCATGCGTGCTTTTTCTGTTCTGCATGCTTTTCTTGATTAATAAGACGAAGTTACATTGGTTTATTAAGCAATTTCTTTTCTGCCGTCATTTGCTGTTTAATAAGTGCGGTATTAATGACCCGAGACATCTTGGCAGGTTCGAATCCCATGCGGGGATAATTATGTGCGAGAAGATTGTTGGACTCCCCGCCGCCATAGAGTGGTTCACCATCAAGTCCATGCTTCCGACAACAACTAACTAATCCCAACCCGACATGGAAAGGTAACTGGACGAAAGGCCGTGGTTCACCATATGATTAAACTGCCTTATCGGCTTTCCTCTCCCGCAGGATAAATATGTAAAATCCTAAAATTCCTTTTACGCATAATGGGAGCACAGCACAGCATTTTAATACGCAAATATATGTTGTTATTTTACAATCCACCCATTTCAATTTTTGGCCGGCACATTATTAGTTAACATTAGTTACATTATTTCTCATGGGAAATGTTTTTAAATGTGCCTTTTTTCTAAAAGCATAGTGATTGCCCGACATTACGCAAATATATGTTATTATTTTCTGTTCCGCTAATTTCAATTTTTGCCGGTCTGTGAGTACATTTTTTAAAATTTCGCCGGTCCGCCAGAGTAGAAAGGTTGGGAACCACTGCCTTACACCATAAACTGTCGAAAAATCTAGATGGCAAGGATTCCAATGAGATGACAGTCTTCAAAATGAACTGAACCTCAAAATGAACCTCAAATAAATGAAAAAAAAACGGGGGCACCTAACATGTTAAAATCTGCCAGGGCACAGAAAATGTGGGTGAAGATCAACCAAAGCATTTTCAGTTTTTATTTACTGCAAGGCGTGATTCAAAATTGTTTTGAAAGTAAACACAGCTCACTACTTTAATTGCTTCCATTTTCATGGCAATTTACTTTTACTGACATTTACTGACATAAAGCACACAATCAGAATCCTATATCATTTCAGTAGTTTCTGGCATTTCAGTGGCTGTCCATAATTTTGTTCAGAGATAAGCCTCATCCACTACTGTGTGAGTGCAGACTGCTAAAAAAAAAAATATCAGCTGTGCCACCTAATCTCATTTTAATATTGTTCAAGAGTTAAAACAAGAATATCGGTCGGAGACCGAAGACTTATCGATCGAAACTACGGTTTCGATACATGACTCTATAGTGACACCACATGTCCCATCACTAATTAATTAATAACTCGTTAATTATATGACATAATTCATCCAAAATCAATAGGCTTCTGGTCCGAGATATGATGAATGCACATGCAAAATTTGGAGCAGATTCAACCACGCCTTCGTGAGATATCGCGTACATCTAACAGACAAACAGACAGACAGACAAACAGACAAATACCTATCAACATACTTACCGATCCAAAGATCAATAAGTAATAAGTAGTCAATACTGAATAATTTTAAAATGTTCACTATAGCTAAATTTTTTTATCTTAGGTCCACATGTTTGCTGTGAATGAAACTCTGAATCAGGTGTGTCCAACCTGTGGCCCGCGGGCCAAATTAAACTCTTCTGTATCAAAGTTTGCACACCACTGCTCTAAAAGGCTGTTAAGATCAAACAAGGCCATGATCAGAATACAATCAAGCCGACACATTGATATGGATAAATATAATGAAAACAAACCTGAAAAAGGTGTTCTGTCTTTTGTTGAAACTTCTTGGTAATGGCCTTTGCACATTCCGTGGATAACTAAAATGAAATAACAAAATTTTTCATTTCTTCTGAATACCTACAGTGTGTTGAAATTGAAACAAACATGCATCACACATGCAGATGAAATGATCAACTTAGTCTGAACTTTAATGTACACCTTAAATACTGGTCAGGATTCTTCTGTGACCGATTATAAACTTTTCCAGTGACGTTTTGACTTGTTTTAAAAATACAAAATAAATTTAGGATTTACTTCCAAATATTCCAGATCGGTCATAGCTAAATTCGTTTGAAAGTTGAGAATCTGATGTGATGACAGAAGAGTACTCAGCATCAATAGTTTAGCATTTGTGCCCGGTGAAGTATCATTGTCATACAGGCCTTGGGTATCAACAATCATCACTGATATCTGTAAAATTATTACATAATTGCACACTTGGCAATTTTGAATGAAGCTATTTCACTATCAGACATATGAATATTTATAAATATTGAGTCAGGTACTACTATCATTGACCAACAAATTGCGGGTGATTGTGATCCAACAATCACGCAATCCTTTGTTCCAATGATTAGCAGTAAGTCATAAAAAAAGATTAATTATTGTTTCAAATCACTTAAATATTACAGTCAAATGTTATTATATTGTCAATTCAATTTAGTAACATTTCTCTCAACATTTGGAATTATGGTGGTCTGTGTTGACCATGGGTAGTTATCATAGACTTATCAGTTCTAATTGCAACATCAACTGAAATTCTCCGAGTGTGTAATAGGAAACAGACAATGACATCCTTTCTTCATGCGAGAAATATGAAAAAAATGAAATAGCCTCAATCCGGATATGAGTTCTGAATGTTCCATGCTTAAAACTACACAATTATGAGAACGAGCATTATAAGACTCCAGGACAAAAGGCAGCAGCAAGTTTCTCATGACATTGATAAAATATCTGTGACACGCAGCCTCTTTTTACATAATAAAAATATAATATTTGACTCATTTAATAAAAAAGGGTCGCGGTAAATGTTCAAGAAAGTAGAAGGTATAAAGTTATTTTACCACTGTGCTTGGGGTTCAGTACTAAATCAGACATGGTGGCAATAAAAGAACAGCGCTTGTATAAAGTTTTTTTAATTCAAAAATTCCAAATAACATCATATTTGCAATATTCGTGAAATTAAACTGTGTGTCGCATTTTTCGGTGAACAAAATTAATATTTAATCAGGTTCGTGTTACAAATATTTACTATTTGAAAGTGTAGGATAGGATAGAATTTGCATATTTATCACGGGGGAGAGGAAAGCCAATAAGACGGCTTAATCATATGGCGAACCACGGCATCTCGTCCGGTTACCATTCCATGTCGGGTATGGGATTAGTTAGTTATTTGTTTTTCGGAAGCATGGACTTGATGGTGGAGGAAGACGTAACCGACCAGCGGTTACGTGAACCACCCTACGGCGGCGAGGAGTCCAGCAATCCTGTCGCACATAAACATCCCGCATGGGATTCGAACCCACGCAGAGTAAATATAGGTGCGGTGGCGAGCGTTTATCTAATGCTTAGCACGATGCGCCACACCGCCGCGCCATACGCCCAAATACCACCAAAACGCATACAAGTTTTTATTTTAGTCCTCTATCTAATGGTATATTCAATTTTTGTCCCTAAGACTTAAAAAATTCGAAATAATTTATACATATGTTTACCAAATTGTCAATATCGAACCTCCTAAAGTTTGAATAGAAGCGTTATCAAATATTCTAATTTTCCACCTAATTTTGCTATAATAAGTTCCAGTATTGTTTCTTAATCAGCAGCTTAATATAAATCCATCCATAGTGTAATGTCATAAAGTATTTGTATACTATGTCAAGTACATTTAGTTTGACCTGGAAACACTTTAATATGATATTCAGAAATGTGAGCAGCAATTCCATAAATTAGTTGAAAATTTGGTAAAAATTATATCTTACCCAATTGAAATATTGAACTGCAGAAAGTGTAGGACATATCTTGAAGTTTTTAAAAACGCATGAGAAGGTACATTTACGGCTCAAAATAATTGTTTTTTCTTCAGCGGAATAATTGATGATTTTCTGCCTAATTTTCTTCCGTTTTGTAACATAAACTCTCATGCTATTTATGTTACCTTAAAATGTATTTGTTCAACCAAAGTATGTGTTAAGTTTTACCTCTGATATCTGTGCTTAATATAAATATTGCACTGTACACTATTGGCAACACTGTGCTAAACAGAGCTGATGGGAATTTGCCTTGTGTTGTCACTCCGTGACAATTTTTTAACTTTATTTTAATTATCTGATATATTTCAATAACTATTTGCCTCAAAAACTGAGACGTCAATTTGGGGGTAGGGCCCAATAATTTACCAATTTGGCAGTTGATAGTTGCTTGTTGTTCTTTCGCAGCACTTCAAGAGATCTCGTCACTCCGTGACGTCACAGAGTGACATAAGTATGTCATTTTTGGAAAATATTATTTTTTTGTACGCGAAGTACTATAATATTGGGTTTGAACTGTAAATTCTTCCACTTTGCCCTCTACTTACTTTGGATCTTACCCACAATGAAACTTGAATGACATGATTGAATGGCAATGACAACTTTTTTAAAACTATTGATGACCAAAATATTTGACCTAACATGTGCCGGTTTTGAACAATATGAACGAACTTATTGTAGACTACAATTGGAAAAAAATGTAATTTGTTGGAATGGCAGAATAAATATGGCAAAATGCATCGCTTTGCAATATAAGTCGACATTTTTGTAAAAGGCGTAAGTGAATTCAAATAATTCACAAACAATATTAAATCTCAAGTTTTAACATCGACATCTGGATTTTCGTTTATATCCATTTATCGGGTTAACTCATAGGATGCGAAAAATCATGAAATGTGAAAGAAATATGATATGTTTGTCAAAAATTGAAGATACTTCCAATTAGAAAACGCCAGTGCGTCACTCATTGTCACCAATTTTTTTTTAAGTGCCAACTATATCATAAAGCTGGAAAAAGCAAAAATGATGCAATAACGAGTTTTCGCAGGGACATATTTATCACTGTCTCCTTGTTCTGAATATGCAGACTAAGAGTACTGTGTTTGGGGCCCACTGCTTCTAGGTGTGCTTTGCAAGCAGATGCAAGTACTACCTAACAAGAGCGACTTCAACGCAAAAGAATTTCTATGGTTAATAAATTAGATATCCAAATAACAAAAATCGTCGCATGGTGCAAAGATTCTTAAACTGAATTGCATTAACGGATCCTCCAGACAGGGTTGGCCAATATCGAATAGTTCACTATTTCGAATACATTCGAAATTATTTTTTTCGAATATGAAATTTCGAATACTTTGAAAATAAAATCCACTAATTGAAGCTTATCTAAATGTATGTAGGAATTTCCTTACAATAAGCAATGGAATAACTGCTATCTAAAGTTACAACCTAGCCAAATTACCAGGCATTTCATATTTGCAGATTATTGCAGTATATATTTTATATACCATGAGTCATGTTAACAGAATTAAATTAATACGTCAATAGTGGTATCGATGATGGATTTGAATATTTGCGCAACACAAAATCATCCTAGTAAAACGCCCATACTTTTAAATACCAACCATTATCCAAATTATTTGTCAAAAAGCGGGATAAAGTATGAGGTATTTTTCCTGTAAATACGAAAATAGGAATCAAAAATTAATATTAATCGCGAGTTTGCCACACAATTTATGTCCACAGATTGCCGTGATATTGTGCCGAATATAATTAGTTTTTGATTCTTATTTTCGTACTCACAAAAAATTGTCACAAGTCGGAAAAAGAATTTATACTTTATCCCGCTCTTGGGAACTAATTTGGATAATGGTTGCCATTGATTTGTATTTAAAAGTATGGACTTTTTTACTAGGATGATTTTGTGCTGCGCAAAATATCCGAATCCATGACCGATAACACTACTTATTAAAAATTAAAATGCCCTACCGTGTTAATTTAATTCTATTATCATAACTCAAATGTTGGTAAATCGGGCAGTTTACCACACATTTTAAGGCCACAGATGGCCGTTGCATTTTAGAATTATAATAGTTTTATTATTTTGTAAATACGAATCCGAAATTAATTATAATTGCGTAGTTTACCACGTATTTCATGTCCACAAATACCCGTTGTATTTGGTATTAATACTTTCATTATTTTATCAATATAAAAATAGGAATCAATATTTAATAATATCGGTCAGTTTACCACACATTTTATGTCCACAGATTGTCGATACAACCATGAGTTACGTTGAACAGAATTAAATTAATACGGCATGACATTTTATATGCTGGTACCAGTCATGGATTGGATTATTTTGCGCAACCAAAAATCATCCTGGTAAAGGATCGATACTTATAACTATCGTTATCAGAATTATTTGCCAGAAATTATTTTCTAATAAATCGACTTGTTTTTCCAACTTGTGACAATTTATTGGATATCGTAACAATGACGGCTATAAATACCGTATTTCCCGGCGAATAAGTCTACATGGCAAATAGGTCGATGTCTATTTTTACACTCAAAAAAAGTTTTTTTTCCATATGGCCTCCAATAAGACGGGTAGAAAAATTGTGTCCCTATTGTTCAGTAATGCTGATATGCGCTAATAATTTTATATGTTTAGGATCAGATTATGTTAGTTTGGTAGAATCATACTCACAGAATTAACTATATTTAACAAATGAGTGGTAAATTTAAGTCGTAAAGCGGCAATCATTTTAGACAACCTATTAACCCGAATGTCGAAACAATTTTGGAATGTGATAAGTACCACACTGTATGTCCATGGGATTTCACAACTGTGTTTTCCTATCCCTGTCCTGTTCTGCTGAATCGGCAAAACGAAAGGGTCACAAATCACTTTATCTCCGTGGCCGTGTTTCTCTTTAAAGTAACGATAACGAGCCTGCGATTAAATATCATGATTGGCAGACCCTGGGACCCAAATACAAGGTTACACAAATCATGCTTGAGAAGACTCATGCGAATAATAAGCAGGCCACATAGAAATAAAATAAACATACTTTCTCAATTTTTCGACGTGATGGAAATGAATTTGTAAATTAAAAGCCACGTACACGAATGTCGACAATGTCCACCCACGCAAACGCGCAAATGTGTCGCAACACTATGCGACGTACGGTCGCACAGAATATAAACAATCAAAGCGCCGATTCTATTTCATCGTCATTACAATACGTGAGACAGCGTAAAAAGTCGTTTGAAGATTCCCGTTAAAACGAAACACCACGTTTACGGCGAAAAGTGGCTACTATTCGTAATTATTCGAAAATCAGCCGAAAAGGTATTCGAATACTTTGATATTCGAATACATTCGAATATTCGATTCATTTTGGACAACCCTGCCTCCAGATTCTGTATTTTGAATCGCCCATACTTTGTCAAGTCACTGCAATAAGATTCCAGATATATAGGAGTGGAATAGTTATGTCTGTTTCATGTTGTCTGTGCAACATAGCTTTTTACTTAACTATATAGATTATTAAAGTTAGTGCACTCGTCTAGCATATTAATATGAGGGAGACACAAGCAGAACGACAAAAAATATAATGTATCCCAATTTTTTGTTTAAATGTTTTGTAATTTCAAACAAATAACCAATTTTGACCTAATATAACTAATTGTTCAACATTCTTAATACCATTTTAATGATAAGGAATTTTTGTCACTCTGTGACGTCACGGAGTGACATGCGACTAGTTGGGCCGTATAATTGGGCTGCTTCCTGAAAAATGTTTGTTGTACAATAGATTTTGCATAAATGTAGAGATTAATATCTCTAGAATACAGAGACAAGTTATTATAATTGATATGTCATGAAGCTTTTAACGAAATTTGATTAATATATCGCAGTCATTTTATGCATTCAACTTTTTGTCACTCCGTGACATCACTTGTTTTGTCTCGTCGTTTGAAAAATATTTGGTTGAAAGTGAAAAGTGAATTATGGTAAATACATCAGTGTTACTGCTACCAATTGGCATTCTAAAAATAGCAAACCACCAAGACCTTGATATAGTAAAATTGATTAAATGTGTGAAATATCACTCCGTGACATTTATGGAATTGCTGTGAGTCTGATATTTGGCTGGCATGACAGCGTTGATAAAATAAATAATTGTCTGTTGAACGAATACAATGAATAACAAAAGTGCTTGGAATACTTCATAAAAACACAGTACAGTAATTTACCTTTTTTCCACTTTGTAAAGGAACATCAAATATTTCAGGCCAAACATTTATTCCTTCCGTTTGCCTGCACGTTCCACTTTCCCATTTAAATCCATCATTTAATTTCTTATCTGCAAGTCCGAACCATTCAGTGTTTGCCCACTTAATGAAATTGAAACTTTATGAGTTTATTCAGTCTACATCTACTAATAATGGAGGAAGAAAAGCGTGAAGGCTGAAAGCTTTAAACAATAGTTATTAAAGATTGAATGTTGTCAATATGGCTTTTCTAATTGGACATAAATGTCAACCGCATTCTGCAAGAGTCAATAAATCATTAAAAAAATAAATTATTAACTCAGAGCTTAGAATCCGAGTTTTAAAGTGAAGAGTCACAGATTAAATATTTGACTGAAACTAAAGCAGGCCTGAAAACACCTAGGTTTTCAAATTTAGGTTGTCTACATTAGTCAAACGTTTTTAACAATCAATCGTCTGCTTGCTGGCCCAGACTCAGTTTTTCAATATTTTAAGATTAGTCAAACTAACCCCTTTTTCTCTGAGAAATCTTAGAAAAATGCTCAACATGAAAGACTTCCCAGTTCTATATTTTCCAGCCATTGAAATGATTGCTATATCTTCTTTATCTGCTAGTTTATCTAACAGCAAGTTCAAGTTATTCATATTTAGGCGAAACTTCCCATCCTGTGTGACATAGGCTATAGAGATTGCCTCTGTGCCTGGAAAACAGAAAATAGCAAAATATAATTCAACTAGAAGTCAACCACTGCTCTTTAAACATTTAATTTTATTGAAACGGGCATCAATAAATTTAGAAACAAATTTTAATCTTTACAATAATTTTGGCTCAGCTTCGTGGCATATCGAGCTAAGCGTTAGGAATACACTCGCCATCACACTTCTGATCACCATGTGATCACCAAGTTCCAATCCAGCAGGAGTAATTATGTGCGACAGGATTTCTGCCGTCTTATCGATTTTTCTCTGCTCAGGATAAATAGGTGAATACCATTCTATCCAATATAATTTAATTTTGAAATCCCCTAACTGACTCTCATTGAAAATGAAACTTTGTTTGAGTTTCCTGCAAGTCAGTGCACTTTTTTAGCTGGGCTTCCCAACCCTTTTTCGCTGTTGACCCCTAAATTTTCAAAGTCATATGGACCCCCAAATGTTTCTTGGAGATATCTAAGTTAAATCACTTGCAGTCTTAATATAAATATTTAATGTTATACTCAGTATCATTACCATATTCAATTTAATTTTAGACTGACGGGAAGGTATACCTGTGACCCTTGATGGTCAAGTTCGGGTTTTTCTTTTTGTTTGGTTTGGGTGCTAAGTTAGCATATTCATTTTGCTTTCAATTTTAAATATTCTATGATCCAATCACTTTGATTAGTGTAGCTATGATAGGTTAATTCAATTATTTTGTTCATTTCAATTCTTTCATTCATCTAACAACATATGAAAAGGCAGAAACTTTAATGAAATGCAACCCATTTATTCAATATAAATTGTACTTTATTTGCAGATCCCTGAAATCACACTGTGTACACCTGGAGGACCACATAGACCAGGTTGGGAGGCCTTGCCTTATAGGAAAGTAAAGGTCATTTTATTTCATAATAATAAGTCACTTTGATTCTTCAAAAAAGTGTTTCAAGATCAATCAATAACTCCTTAAAACTGGGACATGGGTAGTACATGGGTTTGGAAAGTGAGTGCAATTCCAAACAGAAATTATAAATACCATTTACCATAAATTAACATTACCTTTTTGAGCCATCATGAAGAATATAGCTTGGAAGCTTCCAAATAAAGAATAATCCAAACTAATATTCCTCTATGTATATGGTTAGGAAAAGTTTAAATATGTTGTGAAAGCATATCTTAAAAGAAAAATAATACAAAAATTTTGCAAAAGACAGGATTAATATTTTCGTATTCAGGGTGAGAGTAAAGTGAATAAATTCTATGGACAAGCAGACAAAAGTTCTATAATAGACAAGAATGCTATTATAATTGTATTCTATAATGAGAAGTGGACATGGTCTTTAATCAAATACCTAGTTTATAATAACGATTTATAGGACACTGGTGTGACAATTTTAGAATTTGAACTGTCAACATTTGCTCTAATGCTTGTTCGAAGCCTTGTTTTGAGTGAATTGAGGCTCATACATGCTTACTATGCCCAACTTATTATGTATTACGCAGCAAAAATTATTTTGAAGACCGTCATAGTACAAAAATAACAACACAGAGGACAAACACACAAGGCGAAAGTTCAGGAAAGTTGCCTCAACTGACATGGAAGATGGTACCTTCTAGAATGAAATGTAAGTAAATTAAACAAGATGACATATTCGCCAATCATGCTCCATACATGTGAGCTTTATGGTAATACATGAACTGAAGTAAAAAATCTGATGAGATACACATTAATTGGGTTTCCAGTTTATGAGCATGGCAGTAATACATATACGTGAAAAATAAACAGAATAATATATTCCTTATAATTAACAAAATAACATATTCCATTAGGCTTTTGAGCATTGACAAATTTAATCATAGACATAGTTTCAAAGCATTGAATTTTCCAGTAGTTATCCAGTAAAACAAAAGTTGGCAAGACGACTCATTCGTTTACTAGCTCCATAAGATTTCACAATTATCCAAGTACTTAAAATTGTCGCAGATATATTCCAAGTATAAGTGTTATACATATATACAGCCCGTGTCATAATTACAAACAAAGTTATTATAATTTATTTTTCATTTTGACTATTTCAACTTTCCCGTTATAACATGAGCATATACATGCAAGAATAGTAGCGGAGAGCGCTGAAAATCTTATCTATATTTTTTTATTTAAATTTTCACAAAAGTGTTTCAAGAACATTTACGTCTAGCGCACGGTTCCTACAAATATCTACTGGTACTAATACTTCAATGTGTACTAAGAATATGCTTAAACCAAATATTTACTCCCACCCTACCTATGATATCGGCCAGCTTTGCGTGACTTATATTGTTTGCAGTTCCTTTAAAAATTGCGAAGTTGAATTAACATGAATGTTCAGTGTTCGGTTACACATTAATTACTGTAACCTTTGCGTTTGTGGCACGCAGGGTTCCGAGTCGCGATTCAAGTCGAGCGGGCGCTCACTCAAGTAAGATTCGAGTAATTTCATTTAGATGTCTCGAATCTTTGATAAATGGTGATCCGAGTCCAACGATAGGAGTAAGCTTGTTCCTCTAATTATCCTGCGAGCGCTGTCGGGTCGCGAATTTGGCTGGGCATTTTCGAATACTAGATGATTTCAGAATTAAATCAAATATTTTTTTTGGAATCGAATCGAATCTCGAATACTTGGAAGATATTCAATTGTATGTGTCTCTTTTTAGGTGACCGTACATTTGAACCCACGTACATTTGAACCCATGGTTATATCCGCGGGTTCAATCTATATGCGGGTGCTGAAACCCATGTGTTAGAGTTAGTATGGGTTCAAATATCCGTAAAACACAAAAAGTTTCCATAGGTGCAATAGTATGCAGGTGCAATTGTCATGGGTTCAAATGTACGTGGGTTCAAATGTAATGGAACCGTCTTTTTATTGTGATGATTATAAAAACATGGCTTCAATAAATAAAATTGAGAAAACCACCTCGACCCTCGGCATACAAGTAAAAAACAATATGTCTGTGATTCGAAATTTTCCTCTGAGCCGATTTGAATAATTTACTATTCGAAAAAAATATATATATTCGATTAGAATATTCGATTTTAAATGCCCAGCCCCAAATCCCGAATCCTCGCTCGACGTTAGTTCATTCACACATGATTTCAATACTCTTGCGGTTGTTGCTCATCGTGACGAAAACGAGAAACACGACATCGCGTTGCTAAATGCCGTGTTTGGGGTATGAGGTTGGAATACTACTAACACAATCAGGGTCGGATCATGCGACTCGGGCGCTAACCACGGCCTCCTTGCCGATCGCGATGGCTTACCTGAAGATCGGATATGATCTTGCCCTCGTATCTGGGGCGATTAACTAATTCTAAGTTCTTATAATTAGGTCATCTTTGTCGGCTATCTTCTATAAAGGATAGATGTGAAAAATCTTATGCAATTCCAATTCTTTATTTAAAACGGGCCACGTATAGAAAGCATGGCCGGTGCGTGACAAATATAATTTCTGATTTGAAGGAAATTTAGATCAGACAAAATAAAAAAAAATTATATTGCCAGATATTTGGAACAGATTTAAAATGTTAAATAACTATACTATACCTATATCTTCAAGATGCCTGCCCATACGATAATATAGCATTTATAATTTATAAAAGTGAAGGGGAAATTCGGCGGAACGATAAAAGGTTATAGCAAACTATGGCTTGACATATTAAGAATATATATATACCGGGGATGGCGAAGCTCTAATGAATTAGTCAAAAGTAATGTTTTTATTACAGAAGAAAAGACTGTGGATGAGAGATATATAATTAAATGTCCGTCTGCGTTAAACTTGCGGTTTCACAACACACAACCTTTGGTCTGTATCCTGCGGTGAGTGATAAGACAGGTTGCGGAAAATGAACAGATAGATCAATAGTATCGTTAGGCCATTAACGTTGTAATTCAATTGTACCCGGGGCTGCATACCGATATACTACATAAGTTTACTCATTGTTAGATTGAATGATAATCGGTATTTTTATCATGGAAATGCGTCCATTTTGATTAATTCGTGAGCCGCGGGTTCACCTGATATATACCAATAAAAGAAACGTTCCATACGCATGGGCCCAAAGTTTCGATCGATGTACATGTTTACCACAGGCACATTTAACGAGCACCGTCCTTGTTTGTATATTACTCAAGGCCGGACCGGAATAAAATTGTAAAGAACTCACCGTAATTTCAAGTAAATTAAAAATTTGAGGTAAAATCTCAGGGTTGAAATGTGCGTCGTCCTAAATCTGAAAGCCGAGTGTCCTAATTTTCAAACCTAAAACCAAACGCGGTCAACGTTGTGACGGGAGAGAATGGAGGTTGAGAACCTTTGGTGTTCCACTTCGTTCTGAGACAATATCTAAAGCAATTCCTACAAATTAATAACCTTAAACCAGAATTCAAAACAGCATCATCGGGCATTTAATTTATATTCCGGTTATTGTTTGATTATTATTATAAGACAAAAAAAAAAAATTTTACACATTTTAAACGAAGAAACACGACTTTTAGTTGAATGCTGCCATTATTTATTTGTTTTTATCAATTATTTTATTGCCAGTTATGCTGATTATGGAGTCGGAATCAACTTATACTTATTTATACAATGGGTCATGACAGACAAACGGATTTTGATTGAATGCGAAAATTGTAACTAAATAAGTAAAATTTTGTGCAATTTAGTGCAAACATGTATACAGTTCCAATATGCTCCCGACTTCATATCAGATCGAGCATAAAATGCGAACCTCGTCTCGCTTTAGTTCCAATGACCATGTTTGACAGAGTTTTAACTCATCAAATTATTGCTTAATGCCACCACCTGACACATTTGGACTTTCTGAACTATGAAATTAAATATTCGCCAAGATATGGATGACGGTAATAACTATTTTAGTCAGAAAGTACACAATGCTTATTATTTAGGCCATTATTTGCAGACTTAATTCATGATTATAGTCGCCAGAATTTTTCCGAAATTTTGCGATTTACCATGTCTTAATGGCGCGAGTCGTCCTACAATAAAACTTATATTGTTTTTGATTTTATTTTTAGTATTTATATTTCCGCTTTTCAGTCACAAAATTTGCGTTGCGAATTCACTTCTTTAGTTGTCTCGCCGCCGATTATTGTCTTATAACTTTCATCTGATTCACAATTCTGTGCGAATACGAAAAGTAATAATACTCGTTGTCGTGGCACAATACATTGACACATGTTATTACATCCCGTGAGATGGTGATGTTTGAACCCTTGAAATGTTTAACACGTTGCGACAGCATACCGTAGTTAGGTCCACGCTTTTACCCTTAACGCCAAACAAGAGCAAACCTGAAATCCGACACTCTACCGCCCCTAATGTAGGGAATATTAGTCATTTGAACAAAATGATGATTCAGATAGATCTAAACTAATGAAAAAAAATTTTTCTAATTCGAAAAAATCACTTACCTAACACGCTCATACTGATTAGGCCAAAAGTCAAATTGTCCCTTTAGCAAAAGTATAACTCATTTAGCACGTCACCGTGAATCTGTTTACGATAGCGTCGAACTTCTATATAAGTCGTACTCTATTGTAGCAGTGGGCAGTGAGAAGTGGAGAAGATATATTATCCTACACTGCTGGAGGCTGTGAAGAAGAGACGTTATCGAAATACATCATTTTATTCACACTAATACCGAAAATATGACCGATATTGCAGATATCCGATATTCTTCTCCCGTTAAAATATTAAAATTGCGAAGATCATATTTGTAACCAAGGTCATTTGGTTTGTGTGTTGTATTAGGCATGAACGTATGTAAAAGAGAAGCATGTCTAAGGAAAAGGCTGAGGTACATGAGTTACAGTTTTGCTACGAACCTGTTGTCTCTGTACAATTTGTGTGGAAAAACTCCTAATTTTCATGTAGCCAGTTGCACAAGCCTTAATCTTTCATGATACTTTGCATATCATTGGATTTCTCTGATCGCTATTCTAAACCTGTCGCCTTATTTTTCAATCGAAAAGAGACACACCTTAAAAACGTCTTCTGAGTTGAATAAACTATAATGTGCATGTACTTTTAAAATGCTAAAAAGGGAAGATATTTAAAAATAATATGACTGTCCCGTGCTCAGACAAACTACACACTGATACTACACATTCTTGTTGAAGCTTGACGCGATAGTTATCATGTCGCCCATATCCAAGGTTGATATCGTCCCACCACCATAGAGATAGATTAAGATACGGTAGTTAGGGATATTGCCCCCTTTCTGTTTGTTTTTATTTTGTAGCCAATAATTAATTTGTAATAAAAGATGGGGCTATAATTTACTTCAAGATAAGCAGGATCATAGAAAAATATTCAGAACTTCGTGCTTACGTAATAACACGTTAGTATCGTTTCTAGTTGGAACAAAGAAGCATCTTGTGTATATTTGGCCGCTTGATTAGCAATAAGGTTAAAGGGTTAAACATAACTTCGTTGACAACGCAGAATTCGTGCATTTGCAGAACTCCGCATATTGCCTAAACTCGGGGTAGCGCTAATACATTTGCAAATTTTTCTGCGCTGCGGTGTTGTGTTTACAATTCGTGTTGCACTCGCTTCCCCTTTTCGAAACTTGCGGCATTTACCCAGTTTCGATGTGGTTAAACGGTCTCTTGAACCCCGTAATTTTATCCCTATTTTTTTTACTAAAAGTCATGAGAACTTTAAATGTCAAGGTGAATTAGGTTTTATTCGGCAGCGGTAGTGAAGTATTTCGAAGGAATGGATTGTTTTACGCGGATCGTAGAAACTGTGCTTTAGACAGCAAATGTTATTCTACAAATTTTAGCTTTTCGCGTATAGTGTTTCGTAGAAAATAAGGCGAGGGTTATTTCAATTTTTTTTTTTGAAAAATAACATCAGGGCTTATTTTGGGAGGGTGTCTTCTACTTAAAAAAAATAATTTGCGCTATTGATTAAATCCTATTTTAATTTATTTTGGGGAAAGGAGGCTTATATTAAAATAATTCAATTCAATTTCAGGCTGAATCTTTTTTTCAGACTAGGCCTGAATACTGTATGTGGGCGCATGTACAGGATAATATTCAACTGTTATTTATCCTCCTAGTTTAGCTAAGTTAGTTCATTGCTCTCTCTCTCTCTTTGTCTAGGTAAGTAATTGTTAGTAAGAGAAACGGAGAATGACGGAGTCAGTAATTTTAAGACATATCTCTGGCTGCTTCTACGGCGCCATGTTTAGAGAGCATATAATAGCTTCATGTGTATCAAAGGGGCTTGTACCGAGCTTCGACAGTGGTGGTGACTCCTCTACGGCCCATGGGCTTGGGCCACGGCCCATCTAATTGGTCCACATGGACCGTGGCCCATCAAGCTATGGGTCGCGGCTCATCAGGAAAAATTCGATTATCTTACCGAAATTTAATAATAAAAATAAAGCAAAATACCAAGCTACAGAAAAGGATACTCTTGTAGTATGTGTACCAGGTTAGGGTTAGAACAAAATTTGGTCCATGTGGCCCAATTAAATGGGCCGTGGCCCCGTCTCATGGGTCGTAGAGGAGTCACCACCCCTGTAGCAAACTTCTGTACTAGAGGCCAGGTTTGAATTTGAAAATTGGTGTAAGCTTATTTATTTGACGGTCCACATCTCACAGCATCCAATTTAGACTTATCAACAAAAGTTTTTTGAGATGTTTCAAGTTAATTCTGACCAAGGCTCTAAAAAGCAGTTACTGATATATAGCCGATTCAAGTAATTGCAGCCTGAGTGGAGAAGTAGATTGCATAGAAAATACAGGATCTTGTTGCAAGAGAAGGGTGAAAATCATGGCATGGTGGCCAAGTAGTCAAAATGTTCGACTATGTTGGCATTGAAGGTTAAAAATCCCAGATTCAATTCTCATGCCTAGTGTGTAATAAATTGGGTAAGCAATACCAAACTGAAAGGATTCCAGTTTCTCCAATCAAAAGTAGGAGTCAGTACAGCAACTAGCAGTGGCTACTGGTACACAAATTTGTTGAAGGTGGATGGCGTAATTAAATATGGCATGAAATGATCAATGATTGATCTCCTGCAATATTAATGTTTGTTATACATGACTGGTTGCTAGTGTTCATTCATGGGCTATAAACACTCCTACTTTTTGAATTGTATTTGTGCTTCTTTGTAGCCCAGATTTTTTCCAAAAAAACTTCTACTTTTTATAGTATTGTTTGCAAAACTCAAGTTATTTACTTGACTGATGATACATTTTATCAAAGACTCAGATTGACATGGATCATTTAATTTTAAATGAAATGACTCGGACACGTAACCAATTGACCACCAGTGAGACTTAACACACTCATTGACTCAACTCAATCCCTGAATGACCTGTGACACAGCGGTATTGTTTGAATATTGAACTTATTGAAATTTATAGCACAGTGTAGAACAACTTGCTTTTAATTATTATGGCAGCCGAGGCAATAGCTGAAATCACAGATGGAAAATTTAAATTGAATATTGGCAATTTGACTGCTGTACTCCACAACCTGAAATGTCAAGATTTGGCAATCGTTTCCATGGCTGGAGCTTATCGAACGGGGAAATCATTTATGCTGAACTTTTTCATACGGTATCTTCGCAATGAAGGGGTAAGTTCATTCAGTCAGTATCAGTATCTTTGGATCGGTAAGTATGTTGATAGGTATTTGTCTGTTTGTCTGTCTGTTATATGCACGCGGTATCTCACGAAGGCGTGATTGAATCTGCTCCAAATTTGCATGTGCATTCATCATATTCATATCTCGGACCAGAAGCCTATTGATTTTGGTGAATAATGTCGTATAATTAGCGAGTTATTAATTAATTAGTGATGGGACACGCGGTGTCACTATGGAGGCAGGAATCGAAACCGCAGTTTCGATCGATAAGTCTTCAGTCTCCGACCGATATTCTCGTTTGTTCCTTGTCCACGTCGGGTATGGGATTAGTCAGCAGTTATTTGTTGCGAGTGCATGGACCTATGCTCTGGTGGAGGGAGCCGTAACCGACCAGCGGTTACGTGAACCACCCTACGGCAGCGAAGACCCCAGCAATCCTCTCGCGCATAATAAACCTGCGAACCCACACAGGCCAATCAGAGATGCAGTGACGAGAATATTCCTAACATTCAGCACGATGCACCACACCTACGAGCAATAATTACTAATTCATATTTATAGTGGGAAAACAAAAACTGGTTTGGACCTGAAGATATGAAAATACAAGATGACTTTGAATGGAGAGATGGATCAAACCCTCATACTTTGGGAATTTTTGTTTGGCCTGAGATATTTTATGTTGAAAAAGATGGAAAACAGGTACATAGTAAATTGCAGTAAGTGGTAGGCCTTTGTATTTACCAAATTTTGAGTTATTGCTTTCAAATCTGATGAACCACATTCAAGCTAAAGGATATTTCATAAAGGCAGACATAAATAAGACAGACTGCTGCATGAGTCTGGCAACCCAATGGAGAGACCCCAATTTTTCGATTTTGCCAAATATAAAAAACCCTGATTAAATGAGTGAAGAAATCAAAATCGCCCAAATTTTCCTGAACATTTTATAATAATACATGATGGCTTAGCAGTTAAAGCGTTAGACTGAGCAGTGTTGGTATCGCAGGTTTCATTTTTGGTTTCAAGTCCCATGCCCCTCATGTTACCTAAAGTGTAAAAATTTGTGTACGAAATGTCGAATCAAAAAGATTCAAATATTAATAGCTCTTTAGATATCATTGGCTGCTTGTGCAGGGTCTTGTTTGAAACAGAAGGCGCGAAGAAGCATTGTATAAAAACAAAAATTCTTTAAAGTAAGATACAATCTGGTTATGTCAGTTAAACAGTATATGAATATGACTGTGTTGCGCATCGTGCTAAGTATTAAGAATACGCTCGCACCGTACCTCTCCTTACCCTGCGTAACTTTGCAGATTTGAATCCTGTGCAGAATAATATTATATATGACAGGATTGCTGGACTCTTCGCCGCCGTAGAGCAATTCACGTAACAGCTGGGTTGTTGCAGCTTCCTCGACCATCGCGTCCATGCCTCTGAAATTAAATAACTGGCCAACTAATCCCATACCCGTCATGGACTGGTAACCGGACGTGAGGCCGTGGTTTGCCACATAATTAAGACGGCTTTCCTCACTCCAGGGTTAAATATGTAAATCCTATCCTATAAGCTAACAGAGACCCAGGACAGGGTTTATAGGTCCGTAAAATCATCGTTCATGAACAGTCACAGTGGCGCAGCCATAGCCCGATCCCCCACACCCCGCCCCTCTTGAATTTTTGTGAAAACTGAAAAAGTTGCCGATAACGCGTGCAATTGCCTTTTGCTAAAATCGCCGATTGCTTTCATCATCGTGACGTGTTACTTAGGCCGTAAACGACTTTACGCTGGACAAATTTTTCACAAATTTGTGCCACGATAACGATGACAATTATTTTATTTTTGTACTCGCACGGAATTGTGAATCCGGTGAGTGTTATTATACGTTCATCGGCGGCGAAATTGTAAAGACAAATGGAGGAGTAAATCCGCGGCCTAAATTGATTGAAAAGCGGTAATATGAAATACTGAGAATAAAACGTAAACAATATAAGTTGACAGTCTGAAAGCGCTTTTCTATGCAATTAAAATCACAAAATTAATGCACAAAATTACGTGTGCCTGTGACACACATTATGTTTGGTCGACGTTTAGAAACATATCGTCACTAAAATCGAATCACGGTTAATTGTGGACAGGATATTTGCCTTTTTTCATCTATTACTTTAAAATTGCCGTCGAAAATTTTCATGTTTACATTAAACAAAGTTGAGAATGCGATGTTTTCCTGGTTTGTGATGAAATATATTATAATTAATCTAAAGCATATTCTATCAATTTTTGTTGTACTGAAATTACTTTTACTCCATGAGATTTTACAGCAGATTTACGGATTTTTCGAAAGGTTTTATCTTTAAAAATAATCCGAGTGGCAGCATTGCGATTGAACTGAGTCAGTATTACAATTACATCTCAAATTTGTCGAGTTCAAAAAATAGCATAAATACGGATCAAAACAATATATAATCGGGCAGTTTACTACACATTTTTATTTTTATGTCCGCGAATTGGTGTGGTGTTTTAGAGTGGCTCTTGTTTTGTCGACGCAACTGCAGGATAAATCGAAGGCAATTAAATTAATAAAGCAAGACATTTTGAATATGCCCGTATCGGTCGGTCATGGATAAATTACTTTGCAAGAGAAAAATCAATTTTTGTTGAAAAAGTTGTCTCTTCTAACAAGTGGCGTAATCGCGGAGACTGTTCGGCGTGATGATGCGGTGAATTTCTATTTTTGATTTACTTGTATACTTTATATGTATTTTCATTGTATGAAGTAAAATTGTACTATACAGGATTTTATATCAGATATCAGATTTTACAAACGGCGATAAACAGTTTGCAAGATTGCAAAAATACGTATCAAAATTAAAAACAACAGGCAGCTTATCTCATATTTTATGTCCACAGATCGGCGTGGTATTTCAGTGTAGTAAATTAGTAATGTTTTAATTTTGACACCCAATTACATTACTATATAAGGACATTTTTAGAATCTCGTAGTTGCTATGGATTGAATATTTTACTCGACAGAAAAATCATTATACGCTGAAATGGCGGCCCTTCGAGCGCGTAAATGCGATGACTGTTCAGACGGCAGTGGGAATTTCTGTTTTTGACCCCCCCCCCCCCTCTTGAAAATCCTGACTGCGCGCCTGAGTCACACATATGTGTAATTACAAACCGCCAACCAATACATTGACTTCTTGACACATCATAAAGTTCCAATCCAGAATACATGTAATGTTTTATCATTTCTGTTTTATACAACACTAATATAATAAAAAATGTTATATCAAGAACGCTTCCTGAAGTTGTGAATTTCCCAAATTATTTCCGATTTTTCAGGTTGGAGTTCTGATTGTGAACACCCAAGGATTATTTGACGATAGAAGTTCACCTGACACAAATATTAACATCATGGCAATCAGCACTCTTTTATCCTCTCACCAAATTCTCAATTTTCTGAGAAATGTGCGGGGAACAGACTTGGAACATTTGCAGGTAAAATATTCTACACTAAAAATTATATTTTGGCTTTTTCTTCGTCTTCTGCAAACTAAATCGCAATGGTGTGTAGTAGTTTTATTTCGCCATTTTATTTTAGGTATGCAAGTCCTATGAATGACCCAAATCTACCTGTGGACTACAAAAAAATAACAATAAATTAATATAAGAGGAAACTGTTAAAAATAAAAAATGAATTTAAACAACCTGGTTAGAATACACGGTATTAATCCATGCTGTCCGAGTGTCCGTATAGATTTTAATGTCTGTGTTTGTGTTATGTTAATATCTTTTATATTTCTCTGTGTGCTGATTTCACAGACATTTGATTTAGGCAGTTTCCACTCGGTCTAACTATTGTGCAGCATTGTGAGTGCAGCTCCAGCTCCAGCTCCCCATGAGGCATGAGAGAATATACTTTTCGCTCACTTCTCACTGAATAAGGCTGGAAGTCAGCTACCTCCAAGTTGTGTTTGCTGTTTTATGTATAGATAGAGTTGCCGTATCAACAAATAACCAATCCAGAATCTTGAGAATTTTTTTACTACTATTTGCTGATCATAATAACCCAATCACATTGGCCATAAAGAAGAGAAAACACAAAAAAAATAATAAGTAAACTGTAAACAGCATGTGTTTATAATATATAGTGAAAATACTACTTTTTTGTTTATGTTTACATGAATATTATTCAATTTATTATCTTTTTTCAGCTTGCATTAGAATATGCACTCGCTGCTTCTCATAAATTCCAAATGAAAGATAAGTCATTCCAGGTTTGTATTATTGATTTCTGAACAGGAACAGCGTCATTTATTTTCATAATAAAGCATATTATTTGCAATTTCCCATTTCAACTTTCCAGACCAAACAATTAGTGTACATTTATATCCGTCTGAATCTGTTTTGTCTAAATCAGTAAGCTCACTTACTCAATTTTGGGATTATTTTATGACTTGTGTATCTATCCTGATTCATAAAATGTGTTTATTCAACAGAAACTTACTTTCTTGGTTCGAGATTGGCCACTTCCTCGTGAACATGAGTTTGGACATGGTGGAGATGCATATGTCAACCAAGTTTTGAAAGAAACAGATTCAAATCAACCAGAAAGTGTTACGCAAGTGAAAAAATCTATTTATCAGGGATTCGAGCATGTAAATGGATTCTTGATGTCTAAACCAAGACCAATTAATGGATGGAAAAGTTCTCGAGATATTCGAAATTCAGGTAAATATTCGCTGTTCGTGGTAATGAATTGTTATGTGTCAGTGGATGCTTTCCGAGCCTTGTTCAGCATAAACATATAACACCTTAAAAAAATGCTGTATCTTATATAAATGCGGTATATAAGTGTGTAAACGAAAATTGATGGAAGTAGAAGATCTCAAGATATTCAAAATTCATGTAAATATTCGATATGTATTATTTGATCTGTGCTGTGGTGTGGCTCATCATGCTAAGCGTTAGGAATATGCTCGCCACCGCATCTTTGAATACTCTGTATGGGTTCGCAGGTACGAATCCTATGCCGTTATAGTTATGTGCGAGAGGATTGATGGACTCCTTGCCGCCGTAGGGTGATCCACGTAACCGCTGGTCGGCTACGACTTCCTCCACCATCAAGTCCATGCCTCCGAAAAAAACAAATAAGTAACTAATCCCACACCCGACATGGAATGGTAACAGGACGAGAGGCCGAGGTTCGCCATATAGTTAAGCCGTCTAATCGACTTTCTTCTCTCCCGAGATAAATATGTGAATCCTATCCTATCTTTATGTGTTATAACTATAACTTGTTATTGTTTCAGACATTACAGGAAAGTTTCGAGATCATATCATTACGTTGGCTGATTCAATTTTAAATCCGAAAAATCTTGTTGTGAAGAAAATGTTTGGGCAGCCTATCTCAGCAAACGGCCTGATAAACCTCATAAGTGAATTCAGCAATTGGATTCAGTCAGGAAAGCAACCTAAAATTGAGACATGTCTAGAGGTAGGAGATTTCTAAAATAATTTGGATAAAAATATATGGAAGTTTTGATCTTGCTAAAGTTACAGGCCGGGGGTGACAAACTAATAACCCTTCACCCTACGAGGATTTTTGTGTTTTCTGTGTCTTCTGACTCCGACTAATGAATCAGAACTTTGACATCACTCTAGCTTTGACTTCTAACTTTGAGTAACCCAAACTGTTACTCAATGTCGCTGATTGCCTGAAGTCTTTCTCAGAGTAAAAATGTCAAATTTATTGGAAGATTAAATTTGGGATATAGATATTTCGGTGCTCTTGTAGTATGTGCACCAAGATGGCGCACAACCTGATAACCCTAACCTGGTACACATACTATGTTAAGGTTGTGCGCCATCTTGGTGCATATACTACGGGAGCACCGAAATACTTATATTCCAAATTTAATCTTCTGTGGAATCTTCTGGAAAGATTATGATACGATATGACATATCCAGGCATTTTAGCATTTTTCTTTATTGAGTTATATTCAGGAGCTGGAAAGCTACTCTGAATATCTCATTTGAAATACAGTTATAAAAATTTGATAGGATTGAGATTCAAGCAGTTTTCAAATAATAGTAATGCCAATAGTTTCACTTTTATCTAGGGCACCATAAAGGCGAACAATGCAACCGCTCTGCAGGACGCTGTGACAAAATATCGTTGTAGTTTGAAAGAGGTAACTGTTTTAAAATTAATATTTAAAATGAAAGAAGTTGTTTGTGTCTTTCTCATGAAAACTTGTTTACCAAATTACTCTGGTAAGGTCCTAACTAATTGCGGGTAATCAAGAATTTGTTAGGCCTCATTATCAATATTTTTTTAAGAAACTGATAACAGTTTATTAGTGAATAGCTGGATAGCATGATCAACCTACTTTTTCTATAAACGGCGCCATGCTGTATATTGATATATATACAATGAAGACATCTTTATTGGCGCATTATCATAATTACTCATCCCCAAATGCTATTTGTATTTAATATGTAACTGTATTTTTTTATTCAACCTTTGAAGCTTATTGGTTCTTCATTTCCTTCTGAAGAGGAACTCCATGGACATCATAAAAATGCACTCAGAGAAGCAGAAAAAGTATTTCGTAGCATGGCAAGATTAGGATCTGAAAGTAAAAATGAGAATGTTTGGAATCGTGTGAAAGAAGAATGTGAAATGTATAACGAGAATATGGAAGAGGAATTTAGATTAAGAAAGGTATTGTTTATTGGGTATTCATCCAAAACAGGGGGGGGGGGGGGAATTTACTTTCCTGAATGGGCTAGTTACAGATAATAGACTTGGTTACTGGGCCGAAGACTCAAAACTCAATATGAAAAATTATGAATAAAAACAGAATATTTACATCAGCTAGTCCAACAGCTAGGCTAACGTTTATATAAAAATAAACCGCACGAAGTAAAAATCCAGATCATAATTACATGATTTTCAACACAAATTTATATTCATAAAGTCATAGTCTTGATTTCAGCAGAAACAAGTGGGCGGGATGAAACACTTCGGTGGGACGGATCCTGTCTGTAATTTTTCCTAACCCTTCCTTTCCTAATTTTAGGTGGCAAAAATTGAGAAACTTCGCATAAAATCAGAAGAGGTGGAAAAAGAGTATGAAAATAAAATGAACAAGTTGCTTACGGTATGTTTTGTAAAGAACTAGCAAGTACATGCGTCTGAAACAAATAACCGGCTAACTATTCTCATACCCGGCATGGACCAGTAACAGAACGAGGGCTTAATCCATCTTGTCGGCTCTACTCTCATCAGTATAAATATGTAAATCCTATCCGAATGGTTTGCTTAATAATTAATAATTAATTGTGCTATAAATGCACAAATATTTGTGAAGCCACACAGAGGAGTTAGATGACGAGCATGTTAGAAATAGTTATTGTGATACCTAAATCATTGAGCCGCTATTGCTATTGCATTGAGTTTATTGTAACTGGAGGCTAGAAATGAAACAATTGCTCACGCTTAACAGCTTATAAGTGCTCATACTGTCAACTAATCAAAGGATTTTCTTCGCTGTGCTAAACCACTTCAAAGAAATACTTGGGAAATTTCAACAGTTCAATTTCCAACAGTTTGATTAAAGCAGGATCTCCAGTCTTAAATTGAGAGTGAAATGGTAGTAATAGAAATGACTACAAGCAACCTTTGACATATTAAGAGCTATATATATGATATGCCTTGTCCTAGCTCAGACTTGATTCATTTTGACTTTTGAGTGAGTGCGCATGACCTTGCTTTGAACATATTCTTAGTAAAAAACTGTTTCCACTGTTTGTCCTAGAATTTCTGACTTTCTTGTATATTTGAATAGTATTTAAGAGCGATTTCCTTTGCAGAATGTTTCGTTGAAAATACTTGAAGTTAAACACATGCAATACTACCATGAGGCGCTTCATGAGTATGAACGTTATACTATCGGTTCGGAAGCCCTTGCACAGGATGGAGATTATATAATTGAGCAGTTAAAGACAAGAATGAGAGCATTTTTCAAACAATTGAAGCAACAACGAGAGATATTGGAAAACAAAAAACAAATAGCAAAGGTAAGATTGGAGGGAAAAGATGGCAAATAAGATAATTTAATTTCTTTGTCTAGTTCGAGGGTTCTCAACCTGGAGTTCGCGAACCCTCAGGGGTTTTGGGAGATTTCCAGCAATACTTGGATGGCAGTTGAGTTTTCATGTGTTGCTATTTTTTATTATCCTTTGATACCAAAGGAAAGTACATGCCGATTGAAACTCACAGATTTTCACAGATTTTCCCTGTTTTTGCGCTGTTGTGACGCAACAAAGTGATATCCAGGGCTTTGCAGCCAAACTGTGAGAGCCCAAAAGACAATGTTTTGCAAGCATTGCAGGAAGTGATATGCTAGTTGAAACTTAAGAGAGGAATTTTAAGAATTCATTAGTTAGGCGGAGAACAAGGCCAATAAAATCAACACAAATATTTAATTTTGCTACAGCAGTTGGTTAATAAATTGTTTTTGCAGTAAATTGTTAGTCAATATTTTACAACTTTGTTTCCTGCTCCTACCGAATCGGTGCATTAGCTCAATTTCAGTCGCTGTGTGTAAACCATGAGGTCTGGAATGTTTGGGTCTTGTTTGGAAGAATAGCTCATTTCCTACCCAGCAATAGAAGAATGAACGTTAAATGACATTTGGAAGTAATAAAATATCGCTTACATTTCACGCGTGTTCTTCCCGCTGCGATAGAAAAACGTCGCACAACAAGAAAATAATCCAATAAACCTTGGCGTTGCGCGCTAACCAATAACAAAAGCTAGTATGATAAGGTCTTATTTTGAAGGTCAGTTTATATGCTACATAACATAGGAGAGTGGTCATCTCACAACGTCAGGAAGTTATAAAAATATCGAGTCGTTTGATCGCGGCTGCGTCGCCGAAAAAAGTTAGTTCACATAAGCGTTTTATCTCGCAAATTCTCCTTGTCTCACGATTATAAGCTTTTATGATTCATAATAAATGTTTTATTATGACTCACAAAGCTTTCAACGCGATAAAGCACAAACAACCGATCGATCTATCAAGCTTAGCCTGGCCTGATTCGATGTGGTAACTTCTCAAACGAAAAATTTCCAAAACGCTTGAACGACGCGCGCTATCGAAAAGCGTTTAGTATCATATCAAAGAGAAAACCAATTTGCAGTCAACTGTATAGTCACATTTGAGCTTTACAAGAGCTACTATACACGTCCAACAGCTGATAGATGAGAGAGTGGAAATATTTTTGTTTAATTTGACGTTACGTGAGACCTCACAAAACACGGATTTCAGTTTACGGTCCTCCAGTGACATCTAGCGTATAGTACTCTAAAAGATCTTTCCAATGATATATAATTTTTGTATATTGGGTAAATTTTGGGGGTCATATGACATGAATAAAAATGGGTATACAAAATTGGGCTCGATTGGGAGTCTAAAACAGGACTGGGAATTCGGGTTGATTGTTTCATGACCTGGGGGTACCTAACAGAAAAAAGGTAGAGAGGTTAGTGCAGTACTGATATAGGGATAGTTAACCAACTAGTTACTCCAAACGCATAAATTCAAACGGTGGCTTAACTCAGTAGCAGTGGCGTGCCTAGAGGGGGCGAAAGGGGCAACCGCCCCGGGCAGCACATTGTAGGGGGAAGCAGAACTGAGCTGTAGAGTTTGCTCTCCTAGATGTGTTCTTATTTAATTAAAAGCTAACAGTATGTGTTCTGTGGTGATGGTTACTCAACAAGGATTGTTTCCCCGACCCTTGACTACAGAAAAAATTTTCCTATATTTTACAATTGCAACATTTTTGATGCTTAGTTCAATAAATCAAACGTTTCTTTCTCACTTGAACTTTATTTGATTTATTCTCGTGTATGACGACATCTATAATCTGTTTATCATCCAAATCATTTTAGAACTTCGGTATAAGAGGCAGCATTATCAGAAACTCGCCCCGGGCAGCAGACTAGTTTGGCACGTCCCTGCTCAGCAGCCTTTACATGAACGACTCTGAAATAAATCAGAGAATCTGATTTAATCTGCAACACCCATGACAAGCATGTTTCTAACAAAGCACCAGCCATTGACAATAAATTTTGAACTTTTGCTGCAATCGGAAATCTATTCTGGATGGGCAAAAACAATCGAATTATCAATTCATGTCGAATATGTTGTTGTTTTTGCTCATTAAGATTGAATTTCTGATTGCAAACAATGGTCAATTTTAGAGCTTAATAGAGAAAGCTGTAATGTAACTCTTTCACGTGGTCAGCTTCGTCATAGAAAGGATTCAAACAGGGTGATCATTGGTGTGAATGGTGTGGTGTGAACGACTCTGAAATAAATCAGAGAATCTGATTTAATCTGCAACACCCATGACAAGCATGTTTCTAACAAAGCACCAGCCATTGACAATAAATTTTGAACTTTTGCTGCAATCGGAAATCTATTCTGGATGGGCAAAAACAATCGAATTATCAATTCATGTCGAATATGTTGTTGTTTTTGCTCATTAAGATTGAATTTCTGATTGCAAACAATGGTCAATTTTAGAGCTTAATAGAGAAAGCTGTAATGTAACTCTTTCACGTGGTCAGCTTCGTCATAGAAAGGATTCAAACAGGGTGATCATTGGTGTGAATGCAGCCGTGTTCCCAATGTATTATCAAGTCTTTCCATCTGTCCAAAATACTACAATCTTTGATGCTTCACATATTTTTATCGACTTTCCTATCCCCCCCGTGATATCAGCTTATTGCTTTGTACAAAAACATATTCAATTTTTTTTCGTGTTTTTTTCTACTATAAATATTTGTGTTTTATTCAAGGAAAAAGAACAATTCGAAATGCAAAAAGCTGCTCGTGATTACTCAAATGACCAACAGCAAAAGATGGCAAAGGTGAGAAATTGAATCATTTCTGATATATAAATTTATATACAGTATCAGAAATATTCTCCAATGTTTTAATTCATAATAAATCATAATTTTAGTTGACTTTTGGTGTCCACTATTTAAGACAGAGCAACAAAATGGCTGTGATTTATCAAACAATAAACTAAAGCAATCTAATCCAAACTGATTCAATTTGTTATAGCAGGGTGGTCCGAACCCCGGCATGCATCAACTAGACATTGCGATAAGAAAAAGTGTTCGAATCTCAGGGTCCCAACCCCAGTTGGAATAGCTAAAGAAATTCAAAAATGTTCTGCCAATAAATACAAATATCTGCGATTGGTTTAGTGTACACTGAAATTGTTCTGCAAGCTGCACGGTATGTATCCGCAGAACAGCTTTAGGGTACTGCTCATTTGTTTTTTTATTTACAGGAATTAAGTATAAAAAGTCTGCAAATCAGTAAGGAAATGGGAAGAAATGACTTTATTCAAAAAATGAAACCGGTATGATATTCTGACATAGTTAAAAAATGTATGGAAAATGAAAAGTATAAATATTTATCATACAAAATATTATTCTTCACAAATCAAAAGATGGCTCCATTATATGAGTAACCACAGTCTCTTTTCGAGTTACCTGTATACTAGTTAAGATATAGTAAATAATGACCTATTTAATTTGTTGCATGGACTTGGTCGTGGAGGTATGATAAAGGGTTATCAGTGGAGTGTGTTCCAATTGCTTAGCGTGGTTCACAAATCATTAAGTCTGATGCAGTTTGGTACCTGGTGTTTCCGGAAACTTTGACTTTTTTTATTTTCAATTCCAGTACGAGAATACATACGAGGAGAACTTCCAAACAATCTGCCGCGGAAAAATGCTGGAAGTTTTGGAAGAATTCGATGAAGAAACGAAAGATCTAGATTCTTTGGAAGAGAAAATATTGGAGGCAAGAATCGATTTGGAGAAAACAATACAAGAAGTACTGAATAGAGGAATTCAAAGAAACAACGAAAACAGGGTAAGTATTACACAAAGTAGAATTACTACCACAAATCAGCGAAGAGTAGATTGCTAGGCGTTCATTAACAACAAATGTATTAAAGCAAATAATTTAAACAGCCACAGGCTTATTTCAGGGAGGTTCAAGCAAATATCGGCCTTCAAAATATTCTAAATTTGACAAAAAAAATAAGTTTTTTTATTCCCTTAGAACAGTGGTTCTCAACCTGTGGTACGGGTACCACTAGTGGTACGCGGGGGCTTTTCAAGTGGTACGCGAGAAGCTTCGAATTATTGCAACAACCGACTTCTAAGGTGGCTAAAATATGGCAGAAACGCTTTCTATTTATCTTCCATTACTGAATGTATTCGCTGAATAGTTTATAGCAGGGGTGTGCAGAGTGCGGCCCGCGGGCCAAATGTGGCCCGCAAGGGAAAATTGTGCGGCCCGCGGAGGCAACTGGAGAGCAGTTTAAAAAAAATAATATTAAAAGATACAAAAGCTAACTGAGCCTATCGGTCGATTTTGTCTAAATCCAACTTAGAATAAGATTTGACAGCAAATTATTTGAAATGAATCTTGGCGTATTTTACAGAAAACATCTCAACCAAAATAACTTTCCACATTTGAAAAAAACCATGGCTTCAAATATGGCACTTTTCGGTAACATATTTTTTTTCTAAAATGGGCGTCATTTAGAATTGCTAGCACTTCCATTTAAGCAAATTTGGATAAAAGTAGTCGGGAAAAGAATCCAGCAGCAAATTTCCCACTGAATTCGTTTAAATTGGGTGTGACAGTATATTTGTATTACAGTTTTAAGGAATTTATGCATTTCAACTCATCATTTCTGCAAGGACCCCCAATGATGAAATGAGATCAATAACAAAAAGACATCATTTTGTGCCTGCAACTAATAGAAAGCCTGTGTTAAATGTAGGTGCGGCCCGCGGTTTCACCCGGTTATTGATATTTGGCCGCGTGCGAAAAAGGTTGCACACCCCTGGTTTATAGCGTTACCAGTTCTTCTCTTTATTGAGCGCTCTCTTCCGCTACTGCCCACCTAAAAGGTAAACGAGACGGGCAAATTTTCGCCCGTTTTACGTGTTACGTCCACAATTCATCAGCATTGAGAAATTGGCAACGAAGGGAGCGTTCGGACTTCGGAGGGGTGGTCGACGCGTGTCGAGATACCCTGATAGAGCATAGATACATCAGTATCAGTAGTTTATTTTTACACATGCCGAAAATACACATTACAAATAGGATAAAGTAAAAAAAAGAAAAAATGCATTTTAGTGTGAAGGAAGACGCGATAAACCAGTAATGATTATCGAGCAGCGTCACCTACAAGGAAGTCTAACATCAAATTTTTTTTTTATTTTATTTTATACATCATAAAGATGTTACTATTATTACCCGATGTATGTGTTGGTTGATCGGCATAATCTTGACTTTTGAGTCCAAATAATTTGAAGACTAGGTTAGGCAGTTCCGGATAGCGGCTAGTGTCGACCGAAGTGTATTTGTCCGAGTTTTGCGATAATTCAGGGGTGGCGATGATTAGAGCCGACGGTAAACGACGCAAATTCTCTCGTGATTTTGCACGCAATTATTACGTTGTTACTGCTAATAATTAATATGTTAAAACTTTGCACGAATCTCTAAAAATGGATGTAGTGCCAGATAAAATACTACCATAGAGCGTTTCTTGTGCCATAATTCAAAGCTCAATAGCGACACCGCGTGTCGTATCACTTTTTGATTAATAACTCGCTAATTATACGACAAAATTCATCCAAAATCAATAGGCTTCTGGTCCGAGATATGATGAATGCTTATGCAAAAGCAAATTTGGAGCAGATTCAACCTCGCTTTCGTGAGATATCTCGTATATCTAACAGACAAAAAAACAGACAGACAGACAAACAAACAAACAAACACCTATCAACATACTTACCGATCAAGATCGATAAGTAACAAGATCAATATCTGTAACATTAATAAGCTTAAACGGCATTAGGTAACAAAATCCACTGAGCTTTTTTACTCAAAAATTAAACGAACTTAATCGCCAAGTTTCCACCAGCCTGGTACACAGAAAAGTAAAACATGCTCAAATTTGATTTTTTTGCAGGAACTGAATGGAACCAGAGTGGGCGATGCAGTCCAAGCGATTGTTTTGAAGTATCGAGGGGCATTGAATGAGGTAGGCTTGATTTTATGTGCGTTTTCTCATTAGCGCTCCAAACAAAGCTCAAAACAAGCGGGCACTCATTTTCACTAAGATCTATTTTTTGAAAGAACTGATGTTCATCATTGTCTGCCCATTTTATTACACCTTGGGTGTGGGATCTGAACGTTTTTATAGTCAGAACTATTCTGATACAATAAATATGTTTTCAAGCTGATGCTGAAAGCTTACGTGGAGACCGGTGGTTTTGAAGTGGTTGAGCAACGTTACATTGAAGAAATTGACGCCCAAGTCGGTAATGAGGCAATCAAAGAATTAATAAAGGAAGAAATAAGAAAGGAAACTGAGAAGGCCAAATCCAAGAATGAGAAGGATAAAGATTACAAGTCTGTTACAGCAGATGAAAATACAGTTGCGAATTATTTAGCGATAGGAGTGATAACCATCACTTTTCCCGTCTGGGTTCCACTGGGTTTGATTGGATTAGTGGTAGCTGGAGTTGTATCAGGGGTGGTCAAGCTTAAAGATTTCATCAAGAGTAAGATGAGATCCAGAAAATAGTTCAAATAAAGAGGAATTATCTCGATTTGTATCATATTTTAGATTTGCCATTAATGCCCAGTACTGGGTCATTTTGCTGATGTAAATTCTGCATGCAAATTTGTTTGCTTGACTAACATGTTGACTAATTTTTCAAATAAATTTGAAGAGCTGATTTTAAGATCTACTAAGGATAAACTAAATTTTAATCCAAGACCAACTGTCTAGGAATACAATTATTGAAATTTTGTGCACACTTTCTGATCCCTCATATTACAGTGGCTTGTCCCACCTTTCTTGTAAGTTGACAAAATCTTGTATATTTTATTACACTGATTGACATATATTATAAACTTTGTTGTAACTATGTATATATGCAAAAATGGGCCAGATTGGTTTCTAGGAAGTTGTTTATGTGGATCAGTTTGGTTGGGAAGTAGGTAGATGGATTGAAGATTATAGCCTTATAGGGGGACGCGAAGTTGGGCTTTTGTAGGTCGGTTGGCAAGTTGGGGAGAAATTGGCTTGATTGGTAAGTAGGCCCGACCAACCTATTAACAGATAAGCTGCCAATCAACGTATCTACCAATGTACTTAACAATCAGCCAATAAGTAGCTTGGGTGGTAGATCATAAACAGGTGGGAAAGTACGTTAATTTGTAGATTTGTTGGTAAGGAGGTTTTTGTTGGGAACATAAAATAGTTCAATTTAAGATAGGATAATTGTTTAGTCGGTCGGTTGATCTTATTTTAAGTAAAATTCAAGAAGATTTAATGAGACATTCAAGGTCGTCTACTAAAATACTAAGAGACATTGAAACTTTTTGGAATTATGGTGGTACATTGCGTTCTATGGTCGTTTATATATGGTTATCTCACTTCTACCAGTTATACTATGAAAGGTACAAAAAGTACCTTGGAATGAGAATTGAAGTATATATATATATCCCGAGATTTTCCTTAATTCCCCATCATTTACAGACTATTTCTAAACTCAATGTTTATAATTTCCCCATAATTGGCATACCATATATATGATATCCAATTGAAATAATTATATCTGTTATATACAACGCTTTAAATTTAGTTTTTTTTTTAACTAATATGAAATAATGCATTTATTAATTTTTGCAATTTAAGGTATTCTCTGATCATGATGGCACAAAATATACATGTCTCTAAATGTGAGATTAGCTTTTAATTTTAAAAACGTTTCCGTGGTAACGATTTTCAGTCAAATCAATTTGATTTATGGTTTGTTCGTAAATTTTGAAAGCCAAAATACTTATTTAAATATATTTAATTAGAAACTAGAGCATTTGTCGCAATTCGATTCTCGCTGACTTAGTAGGTAGAAGAGGATGCTAGTTTGCTCGAAGCAAACCCACACAAAAATTCACAATTCCCGGCAAAGGGCGGAATTTATCGAAAAACATCGGAAACCACTAATTTGAGAGAATAAACAGGAGACTAAACTGAACAGAAATACAAACGGGATTCTTATGATTGACCTTCATTGTGCTACCGTAATTTATTTGCAAAATCCCATCTAACACTTTCCAAAACTGCAAACGTCACAGTGGTTTTCAACTGGTGTTTCGCCAGTATAGTCCATAGGGCAGCAATCAGTAATCAGTAATTTATTTTATCACCAAGAAATACACACTGTACATACAGAACGAGATAAGAAAAGAGAGGAAAATAATGCATTTCAGGGTGAAAGGGGACGCGATAAACCAGCATTGGTTATCGAGCAACGACACCTATGAATAGTCTAACATTGGGTTATACAAGAACAAAAATCGAACTAAATACAGTACTAAAGTGAGGAGTCGGACGCCAAAATACTAACATTGGCAGAAATATGTTTAAAAAGACCGGATATTTCCGGACTCACTAAGCAAACGACTCCGAACGCCGACTGGCAGATAACCATGACAACTACGGCACAAATACGGTAACGTCTAAGTGACTGGAGCACCATATTGCAAGCTGAGTTGGACGGTACCGGCACTGTGCTGATGCATGGTTCATAAAGGCTGGGGACGAATTTGTACACGAGGATAATATGAAGAGAGAAAAAAGAATAAAATGTATCTACAGGTTTGGGCAACGGATTAAGAGATCACTAAACCAGGTAATTGCATTGAGTTACATTACTTACAAATAGTCATTTTGTGTGGCATAAATATAACTAATTTCAGAATTTTAAATCACAACGGTTCTGAAGTGCGATCGAATAGGTCATGTAGAATATAGAAATCATTGAATTAAAAAAATGTATATACACAGCTGTTCAACAGTTCAATAGGACGGTTCATGCAGAATTTATGTCAATAAATTACATAAATTTAAAGTCACAGCAGTACAATAGCCTACTATGATAAGGCAATTCATGCAGAATATATAAGTCACTCAATTATAAAAATGGAAAATTCACAGAATTACAAACATATAATTTAAAAATATACTGATAGTACTAATAGTATGTGTATGGGTCAGTCAGACAGCTGTAGTAGCTGATCAACATAATCCCATTTTGGCCTAGACTGTGCTGTCAAATCTACTGGAACCAGAATCCTGGCATATGCTGCCTCTAATTTTTGAGACATTTTGTTTTTTGAAAAAGCGTAAATGTACCTCCACATATATCTGTGAGGGCATAAGTGAGTCAGTATATTAACAATATATATCAATAAAAGTATTTTAAGTAGATATCCGAAAAATTTGCCAAATAAACATTGATAATTCCATTTATTAGGAATAGTAAAATGTTTATTACAGGTTACTTGGACTCGAGGACTGTGGATCAAGTCGAGTAAACTCATTGTATGATCAAGTAATCCTGGAGAATTCACTTTGCAAATTCAACTGGACCGGTAGGTGGAAATCATGAGTTAAGTTTTTAATTAAAACCGAAAGTATTTATCAATATATGAATATGCATGTGAGTTGACTGTATATGCATATTGAGATGCTTTTGTTTGACTATGAGTTGATTGTACATGCATATTTTCTGCTTTATTTGTATATGTCATTGGTTGTATATGTATTTGGCATTGCCTATATAAGCATATTTGGTTTTGGCTTTATGTGTATATGATTGGTTGTATAAACCAAGGAAATTAGTTGTATTTGTATATGACGTTGCCTGTTTATGCATATCTTGTTGGCTATATATGTATAGAAAGTAATTGTTTGGGCAAATGGCATTGGCTGTATATGCATATACAATTGGCCGTCCATGGAATATGCTGTAAATCCATATTTGTTGGGATCTATAGGTATATAAATATGTATATGAATCATATACTGGCTGTATATGCATATGGTGTTGACTGTATATTCATAGAGCACTGACTGTACATTCATATTTGATTTGATCAAAATGCATATGACATTGGTTGTATATACATATTTGGTTGGCTCTTTTTGGCTACATATCTCTATGTCATTGAATGTATATGATTATTTGATTGACTTTATATTTTATATTAGTTTGCTGTAAATGCTTATTACATTGGCTGTATATGCACATGTCATTTATTATTTATTTATATGGAACTGACTCAATATGTATATGTAATCGGTTGTTTATGCATATGGCTTTGGGTGTGTATGCACTTGGCCTTTGTTGTTTAGGCGTATGGCACTGGCTGTATAAGCATTTGACACTGGTCTTTCATTTGTATGGAATTGACCGTATATGTATATTGTCTTGATTGTATAGAAAATGATTGTATATACATATTTGGTTGGCTCTTTTTCTATATGAGTTATTTGTAAATACATATGTCATTTATTATTTATGCATATGGCATTGGGTGTATATGTGGCACTGGCTTTATATGCATATAGCACTGACTGTGTTTTCCTAATTGATTCGCTTAAAATACATATGACATTGACTGTTTATGCATATTGAACTGACTGTATATGCATGTCAGTTGTTTATTCATATTAATTTGGCCATTTATGTATATGAGTTGTTTGTAATTGCATATGACATTGACTGTATGTGCACATGGCATTGGTTGTTTATGCATTTGGCAGTGACTGTATATGTATTTGACTCTGGTCTTTCATTCATATGGAATTGATTGTATATGCATATTTGTAAAGTTGTTTATGCATATATGGATGTGATCTATAGGTACACGAATTGTCTGTATATGAATATTGCCCTGACTGTATAGAAAAAATTTGGTTTGGTTGATGTGCATATGCGTTGGCTGTATATGCATATGGGATTGGCTGTTTATGTATATAGCACTGATTGTATAATTGTATTTGATTGTCTCAGAATACATATTGGTTTGGTTATTGACATTGGTTGCATATGCATATTTGGTTGGCTTTTTTTAATATGAGTTACTTGTAAATGAATATGGCATTGAGTGTATGTGCACATGGCATTAGTTATTTATGCATATAGAACTGGCTGTATATGCATATGTCATTGGTTGTTTATGCATATGGCACTGGCTATTTGTTCAAATAGAATTGGCTGTTTATGCATATTTGCCATTTGTTTAAATCGAATCGGTTGTATATGAATATTTTGTAGGTATTTGATGCATATATATAGTAGTTGTCTGTAAATTTATATGACATTGGCTGTATATGTTTTTAGTATGCTATATGTGTATATGCGTTGGCTGTATATGTATATGCATATTTGTTTGGCTCTATATTTTTTCTATGCAGATTGCATTGGTTGTTTATGCACATGTCATAGGATATTTATGCATATGGCACGGGTTCTATATGCATATGTTATTCATTGGTTGTTTATGCATATGGCATTGGGTGTATATGCACATGGCATTTGTTGTTTATTCTTATGGCACTGGCTGTATATGCATTTGTTACTAGTCGTTCATTTATATGACATTGGTTGTATATAGTTTTATGTCTATGTTTGAGTAAGCTTTATAAGAACATATTTGGTTGTTCCTATATTTCATATTGGTTGGCTGTATGTGCATATTGCATAGACTGTATATACACATGTCGTTTAATAATTATGCATATATTCGTATTTGATTTTCTCAGAATGCATATGACATTGGTTGTATATGCAAATTTAGTTGGCATTTTTCAATGAGTTACTTGTAAATGATTATGGCATTTAGTGTATGTGCACATGGCATTGGTTGTTTATGCATTTGGAACTGGCTGCATATGTATATGTCGTCGGTTGTTTATGCATATGGCATTGGGTTTATATGTACATGGCATTTGTTGTTTATGCATATGTTTGTTTATTCAAACGATTTGGCTGTATATGCATATTTGTTGGCTCTTTTTTATATGAGTTATTTGTAAATGCATATGGCATAGATTCGAGGTGTACATGCCATTCACGTTTTAGTCATTCGACATTGCCTGTATTTGCTTATTTGACTGGTTCTCTATAGGCGTGACTTGGCTGTGTGCAATTTGGTATTGGCTGTATATGAGTTGAGTAGGCTCTATATGTACATGATTTGGCTACATATTTATATGGCATTGAATGTATATGCATTTTGCATTGGCTGTATATGCACTTGTCATTGATTATTTATGCATATATCATGCTGTCCGTTCATTCAAATGGAATTGTCTGTATATGTATATTTGTTGGGTTTTTCATGTATATATGATGGGATCTATATGTACCGGTATATAAACTGTTTTATATAAATATTCTCTTGACTATATAGGATATGGCATTTGTTATTTATGAATATGGCACTGACTGTATATGCATATGACATTGGCCGTTTATTTATATGGAATTGGCTGTATATGCATATATGGTTCGCTGTATATTTGTAAAGGGATTGTCTATTTTTGAATATGACATTGACTGTATATTCACATTTAGTTGACTCTATATGTGTATGAGTTGGCTCTATATAAATATGATGTTGTCTGATATTGTATATTTAGTTCACTTTATGTGTATACAATGTGGCAGTATATTCATGTGCCAATTGCTTTGCATTGAATATGGCATTGACTGAGCATACATACTTTGTTGGCTTTATATATATATATGATTTGACTGTATATGAATATTTCATTGGTTGTATAGGAATATTTGGTTGGTTCATATGGATATGCGTGGGTTGTAGATGCATATTTTGAAGTCTATTTTAAAATAATAATTTAAGAATACTTTTGTTAAAAATATAGAACAGTTTAGAGAAATAATATTTTGGTTGATTTGCGATTTTAAAATGTCAGGAGATAAATGAATTTGCTCATAGGCGCTATGACTTAGCCCTAAAGTGTTAGACATTGCTGTGTTTTATCAGTGGCTGCTTGTACAGGGCTTTGTTCAAAGCAAAAAGGATGCACAGTGGTCCTATAGAATCATATGCCCGGCATTCTTCTCATCTCTTGAATGTTTGTTTGCTCATCTAAAATCTCAGATGTATATAGCGAAGTCCTAAAAGTATAAAATGTAATTATTTTTCTTTTTGTGTAAGCATAATAAAGAAATACCTCCCTTTCAAAAATCTAGGTCTGAGGCTAAAAAGCAGAAAATTTGTCAAATAACTATATATCGATTTATTTCAACCTCTACCTATACACATATTTTCCGTAATCTCATCTGACCTTTAACTTCCATGCTTTTCTAGCGACCACCCTGTATTAGCTCCTTACACATCGTTGGATATGAGTTGTTGCTTGCACATGACCTTGTTCAGACCAAAAGGCGTGAATAACTGTCATACAGAAAAATTAATTAGTTGTATGTATGTATGTAATAATTTGGGTGCTACCATGTTTTTTGATGGACCGGAAACTTCTGTACGTTTATAATATAATCAATCATTGAAAAGTTTTGCAATTGGGGATGTGAAATAAGTAAACAAATAGCTTTTCACAAATACCAGAAATAATGCATAATAGAAAGTTTTGTATAATCTGATTGGTATTAGGTACCTATCTCAGCTGTTTTTAATACCATAGATGAGTGCAGAAAAATATTTGCACAATGTTATCTTCTATCTGTGTTTAAACAAACATTCTGTGTACCAAGCAAGATACATGCTTAGACTGAACATTTAATGTTTGGTTGCAAGATTAATCAGTTACTAAGGCTCTGCACGTATTTACTGTATCAATGTCCAAATAAACTTTTCTTTGACGTCATATTGTAAAACTAGAGGTTCCGTTGTGTTTCTTTGCTAGAGAGAGACGCCATGTTAGAGGTTGGAAATTGTTATGAGCTTGTTGTTTTTATGGTCTACGTATCATGTCATGCAATTTTTAATTTCACCAATCGAAACAATTTGAACTCTGCACAAGACTCTAACAAGCAGTCAGAGATGAGTAGCTAACTCAATTAATCACAGCCTGAGTGAAGAGATGGCCAGGATTTTATTTCAATCGAAGAATATTGTAAAACTAGATGTTCCTTTGTTTTTCTTTGATAGAGGGAGGCAAGGTTTGAAATTGAAAATTGTAGTAAGCTGATTGTTTTGATGGTCTTGTCAATGCCTTACCCCCATGCAATTTTGAATTCTATCAATAAAAATTCTTTGAGATATTTCAACTTGGGGGGAGGGGGGCAACTCTTTTTTTGTATGATGATGTAATACTACGCTTACTCGTGCCTTTCGATCTGCACAAGGCTAGATGAATGCTCTAATATCTATCAATATCTCAGAGAATCTCCCTACAGACTTACGTTGCTGTTAAATTTATCCAACTCGGTAGGTTCATTTGGTGAAAAGATTATTAATAGCAAGCCAGGAAAAGTCAGTTTCAAAATGGTGTTGGAAAAGACATAAGAATTTATGTCTTACTGCAAATGCTACAAACTGCCTCTCAAGCCTCAATGGTTTTACATGACAGGTTGCTAGTTTTCATTCATGTGCTATAAACACTCCTACATCTTTGAAAATTCTGTTTGTGCTTTCTTGTAGTCCACATTAATTTCAATGCCCTTTTTCTTGATCATCCTGTTATTGGGTGATAGCTGACCCTTTTATGAATATTACCCAATTTAATCCCGTAAACTTTTGCTAATGTATTCATTCACAGGGCGTCCATAAAGTCCATTTACAATTTCAATTGTGTTTCGAAGTAAGTTTTCAATATATCTTAACCAGGTTTGTCGTTTTTTAAACAGTGACTGTTCAAGTATTTTTACTTTATTTAATACATCTGCGAGGGCCAAAACAATATATGGTATCGATAAATTCCCTTTGCAATTTTAAAAAATTTTAAGACTTCATGGACACCCTATATATGTATGTAAATTATTCCCTGGTTTGACAAATCTAATAGACGCCTCACTGTTATCCACTTATTGAAATTTACAGCATAATTGAGAACATTAATTAATATAAGTCATGAAAGCAAAGCCAATTGCTGAAATCACAGCGGAGGGAAAATTTAAATTAAATGTTGGCAATTTGACTGCTGTACTTCACAACCTAAAATGTCAGGATTTGGCAATCGTTTCCATGGCTGGAGCTTATCGAACAGGAAAATCATTTATGCTGAACTTTTTCATACGGTATCTTCGCAATGAAGGGGTAAGTTCATTCAGATTTACATAAATGCTTAAAATTAATTTATTTATTGTATGACTTTTATATTTACGTAAGAAAAAATAAAAGCCTAAATGATGGCTTAGGCATACATAGTTCATTAGGGTAATTCGTGGCAATTGGCTGTCCAAAAAATGATGTATGAATATTTTTTGTTTGGGTGGTTTGAAAGTTGTAAATAGAAATAAAGTATTTTTGAGTTGAATTTAGAATTGACTTAAATTTGGCAGAAATTGACAAAGTTTATTTTCTTTTTTCGAACTTTGATGTGTAAAGTCCAACCTACGTCCCATCTAATTTATTTAATAAATAGCATACTGTAGATATGGTATTAAACAGCTTTCATATAGCAATAAACACTAACTATATTTATAGTGGAAAAATAAATACTGGTTTGGACCTGGAGATATGAAAATACAAGATGGTTTTAACTGGAGCCGTGGATCAAAGCCTCATACTTTGGGAATTTATGTTTGCTCTGAGATATTTCATGTTGAAAAAGACGGAAAACAGGTATATTGTCATATTTCTGTTTTACCCTATATGGAGGATAATAATTGTATTCAGGGTTGTATAAAATTTCCATAGATATTTTGTAATGATACTCAATGGCCTAGTGTCAATAGTGTCTAAACCAACATTTCTCAATTTGGGAAAAATTCCCAGTGAAAAATTTGAATGCTTTCGGGGAAGAAATTTTACTTTGTATTATCACTATTACTTGGTACTTATTTAGTAATTGTAAATTTGGTATTGCACAAAAGCCATAAATACAAGTAGCACATAACGCAATGAAAATGAGTTTTTATGAGTAGTAGGCGAGAAATGTAGGTCCTAAAGTAGGCCAATGGAGGAATGTGTTGAAAAAGGTTGGGAATCACTGCTTTAAAGCATCAGACTCAACTGTGTTGGCGTTGCATGTTGAACATCTCTGCTTCAGATTCCATAAACACCTAAACTTATCTCAGGATGTAACAAATTGTGTAGGCAATGTCAAATCAAAAATATTCCTGTCTTTTCAAATAATAATAATGGCTCTTTATATATCAGTGACTACTAGGGTCTTGTTTAAAAAAAAACATGAATAAACGTTCCATGAAAATCATGCAAATCAAGATACATTCAAAGTAATGCAATTAATTAAATTGCACAAGCAGACCGACACAGAGAGACTCAGGACAGGGTGCGCGTCTCATGCAGTTTCGTACCTAGCATACTTCTAGTGGGCATAGCATCAAATTTGTCGACATACCAATCCTAACCCCTACCTGACTATGTCATCCAAAAATTACGTCACTACGACATCACAATCACGTCATGGAGCTTGCCAACAATACGTACAATCACCCGAAATAACGTCGGCGCCGATGATAAAGAACTACTGTTAGCAATCTCTCTCATATTGGGATCTTTGCGACAACAGAACAAGAGAAATACCTGTTTGATTTCGGGTGCTCGTCTGCGCGTTTCGGATAACAGTTTGTATAGTTTGAAGGGCACGCCACTATGACATCATAGTGACATAATTTTTGGATGGCGTAGTCAGGTGAGGATTAGGACTGACACATGAAAAAATTTTATGCTATGCATACCAGAAGTTCGTTAGGTATGACATGAGATCACAGGGTGACTATAAATCCATGGTGTGATGGGTTAAATATAAATACTTCACACATACATGAACTTTCAAATCCGCCAACTGATATGTTGACTACTTGGCAGTTACAAAGTCACAATGTATGACATGTAGTATGTTATTATATACCAATCTACACAGTTATATTAACTAATATTATATCTACAATATTTTCCTGAAGTTGTCCTGCATGCTCAAATACCAATTTTTCAAATTACCTTGATTTTTCAGGTTGGAGTAATGATTGTGGACACCCAAGGATTATTTGACAATAATAGTTCACCTGACACAAATGTGAACATTATGTTAATCAGCACTCTTCTGTCCTCTCATCAGATTCTTAATTTTAAAAATAATGTGTGTGGAAGAGACTTGGAACTATTGAAACCTCTAATAAAAAAATCAATTTTCGTCGATCAAACGCGCGAGAAGCACCACAAGACTATTAAAAGCTTTTTTAAGTATATTTGCGGGTGTTATTGCTGGAGAGATAAATTTGAATTTATTTCAATCATCTGCCACGTAATAAAATCTGTTTTTCTGCCTTTTCTGTGGAGCTAGACAAGGCAGATTCATGACCTCAATATCTGACAGCACTTACTTTTTCTAGGAAGTTTTTTTCACATATGAACCATGTCAAATCCCCCGTGAGGTCACTAATTTCTGATAGCCATATGAAAAATCCGTTTCGCATTGCTACAATGTCCATCGCAATGAATATTGACAAACTTGTTGGATAAAAGCAATGCCACAATCCACATCGAAATATCTATGTGCGGTAAAAACTTTTACTTCACTGTATCTTCGTATTTTCATTGTTCTTATAATTCTGGAATGACGGTTTAATTTGATCTTTCATTAACCTGTAGTCGGTGTAGTGTAGAACCTCCATGCCAAGTGGCCCGCATAATCATTCATAAACGACATGTGGCTCTTCGGCCATAAAGGTTGAACGACCCTGCCGTATAGCAAACCATGGCCTGGTTACCATAGCAAAAGACATAGTCTTAAATTTTTATAAACTTGCAAACCCAGACTGATTAACTGGTACCAGCAAGAATTTTTTTTTTATATCTATTCTGCCCAAGCTTCCTGACAAGCAGAAACTAATTTGTGTGTATATACCATTTTGTTGGAGATTCAGAGTACTTTGATTAGCCTGATTGCTCAATCACTGCTAAATTTTAATTGTGTCATCACATTGGTTGTAATATTGTTGTATTATAAAAAGACAAGGTAGTTATTTATTCAATACCTTTAAGACCAGTGGCTCTCAAACTTTTTAGGCCCCATTTTAGAATTTATCAAGTTTCGCGCCCCGTCTCAAAAATAACCACATAACAATAAGCTACAAATTACAGATAGTTAGGCGAAACTATGTTTACTCAAAAAACTCTTTGCAATCTCTCAATAACAAGAAATGTAAATATCCAAAATAAGATCAAATCTAATAAATATTTTTATTTTTAATTAGATTTACAATCCCTCAAAACACTGTCCCCGCCCTCTTTGTGGAGAGCAGACTGTAATAATACTGAGACTGCTCAGTGCTCAAACTATGTTTGTGACAAGTAGTGTTGACATTGCTAGTTGCTCATTTCTAACATGATATTATATTTAACTGGTTTGATTTTTAAATTTTTCCAGCTCTCATTAAAATATGCACTTGCTGCTTCTCGTCATTTCTCAATAAAAGAAAAGTCATTTCAGGTTCGTATTCATTGATTTTTTAGCAGGAAGAGCATAACTCCTTTCCCTATTTATATATGTAGACAGTGCGTATTGGACAAACCTTGGTTTGATTTAAAAGACTGTATAATATTCAACTCATGGATGTTAATGACATTAAAATCATATTTTAAATAATATAACTGCAGTGCAGCTATCGTTAGATGCTAAATCAACAAATAATATTAATGACGAAGCAATATAGTAGCCTCTCTCTCACCAATGAGTCTTATTGCTCTCACTGACTGCCCCAGTAAACAACAAAATATTGTATTGATAATAAATTATATATATTAAATAAACTGCCATACTATATGATCGGGACATTTGGGTCCGCGGGACAGATAGTCAAAATTAGGACTGTCCAGGGCGCTAGGCTCAACCAAGATGTCTGTTAAGACTACTTATATAGCATAGTAAATCTTCGTTTAAAAGTCCTGTTTATCCCTAAATCTATCCCTTATCTATCCATGAATACATTAGTTGATTAGTTTTCTATATAATATAATTTCTGTACTCTCAACAAAAAACAGTTTCGAAACTAAACGTCTCCATCTTTTCAATTAGATATTAGATCCTTGGGTGTCGCTGCTCGATAACCAGCTTTGGTTCCTCGAGGCTTCTCTTCGCAGTTGAAATGTGTGATCTTTTTTCTTCGGTTTCTGTGTGTAAACTGACTTTTTATTGGTTGAGACTTGACTCAACTAGTCTATGTTTATTCAACAGAAACTTACTTTTTTGGTTCGAGATTGGTATTCCTTTGAATATCGCTATGGTCATGGTGGAGATGAATACATTGATGGAATATTGAAAAATATGAATCCAAGGCAACCAGAAAGTGTTACGCAAGCGAAAGGATCTATCCATAGTGGATTTGAGCATGTAAATGGATTCTTGATGTCCAGACCAAACAAAGAAATCGATGGAGGCGAAGGATTTTTAAGGCTTCAGAATTCAGGTAAATATTCGTTATGTGTGGTAATAAGTTGTAGCTTCTTATGTGTCAGTGGATTCCTTCAGAGCCTTGTTCAGAATGAAAATATAATACTTTGAAAAGGTGCTTTGTGTAAGACAGTGGTGTTCAACCTTTTGCTGATCGCGTACCACTTCATTGTTATTTACTCTGGTCATATACCACTGATAAAGCCCTATTTTTTTGGGTGGGGATAATAGCACAAGAAACGAGCTATGGGAGTATTTTATAATGTGGCACTGGCACAACATTCAAACACTCAAACAAAAGAGGGCGATCTCTAAAAAAGAACTGGTAGAGCTATAAACACCGTTCAGAGAAAACATACAGTATGAAAAAAAGAGAAACTATTGCCGGCATATTAACCCAAAAGTTAATTGTCGCAGTAATTCAAAGCTGCTCGAGTAAAAAAAGGAAGGTTAAAAACCACTGGTGTAAGGTGAATGTGGTGCATATAACAAAAAAATTTCCCCAAATAGGAAACTGGCAGGATAATTGAATTGCTTTTTACAAACCATTTTTAGTATTAAATGCAGCATTCACTTTTCACTGATAGAATAGTTCATGTAGATAAAGGTAATTTTTACTCGAGACAAGATTGTTTTTGAAACATGGCTCAAAATACAGTTGAGATTCTACTTTTTTGGACCAACCAATAAATAGATTATCAACATTTTCCCAAATCTGAATCACCCTTGCCAGAGATAGGCTAGGAACTGTTCCTTGAATGGTGACGGAAGCCGTAACATGTCATAGGTTTTATGAACTGTCATACTTTATTATATGCGCCATGAGTGCCTATAGCTAAAATATAGTACTCCCAAAGTATGTGAACCAAGATGGCGGACACTGAAACGTAGTATGTGTACCAGGTTAGGTTTAGGCCATAATTCTATTCCGATTTTCCTTATTTTAATTCTATTACGAGTTCGGGGACTTGCCAAGTGACTCCCGTATAATTTGTATCTGAAATTATGGCCTAACCCTAACCATCTTTGCCATCTGGGTTCACATACTTCGGGAGTACCAAAAATATACCATAAGTGTTGTATTACCTTTTTTATATTCTCCGGACAGAGTGAAATTTTTTTTCCAATGTTATGCATTTGTTTTTGTTATTTACAGGAATTGAGAATAAAAAGTTTGCAAATCAGTTCTGAAATCAAAAGAAATAAATTCAGTCGAAAGATAAAATCGGTTTGATATGCTGACATGATCGATAAAATCTATAGAAAATGGAAAGTAGTGATTTTAAAAGAATATAAGATATTTATATCTACAAATCAAAAGCCAACAAATGGCCTAACTATATGAGTAACCACAGTTTCTTTTCTACTTACCTGCTCAGTTCAGGTATAGTAGGCCTAATAGCCTATTTAATTCGTTCCCATGTATGGACTTGGTCAAGGAAGATGGATGAAGGATCATCAAAAGAGCATGTTCCAATCGCTTAGAAAGGTTCACTAACCATCAAGCCTGATCTTCATTAAGAGTTTGGTACCTGGTTTTTTCGGATACTTTAATTGTCTTTTTTCAATTTCAGTATGAGTGTAGATATGAGGAAAATTTTGAAAATATCTTCAGCAACACCATGCAAGAAATTCTGGAAGAATTTGATGAGGAAACAGAAGATCAAGGAGACTCTTTAGATGAAAAAATATTATTGGAGGCAAGAATTGATTTGGGAAAAACAATGGAAGAAGTACTGATTGAGGGAATGCAAACAAACAACGTAAACAAGGTAAGTATTACACAAAGTAGAATTACTGCCACAAATCAGTGAAGAGAAAAGTAGTTTGTTAGGCGTCCCATTCATCAACCACAAATATATTGGAGCAATTGATTTGAACAGCCCCAGGCTTATTTCAGGAAGGTCCAAGAAAATATTGGTCTCCAAATTAATTCAAATTGGACACAAAAAATGAGTTTATTCCGATGCCCTGAGAAAAAGATATGCATGGGTCACATTCAAAACCAGCTTCTTTGTACGCATACAACTCGATCATCTATAGCTCAGTTTTCGAATTTCAAAAAACACACAACTGGGTGGCGGAGGCTTGTGGGTCCCAGACCTTGTCGATGTTGACATGGTTGGATTATGATTTCGTTTGTGACCCAATCCAGACAACAGAAACGTATCAGGAGTAAATGAACATGTCTAAACTTTTCATTCGGGAATTGAACTGGGAAGCAAATTGTTGGGTGGAAAACCTCAACTGTGCAAGCAATTGATGATGTAATTTTTAAATGTCTTGAAATGAAAATCTAAAAAAAACTTGCCCCCATATATTAATAATTTTTGTCACTGTCTGTGCTCAGTTCAAACAACAGCCCTGTCAAACCAAAAAAAAAAAACCAACAACGACCAAAAACAACCAAACAATGCCCCACTATAAACAATTAAGCAGTAATTTGTCATAGGGTGTCACAGCTAGATAACCTCTTCTGTAATTTCCTTCACCTGTACGTAACAATGTTTCGTTTGTTGATGGATTTTTATTTATTTCTCGCATGGTCATAAATAAATTCTACCACTTAGAATGAATAAAATCTGAAATATGATACAATCTACCGGTATGTACTTTCTGTATAATGTAATAATGCAGGTGTCAAAACTATCTCTAAAATACATTAGGGCCTAGTACATGGGTCAGCAACTTTTAGCACTTTCGGAAAACCAGTTTGGTGCAATAACCTAGTCCTTACCCAGAAGAAGCCAAACAAAATACGAATAATAGTGGTTTTGTGAGTTAGAAACTTATGTTTCAAACCATCATTTTGTTTCAAAACATTCAACAACCTGTCATTCAAAAGTACTGTTAAAAAAATTGAGCCTAGTCTATCACAGCATATTTTAGACTAATTTACTAGTAACGCAATTAAACTACAACTCCTAAGAAGACAAAATGATCATTGAGTTATTTGATTCATAGGCTTACTTGAATTTCCATAACACAACCAAAAACTAACAAATAGAATACAAAAACTGGGTAATGTTTGCAACCGTGCCTGATGATCTCTGAGTGACAAGAGCGGCTGATAAAACGTCTGTTATTTTGTCACTTTTTTCATCTTACTGATTTGCCAAAGTTAGAAGTAAACAAGATCATCGATGCTTGGAAAAATATCAGTACTTTGGGAACCGCTGTGATGTATTTAAGTAGTGAGGAGTATTTGGCCTTATGCCTCCTCCTTCATTGAATTCCCACTGCTTCTAATAAAATAAACAACCGTTGTGACCGCTTTGATTCACTGCAGATCGAGCTCTGAGAGAGGCGCTTCCAGCTCCGGAACTGCAGTTTATCTAGTACAGGGTGGTCCAAATCCAGGCCCGCGGGCCACATGTGGCCCGCAGCGACATTATCTGTGGCCCGCGTTGCCTTTGCTTAAAAAATCGCATTTGGTGTTCTTTTGTCATAAAAATTACAGAAAACCTCTTTCGACATCTTGTTACATCACTAATGTCACTGAATTGACTAGTGCCACGGCTAGCTGAAGCAACTAGCGAAGTTGAATTGAGTGTGATTGGGTAGTCCAAATTGTTCACTGGCTTTCTATCTATTTGGTTGCAAATACATCCCAAAAGATATAATAACTAAATTTGATAACTAAATATTAATGTTATGACCTGAGAATACAATTAGTTCCGGTGATGTTTTGCAGGCAGCGTAAACAGTATTACAAAAATTGCCTCTAATATTTCAGAAAAATTAGTAATTTCTCTCCTGTACCTTATTTTTATTAAAATATGATAATCAATCATTCAGCAGTTATGGCAAATATAATCTAAAACGCCATTTTGCTATCATGTGAGCAATGAGCATTTCCAAATTTTGAGGGATTTTGCTCTGAGAACCCCATTGATGTTCGAGAGTACTTACATTTGCGGGATCACTTTCTTCGTTATGAAGAGTTTGAAATCTTACAATAAATGTAGATATAGCAAAACTTTTGCATGTTTCAGTGATTTTCTGGCGTATTTTGTATGATTTAGCTTTATAAATGACAAACAATCAATTGTTTGCACAATGAAAGTGTTTGTTGTTTACATATTTCTGACGCTATTGTGGCCCGCGAACAATGCAAAAATAATTTAGTGGCTCGCGAAGGCGACAACCTTGGACCACCCTGATCTAGTACATGGGAAAAGTAAAAACTGCTTAAACCTGAATTTTTTAAGGGACTGATTGAAACCAGAGTGGCTGATGCAGTCAAAGCATGTGTTTTGAAATATCAAGAGGCTTTAGAAGAGGTAAGCTCCATTTTGTGTTTTTTTTTTATTAGCACCCAAACAAAGCTCAAAACAAGCGGCCCCTCATTTTGGCTAAGAGCTATTTTTTGGAAGAACTGATGTTCAGCATTGTCTGTCCATTTTATTACACCTTGTGTGTGGGATTTGAACTTTGGCTATTCTGATTACGTTCTTAAGCTGATGATAAAATCTTACGTGGAAGCCGGTGGATTCGAAGTGATTGAGAGACATTACATTGAAAAAGTTGACGCCCGGTATACAAATGAAGCATTTAAGGAATTAATTAAAGAAGAAATAAGAAAAGAAACCGAAGAGGCAAAAAAGAAGAATGAGGAGAATAAAGAATACAAAACTGTTACAGCAGATGAAAATACAGTTGCAGATTATTTAGCGATAGGATTGATAACAATCACTTTTCCCATCTGGGTTCCTCTAGGTTTGGTTGGATTATTGCTGGGTGGACTAGTGGCTGGAGTTGTAACGGGGGTTGTTAAGCTTAAAGATTTAATCAAGAAAAAGATGAACTCCAAAAAGTAGTTCAAGGAAAGAGAAATTATCATGATTTGTATCATATTTTAGATTTGTCATTAATTGCTCAATACTGGAGGGCTTTGCTGTTGTAATTTTCAATTATTGAACTTTTATAATGCTTAGCTGAGCAATTGTTTTTAAGTGAGGGGTGTAGAAAAAATACTGCAGCCTCTGAGACAATTTTATGCAGCTTGCGATGTTTTGTCGAAAATAAATAAAAATAGAAAGGTTATCCATGAATAACATTCTGCTTATCTGGCCTTATGACATTTACACTTATCTTATGCACTATTCATTGTTTATAGTAGCACCTCAAGGTATCAAAAGACATCGTTAGTTTAAAAAAAAAGTTTTTTCAGTATAGGCAGGTTTGGAATCTGATCTGCATACACATTTAGAAATCCTTTCATTTAAACGTGTTGATCAATCTTTTAAATAAATTTTATCAATTTTAATCCAAGGCCAACCGACTAGAAATATAATAATTGAAATTTTGTGCATACTTTCTAATTTCTCTTCCCACCCTTCTTGTAAGTTGAAAAACTCTTATATATATTAATATACCGATTGACATAAAGGGTGTCCATAATGATAATAAATCACAATAAAAGTTGTTTTTGTTTATCTGTATTTTATAAATTTTTTATTGATTTTTATTGACACATTTAATACATCTCTAAACATTCAATTAAAAATATCATTACTATATGTAACACGGGCATCATTAGTTGCATGAAGCACATCTAGATGGTACTCAATTTCATGCCATGTTCGTCATTATTAGTTGCAAGAGCATTGGAAATTCTTTGTTTTAGGCCAGTCACGTCCCGTACTTTTGTTTGATTCACAATATCCTTCACATAACCAAAAAAAGAAGTACAGGGAATGATGTTCGATAAACGTGGTGGTCAATATCTCTACAAATCCAAACAACCCTTATTACGATGTCTCATCATTTCACTTTGTAATAATTTTTTCAAATTGTTAAGAGACTTTATGGACACCCTAATATTTGTTATTATGGTGTGTGTGATTTATCTGTACATATCTGATCTCAATACATTCTAATTTACACGATAGGATTTTCATATCTGTCCCGGAGGAGGGAAACCGGTAAGACACTGGCAAGAGATACTGACTGGCCCGGTTACCAGTCCATGTCAGGCATGGTTTTTAATGTTTGGTTTAATGTTTCATATCTGTCCCGGAGGAGGGAAACCGGTAAGACACTGGCAAGAGATACTGACTGGCCCGGTTACCAGTCCATGTCAGGCATGGTTTTTAATGTTTGGTTTAATGTTTCATATCTGTCCCGGAGGAGGAAACCGGTAAGAGATACTGCCTGGCCCGGTTACCAGTCCATGTCAGGCATGGTTTTTAATGTTTGGTTTAATGTTTCATATCTGTCCCGGAGGAGGGAAACCGGTAAGACACTGGTAAGAGATACTGACTGGCCCGGTTACCAGTCCATGTCAGGCATGGTTTTTAATGGTTTGCGCCGCAATTACTTCTTCCAAAGTCGTTTTCACGACCAGTGAGCCACTTGTAGAAGTGAAATTATAAAAAATATGATGCGACTTTCGACTTCTGAAATCGGCAACAAATAGAGAATGGAGGTCATGAACCCTGGCCTAGTCTTGTTCATAGCCAGATGTAAAGCATTACTTTTCCTATGAATCCCCGAAGCAAAAATCAAAAACAGTGTCATCAGGCTTTGATTTATATTCCGGTTATTTTTTAATTATTAATAAAAGACGAAAAGCAGAAATTTTACACATTTTAAACGAAAAAATAATCACAAATCACCTAATTATACTAAACACACAGAATTAAAAAAACTAGATAGTAGCACATCATCTCATGCCGAAGTGTTTCAAAAGTGTCATGCCCTATACCTGTCTATTTTCAGCACTTCTGTTCCACTGTTTTGAGTTACAGTAGATATAGATATGGTGGGATTAAGTAATCATATGAAGCGACGCTCTTGTGTCAGTATAGCTGTACATCCTTTGGCTGACGGGTTGGAAATTAATATGAAATGAGATTCACACAATTGGGATAACATTTTCGGAACAGCGCCGAAATTGCAAAATAATTTTAATTGCGTTATATACAGAGATGCAATGAACACCAGAAACCCATCCATGCCTGGAGTCAAAGGCAAAAATCTATTTCTTCTTCAGCTAGTTTCTGATTCAAAAGAATACTTTATCATTATGAAATAACTAATGAAACCACTGGTGTGAGAGAATAATTCTGATTTTTGAATTTAAAAATTAACATAACTCTTATTCAAATAAAAGTCAATAATATCTCAAGTCTATGAACATTGAACATAGTATGTGTACCAGGTTAGGATTCAGGTTGTGCGTCATCTTGTGCCGAATTTTTTATTTACGTCACAGGGAGAAGAAAGTAATTAGGAAATCATGGGATCCAATGTTTTTCGAGTTATTTCCTATAATACAAGGACTAGGAAACGTGAAACTTTCTAGAAGCAAAAAAAATTGCACTAAAATCGCATCACAAATATTAACAAGAACCTGCTTCATAATAATAATGTAATGATACAGGGTGTCCATAAAGTCTCTTTACAATCTCAATTCTGTTATGAAGTTAGTTCTCAACATATGTTAACCAGGTTTGTTGTTTTTTAATCAGTAATTGTTCAAATATTTTTAGTTCAATTATTGCTACAAACTACATATGATAGCGATAAATACCCTTTGAATTTTTTTTACTTTATGGACACCCTGTATAACTGTAGTCACAGAGCTAGCACTATGAAGTTTGAATCCTAGTTCCCAGCTTTTCATTTTAGGGAGAAGCGTTTCCAAATTTACAGGGCTGGTATAATTTTACTGTTAGTGATAAAACTATTTGTAACACATGAAAATGTGATGTTGTATTTTAATGATCATCTACACGAGCATCTGAGTCACGTTCTGAATATTCAATTATATTTAAATTAGAAATTTAGAGCGTGGTGTCAGACCTCAAAATTAAGGGGGATGTTCGAAATTTATATAAGGGGGAAGGGGTGCCACCCCCTATAGAGGCGTGGAGGTAAATCACAGTCCGGCGTGTTCTCTCTGTGAAGCCAAAGTCCAATTTTCAAACTTCCCAGACTTGAACTTTCGTACTATCCGAAGTTGTATTTTGCTCTGAAGAGGAGGCATCATTTTCTGTCATGTCCTGGTTTTTTGATGACTCTTGCGTTGTCTCACCCTAAAAAAGACAATGTTTTACAATGACAATGACAATACTTTAGCAAGAGATAAATGCTTATTAAAACAAATAGACACGACGGTCCAAACAAAGTAGTATGAAATCTTTTACAGTGCCGGTAATCTGATAACCAGCAGAACATTGAGATGTGATCACGTTATCGAGGCACAGTGCACAATTTTTGGAGCTCCGGAAGTATTGTACCAAGATGACACACAGCCTGAATCCTAACCTAGTACATATACTATGTTCAGGTTGTGCGCCATCTTGGTACATATACTTCGGGAGTACAGAATTTTCAATATGAATGACGTCATCACACAAAACTTTGAAGTGAGAAACGAATCGTACAGCCTTGTTCAGAGTGTTGAAGTAAATATGCTCCAAAAACTATTTTTAACCACCAGTATTAAATACCTCTTGAAGACCAGCAGTTGCAAACCAGGGGGCCATAGAGTGATTGGGAGAGAGCCACAATGCTAGACGCAGAATTGATTTTATATTTCACTTAACAAGAAAAACTCGTTCTTTCTTCTGGTTTTATTGCTTGATAAGGTTATTCAACAGGGTATTTTCACTTTTATTGTTGAAATTGTTTGAACATAATGGGATTTGGAATCTACCAATCAAATTAACACTATAAATACCATTGGAATGATAAACAGTGGGACCATAAGTGGGAAAAGCCACGAGGGATAAAATGTATAATCTGTTATAGTCTGTGACCACAGATTTAGGCAATCCCGTAGTATGTGAACAAAGATGCAGAACATAGAACGTAGTATGTGTACCAGGTTAGGGTTAGGTCATAATTTTATTCCAATTTTTCTTATTTTAGTACTATTACGAGTTCAGGAACTAGCCAATTGACTCTCGTAGTATTTGTACCTAAAATTATGGCCTAAGCTTAACCTGGTACATATTCCATGTTCTAGTGTCCGCCATCTTGGTTCACATACTATGAGAGTACATAGATTTACTTTATGTACCTGGGTGTCCTCCAACTCTTGCACCTGAGTGTCCTCCAAACCTTCAGGGCATTTCATTTTCGTCAATAAAGCTTGAAGTTGTGTCACATGCCTCTGCAATGCTGTATAATTATGAGCGATATTTCTGCGGCCATGTCTTTCATTTGCTTGTTGTTTAAGATCAGCTAACCACTGGTCACATTGAGCGAGGATTTCTGTTCGTTTGAGCCAGAAGTGGTGTTCAATAACCTGGAATGAGATAAGATGGCTCCATCATACAGCCAACCACAGCCTCTTATCTATGACCTGTCCATGTCTGGTACGAGGATAGTTTAGCCAGCTTTGCGTTTCAGCTGCATGGACAAGCTGTAACCGACAAACGATTACATCAACCACTATATGGCGACGAAGAGTCTAATAATCCTCTCCCACATGATTAATACCTCTATTGCAGTGATTCCCAACCTGTAGTACATGAGGGTCTTCCAGGTGGTACATTCTATTTATCAAAGAGAGTTCTCAACTAATTGGACTATCGAGTCATCTATACTTACTTATACACCTATATGCTGAATTACAGAAGCAGATATAGAAAAAGACATAGAAAGAACAATGATAGAGTGTAAATAAAATACGAAAATGCAAAAAGCCATAAAGGTTTATAGGATACTGGTTGATGCGCGCAATGCCATTACATCAATTACACAAGAACAATATAATACTTAAAGCAGACAAATAGAATAAATGTAATGGTCAAGCCTAAGTGCTTGATATATATCCAAACAAACCTCTTTGAAACAGGGTGAAGGGTTCTTCAGCTGTTCCAGCATTCCCCATTTCACAGTAGCTTGTTGAATATTGGAATCATATTCCTGGCTGCTCTGTTTCCCAGCAGGCGTTCCTCGTGACCTCTCGTAACCAGGTTCGTTGAAATACGGCTCCGATACGAGAATAAGAGACTGAATTGAGACTAGGATCTAGGAAAATAAAATTTATTCATATAAGATTTTATAAAAAAGTAATTATTATATATGAGTAAGCATGTGTTTTTATTTGGGCACAGAAAGTAGGGTACTCCCCGTAGTATGTGTACCAGGTTAGGGTTAGGCCATAATTTTATACCGATTTTCCTTATTTTAGTTCTATTACGAGTTCGGGACTGTCTGTGTTAGCCAAGCAAATATACCCCCTGCCCATAGGTTTCCTTCCGTTTACACAACTTGATGAAAGTAAGCAAACAAACTTAGTTACCTCCATATTGGTACACACACTTCTGGAGTAGTAATTCATTAACTTTAGATGCGTTACAAGGATCATGTAGCGTTTTTAAAATTTACTGGGCAAAAGAAGAACCCCTTACCTGTAAGAAACTAGATGTCTGTGGATTCCACTTTTCTTCCGGCCTTCCATGCCAAGTGTTCAGTATACTGAGGCAAACCTGAAAAAAAATATATTGAATTGGAATAGTCAAATAAAGAAGTCCCTGGACTTGAAAAGGGAAGAGTAAAGTTATTTCAGCAAGTGAGGAATTCTGGAATCAAAATAACCACAATATTTTTGGTGTAAAACTGGTATGGTACACTGTGTAAAAAGACCATTGATTTTGGACTACAACATGGTACAAAAAGAATGACAAACAAACAGGATGGAATTTCAGAAAAGTTGTCATGCAAAAAATAGTATCGAAGCTTGTGCCATGGATGGAAAATAGAATAAATATTTTTGAATCAGAAATATAGGCATATGTCAGGTAAAATACGAACCTTTCCATCATTATATAGATTTGGGTTAAATCTAACACTGTGGTTTCCAGTAGTTTGTAAGTTAACAAGCGGAGGAGAATTGTTGTAATCTGAAGGGAAGAAAACATCAAATTCGAAACATCCGTTGGCGTACGGGGTTTCTGACGGTCCGGTTATCAGTACTTTCATAACATCCAGTCTCTCTTCATCACACCTGAAATAAAGGAAATATTATTAAACCCATGAAACAGAAACAGAACCTATGATTTTCATAATGACTTTTACACAAATTTATTTTAGGGTTCGAACAGCTGTTCGTCTGATTGATGAATACAATGTTTACAGTAATTAATATGTCTGGAGGAGCCATGACAATAATAAAAATAAATATAATCACATATCTTTCATGTATCCGAGATTCTGAAATCATCAGATATTCGAAAATGCTCAGTTCTAGTATTGAATCTCAAAACTATTCAATCATTACGCCAAATTATCAGAAAAAAAAGTTACAGTGCACTCACACACAAAAATAATGTCTTTAAAAAAACTCAATTTAGAGATCGTTGAAGTGTACTTTATGCCTTTCAAAGTTTGTAATCATGGTTTGTTTTAATAAATAAAGGCTTTCTTTCTGATCTCTGCCTGATTTTCCTTTGAAATACTAGAAAAAAAAACACTCACGTTCGCTAAACTCTGTTCAGAAGGTAAATTTTTGGAATCAGCTGCCCTATACATTCCCACAGATAGTTATGATACAAATTTTCTCACCTCACAAATACTGTGGAACTGTGTGACAAGGGCAATGAGTTTGATAACGTCACGGTTTCTTGTGCGAGTCTTCTTGCCCTTGATGCGTCTGCAACATTTGCTGCATCCTTGATGTGGGATGCATAGTGATGTCCGGACGGAAAGCGTAGTTTTCCTGAAATAATGAAAGTGAGTGTCAATTAGAGGAAAGCCTAGAAAATGCAGGGTGACCCCAAAAATGGAACCCACTGTTTGTTGGTGTAAATTAATTTTTTATTGAATACAAGCAACACTCAACCCAAACAGAAAATAATTGCCACCACAAATAACAGAAAATATAAAGTCAGACATAAGACACATGTTGCCTCTTCTATACTAAAGTACTAAATGACCTCTGAAGACCAGTATGACAGTATTTACACCCTGGGAGCATGCTTTAGTGGTTTTACCCACAATGCCATAACATCATGCTGTGCTGTCATTGGTCAGTTAAAGAGTGGGAAATGGAATTAGAACACATTATTCCAAGATGACAACCAACCGGACAAAATGTGAATGAGAACACAAGTTAACACCCAGTCCATTCAAAACATATCTGACAGGTTCCGTTTTTTGGGGTCAGAATGTTAACTAATGAATATACATTTTCAAAATTGAAAAGTTTTCAGCCTGGCATTGCAAGTTACATAACTTAGTTTCAAATTTCCTGTCTACCACCTTGCCAGTGTGTAACAAGTTGTATAGGCAGGAGCGGGGGTGTGGAACATTTTTTGTCATTTGGGTCATATAGCAAACTTCAGATATCCAGCCAAGCCACAAAACAAAATTCAATCTTTCCATATACACAACAAATTAAAAAATTACCAAACTGCAAGACTTTACACGACAACTAGAGTAAAAAACGCTATGTATTTTCTATACATCTGAGCATCTTTTCAAACATCTCCTGTCGTATTAAAATTGCGCATAACACAAGCTAAGAATCTATTAAATATTAAACGAGAATATCGGTCAGAGACCGAAGACTTGTCGATCGAAAGTTAGGGGATCCCCCAAAACAGCGCTCTTACTCCATAGTGACACCTTGTGTCCCATCACTAATTAATTAATAACTCGCTAATTATACGACATATTTCGCCCAAAATCAATATGCGTCTGGGCCGAGATGAGATGAATGCACATGCAAAATCTGGAGCAGATTCAATCCCGCTTTCGTGAGATATCGCGTGCATCTAACAGACAAACGGACATACAGACAGACAAATACCTATCAATATACTTACAGATTAAAATCGATAAGTAATGAATAAAACAATTTTTATGCATGAGGGAGAAATAAAGAATTTTAAAACAGACAAAAAATGAGTACAGTACTCCCATAGTGTGTGTACCAGGTTAGGGTTACGCCACAATTTTATTCCGATTTTCCTCATTTTAGTTATATTACGAGTTCGGGACGGTTTATGTTAGCCAAGTGAATAAATCCCCTGCCCATAGATTGCGTCTTTTACACAACTTCATGTAAAATAGGCGAACAAAATTAGTTTCCTCCATATTGGTACACATACTTCTGGGAACGCTAAGAAAAGAACTTAATGAAAAAAGGTTCGGAATTGATGTACTAACCATTGTCTTCTTCTACCACTAATTCCGAAGTATCAAATTGCAATTGTTTCATGTCATCAATGTATCTTCTTTCTAACGAATCAGAGGAGAGAGAAAGTTTAATCACACCGGAGGGCGATGCACGTCCAGAGTCTGTGCTGCTTGTTGAGTTTGAGTTCCGTGCTCGCTGGGAATCTGAGAAACATAAGAAATGCTTTTACCAGATCAGATGAATAAATTATAGATGTATTATTTTGAAACCATGGTAAAAAAAAGAGCACAACACACAGCGCAAACACAAGAATTCCAGGAATTTGCCAACACTTTGAATGCCTAAAACATGCAATCTAGAAGCCCTACACAGGCAAACATTCAATGATAAGTAGCAAGATGAGATACTCCGGCTTTGAGCTTGAGCTAAAACACCAACTCAAGCGCAAAAATTATGATTCAGTTCCTTCCAATTGATCTTTAATAAGCTTGTGAGCCCTGCGTAAAGGGGTGTAAGCTGATCAGGTCATATGCCAGCCCCACCATCTTACCCAGGATGTATGCAATAAATTTGGCAGGGGGGTCAAACAGAAAAAATTCCATTTTACAAAAATAGCAACTCCTTACACCAGGTTAAATATAAGTAGTTTCTAGTATAGGGCTTTGAATGAAATGCGTAAAAAGCGTCAGATATAACAAAAAAATTGATGAGAATGCTTTTAAAATACTGCAAGAAAATTAACCTTTCAATTTGAGTTCTTTAGCAATCTTCGTTAACATTGATTCTGTTTTTTGCACGTTCAACACAAATGATGTCAAACCTTCTTCTCCTTGGCTTTCTAATGTTGTATTAATGGCTCTGGAATAGAAAAACAAACGATATCCTTCAATGAAACTATTAAGCATATTTATTTATATATAATGAGTAATAATAATTTGTGTAGCATGTACCACAAATTATGTCGGCCTCACTTGGCGCCGCACAAACAAAAAGTTCGGCAATCGCTGCTTTAGGATATTGTTAGATATAAGGGGCAGCTTTCATCCGACTTTGTTCGGAGAAAAAGGAATGAGTAAGTTTTGTATTGCGGCATTATACAATTTGCATTCCCCCAACAATTCGGAGGTCTAGTGTGGTTTAGTTATTCCTAACCCCCATCTGATTGTGTAATCCATAAGTAGTCAGCTAGGAGTTCGGAATAATCTATGAAAAAATGGTTATGACAACCGCACTAGGATAGGATAGAATATACATATTTATCCCGAGGGAGCGGAAAGCCGATAAGACGGCTTATCCATATGGCGAACCACGGCCTCTCGTCCGGTTACCATTCCAAGTCGGGTATGGGATTAGTTATATTGTTGGTTTTCGGAAGCATGGACTTGTTGGTGGAGGAAGACGTAACCGACCAGCGGTTACGTGAACCACCCAACGACGGCGAGGAGTCCAGCAATCCTCTCGCACATAACCATCCCTGCATGGGATTCGAACCTGCGAACCCACGCAGAGTAGTTAGAGGTGCGGTGGCGAATGTATTCCTAACGCTTAGCCCGTTGAGCCACACCGCCGCGCCGAAGAAATACTTGTAGCACTAAACTAGACCCAATTTGGGTTGGCTACGATCATGGCAGTGACTTAAGACTACTGCGTTAAAAAACAATACAATAAAGAGCTTAGCTGAGTTCGCTTACTTTAACCTGCTTGCATATGTATCTATACATTTCCTCATTTTTGACAAAAGTGAGAGAATTGAATCTGAACTTGATGATTTCTCTTTGCTGCCATCTGGAGATTGTTTGCTTGTCATCTTTGAATCCATCAGGAGGCGACAGAGAACAGGACAAACAGCAAATGATCGAATAACACTCAATAGGGAACAATATAAAGGAACATGGTGAGCCATGTCAAGCACTGAAACAAATGAAAATGTAGCAAATTACAAGAGGCCCTCCAAGATGTCATTTGCAGGTTGGGATTGACCTAATGCAGTGGTTCGCAACCTTTTTCTTTCGTGGCCCATTTTCGTTGCACAAAAATTCTATGGCCCATTAATTTAACATGTTGGGGAAAAACTTCGGGAAAAAGGAATTCTTTCTGCGAGATTAGACAATTTCACTTTAGCAATAACTAGGTGAAAATTACCACCCTGTAACAAAAACAGCATCATCCATTGCTACTACTATCAAATTTACCTAACTTTATCGACAACTCTAGCAATTTTTAATAGGTCCATGGCCCAACTGAAAACGTTCCTGTGGCCCAGTAGTGAGCCATGGCCCACACGTTGACAACCAGTGATCTAATGCTTTCAAAGGTTACGCTGGTTGTTTATCGAGATATCAAATTAAATGATCAGATCAAATTGTTAGAACTGTGCTTACAAACAGCTGGCGCGAAAAGTTTTCAAACAAAATAGCTGCCACCAACGAGTGTGAAGGGCAGTTGATAGAAGTAGATTCTTAAAAACCAGTCACCGTTTATCTACCAAACAGGCCTTTTTTGAATTTAAGGTTCTAAATACATTCAAAAAGATACTAGAATAATATTTTAAACTACAATATACCAATTTATCAATCGCCAATTGTTTAGCACAGTGGTTCTCAAACTTTTTATGCCACGTCCCCCCCCCCCCCCTCACGCGGCCATCTCAAAAATAACTAGCTAAAAATAAGCTATAAACACCAGATAGTAAGGCGAAAATATGTTGAAAATACATGGATGGAACATAAATATTCAAAATGTAGAAATGTGAATGTCCAAAATAAAGCGAGCAAGATAAAATTTAACAAATATTTTTATTTTCGATTAGCTTCATGCCCCCCTCAAAAACATGTTTATGTCCCGCTTAAGGGGCACACCCCACCGTTTGAAAACCACTTATTTGAAGCCTTGTTCAGAGTGAAAGTTTCTCATGAAAAACTCACCAGAATCATTTCTTAGATAAGAGGCAATAGCTGGAATCAATCCCGATGCAGAAAGTAGTTCAGTTATTGAAGTTGCAAATTTGTCTTCAATTGGAATTGGTTGTTTGCCCTCTGAACTTTCACCCTCGACCTTTGGTTCTGGGCACACAAAGTTGGCCAGGACCTGAAAATAGGATGGAAGTTTTTGTAAAAAATGAGGTTTGAAATGAAATTATTTGTAAAAAAAATTGGTAAATATTGGTGAACTGATATTCAATGTGTTTATACAGGTCCCCCAGTGAACGCTGAACTATGTCAGATATTATTAAAAATAAATTTAGTAGGCTTATCATAAAAATATACCGGCCCTTACAAAATTAGGAGCTCCCTACAAGAATTGTGGATGTTGCACTAACCACGAAAGATTCACAGGTTATAAAAACCTGAGTGCAAACAACATGCACGCAACCCCACTCAGTGAGTTATCAAATGGACAATGCATATTTAAAAAAGAATGCAGCCACGATGTCTCAGTGGTAAGAACTTTATATTTAATTTCATTGTAGTTGCAGGTTAAAAGACCTTGGGTGCACACACCATGCCCATCTCGAGCAGGGTTTTATAAATTAAGAAATGCAGATTTATGAAAGGACTAAGCAAAAACAGATAAACAGAATAACTTTTTAAATCTAAACTTTGGCCCTGCCCCTGTAATCAACATAATCTTGTATATTCTGAGGGTAAAGCCCAATAGCAACAATAATGTAGAAAAGACTGACAGTAACTTTAATGAATAAAAACAGATGAATACAATACTACCTACCTCCAGGAGAACAGTGATATATCCTTCATCTTTTTTCTGTTTCTTCACTGCATTACCAACATCCCAGTCACTAGTTGTCGAGCCAGTTCCAAACCTAGAAAAGGTAAATTGGAAAGAATGAACAAATCAGAATAGTATAAATCAGCAGTTCCCAACCGGGGACCTATGACCCCCAAGGGGGAACAATGCCCAGTCGCAAAACTCATTTTACTTTTCCCTTCACAAAACACTCCCCATTTTTCCTAGTTTCATTGCTTGATAAGGTTATTTCACAGGGTGTTTTCACTTTGTTGAGCATGAATTGTTCAACATAATGCAATTTGGAATCTACCAACAAAGTAGCAATATAAATACCACTGGAATGATAAACAGGGGGGCATGAGTGTTAAAAGCCTCCTGAAGGGGATCACAAGCCATAAAAACTTGGGAATCATGTATAAAAAAGTACTTTACTCATTCATTAACTTGATCATGTGGTTGTAGGCAAAGTTTTTAAAAACCTAACTAAACATACATTTTCTCATAAAGTGACCTTAAATAACGTTCTTCTATCAGGATTTTTAAAAGTATAGGGTGTCCATAACATCCTGAATTTTTTTTTAAATTGCAAAGTGAATTTATCGATACCATATATTGTTTGGCCCTCACAGATGTATTAAATGAAGTAAAAATACCTAAACAATTACTGATTAAAAAACAACAAACCTGGTTAAAATATATTGAAAACTGACTTTATAACAACACTGAATTTGTGAAGGAACTTAATGGACAACCTGTATTGTATTGAAAATATATTCAACTTACCCTGTTCCTTTAGCCCAGTAGTTCTTTTCAGTCTGCTTTAAGCCTTCACTGACCATTGGTTTCTTCGGGGTTCCTTGGGGTTTGATTGGTCCTTTGTAAGAAGGCGGGGCAACATTGATGGGTGCGGTTTCTTGCTCTGGGAGTAGCTGGAATGTTCAAAGATACTTGATAAATAAATAAAAATCATGAAGATTTAAAACAGTTGTATAAAGATGTTTTATTGATGTCAATGTCTGAATAATTCAGTGACGTAAAAATGAATTTCTAGCATTTTTATTGAGTGGCATCATTGAAAACCATTTCTGATTTGTAAATGCATGCTCAGCCTCAACTGACAATTTACTACAATTTACAAAATGCACAGTGAAAACCGTTTTAGTATCGTTTAAAAGCCAAATATCCTGTGCTCCCAAGATTGAGATTTCCCAGGGTCGCAGCACTACAAATTACACAGGATAAGGATCTACTATTTTTTATATGCACTTACAGAAGCTAGAAGCCTTCCAGCAGGCGTATCCTCATTAGGTTCAATATGAGTGAACCGTGATAAGCAGGCTAGTACGAGATGAATAGAAGTTGTTTGATAAGTCATTGCTTCACGAACAGACATCCCTGACGCCGAGTCGGGTCCGTGCTTCGATAATAGAGAACATATCGCAGTGAATGGCAACATAGGTAATGATTGCGCAAGATCCAGTTTCAAAATTTGTTCTGAAGTAAAAGATATCATGTTGATAAAATGAATTGACTGGAGCAGTGGTTCTCAAACTCAGGTTGTGTGGTAAATTTCTTCAGACTTCACTGCCCTAAAGAGTCTTGTGTAAAGTGAAAGCTTGACGGTGTGGCGCATCATGCTAAGCGTTTGGAAAACGCTCGCAGGTTCGAATCCCATGCAGGGATAATTAAGTGCGAAAGTATTGCTGGACTTCTCGTCGTCGTAGGGTGGTTCACATAACCGCTTCTTACACCATCAAGTCCATGTGTCTGAATGAACTAGTAACCGGCTGAGAGGCCTTAGTTTGTCATATGATTAATTAAGCAGTCTTAACAGCTTTCCTTTTCCCGGGATAAATATTTAATCCCCAATCCAACGTCATTAAAATGCTTCATATAAAGATAACATACTCACCTCCCTGTCCATCATCTTGCACTCCGAGCATCAAACGTAGCAAACAGCGGGCTTGTTTCTGTTCTGATAAAAACTCATCTGCGAAGTGGGGGACACGTAAAAACAAACACAATGCTGACATCGTGTGTGCTGGTACACAGGGATGCGACGTTGTGCTTACAATCGCTGAAGTTGGCGGCTTTTTCGTGCCTGGTTTCGGATGGATTTTCACCACTGGTCCTAATTCTTCTGGCAGTTCTGCTTCCAACTCATTGTCAAACTGCAACAATAATTTGAATCAGTGATTGGCAAATAAACAAATAAATTGCAAGCATGTCAGTGGTCGTTTGTAACTGCTTTTCTTGTACTTTTGGGGTGGGGTGCTTCAATGTTTAAATGCTCTGTGGGACAAAGATCGGAATTGCGATTTATTTCGTCGCCAGGGAGATCTCCGTCGTCAATTTGCCTTCCAACAGCCAGAAGAGTTTGAGAAACACTGGCCTATCACAAATATTACTCTTTTTCATCACTCAAATACTATTAAACATTCTTGTGGAAGTTGCCGCCTACGATTCCTAAATAAGTAGCATAATATGGAGCCCTCATTATAACATAGGAAAGCTCCATAGTTCAGGGCGACCTTCCTTCCCACCCTTAAAAAAGAATCACGTACACTTCTTAGTCACTCCTATCTACAAAAGTGATGCGGGAACATAAATACGCTTGAATGAAAAGCTTATAAAATGACTCAATCATATGACGAACCACAGCCTCTCGACTGGTTACCAGTCCATGTTAGGTATGGGAATGGTTAGCAGGGTATTAGTTTCATATTCACAGACTTCGCTCCTCTTTTTGTTATAAACATCAAAACCTCATTCTCACCCCAAACCAATCCTCATCTTCCATCCATCCAGGTACAGTGCTGCCATAATGGCCAAAATGTTCTGCGATGCTTTGATGCTGTATGTGAGACATTATTGGTGGTTGCATTGGTGACGGTTTCGCATCATCGGTGCTCGATGATTCGTGACCAATGTCAAGGGTCATGGTTGGTAATCTTTGTGCAACGAGGGCAAGTCCTCCTAGACTGGCGAAAACCTGAAAAATGAGTCAAAGTGTTATTATAAAAATTTTTGGACTGTTACTGTTTTATTCATAACAAAACAAACTGGATAGCAACGGAGACTACCGACTTATTGATCTGCAGTTTCGATTTCTTCGCTCTGACTCAATAGTGACACCACATGTCCCATCACTAATTAATTAATAATTCGCTAAATATATGACATAATTCATCCAAAATAAATAGGCTTCTGGTACGAGATATGATGAATGCACATGTAAAATTTGAAGCAGATTCAACCTCGCTTTCATGAGATATCGTGTAACGGAACGAAATGGAAACAGACAAATACCTATCAACTTACTTACCGATCGAGATCGATAAGTAATTAGGTAGAAATGACATGGAGCCGCAGTGAGATGGCTGTAACGTCAGCCAAACTTTGAAAAAATTAGGAGAAAATAGTTTTGTAAAAAAAGCATTTGAGTTTCATGCATGTTCCAAACCAGGGGTCGTGATCCTACAACCCGCGGAGTAATATATTCCGGCCCGCGATGCTTCACTTAATTATAAGCGTCATTATTATATCATGCTCGTTATGGTTACTTGCTAACTTATTGTTATAAAATGATTTCGAAATATAAGTGGCATCATTGCGTTGAGATTTAATAAATTTTAATTACAGCAGTATTTTAGTACTACCTGATGTTTCAGAGTAAAGGCACTTCACGTATACTTTTCAACAATGGCAGTAGTCTGCTTTAAAATTTTGGGGGCATGCGGCAGAATTTTTTCCTTAAATTTACCAGATTCTGGCACGCGAGCCGAAAAAGGTTGCCCACCCCTGGACTAGTCGGTAGGAAAATGCCATTAGCCCCGTTTTTCACGCTTGTTCACAATCTTCGAACAACTTGCCACACTCATACCAATTGGACGATATGTATAAAGGACGGATGTGAAATACCTAAAAATATCATTTAATTGTATCTCATGTCTGTTGAACCTTTATTACGACAACATGTTCAGCATAGTGTGTATAACCGCACCACTCGTTACAGTCACACCATTTGCACCTCTTGTGTAGTGTTTATGCGCAAAAATACCTCAACTGTATTTCCTTCCAACTAGATTCAGTCATCATAATTTGAAACTTTTGTTTCTGCACCATTTACACCACTTGTACATTTTATATAGTGCACAGATGTGAAAATGCACTAATTGTGAAAATCTTACCTCTAACATTGTCTTCATACAATCTTTTTTCAATGAAAATGTATCTTTGGTTGCAGAAGTGGAAGGAGTCGATAATTCAGTTTCATCTGGTTTTAAATTTGATGTTGATGGTTGTGGATCGTCCACTTCATCCTGCGAAAACGAAAACACATCAAGTCTAACAGAAAGGCACTGAAGGTTATTGGTTTATGGCAGCAGTTTCCAAACTTTTTGTTCGTGTGGTACCAAATTAATCAGAAAAAAAACTCGACAACGCACTTACACAAAAAAAAAGAAATTACGAAACAAAAAGTAAACAACATAGAAAAGCCAAATGAATTTAGCATTAAATATAACAAAAATTGAACATTTATAGTAAATACAATATGTTAAACATTCCATCATATGAAAGCACTCACATTCAACATTTCTTCATCTTTACTCTCTGGCGCTCCTGTTTCCATGGCAACATGCGAGCCTTCTCCGCCAACTTTTACTCCTATTAGTATCGGAGATTTGAGATCTTTGTGGAGATGGAACTCAAAATCCATGACTGATATGAATGGCTGATTTTCTTCGGCCTGTGACAGATTTAATAGTATTTGTGATTAAACTTGAGAATAGAAAAGAGTAGCCAACTGGCACACGGACTAATAAAACCAACAAAAACTTATCTTTAAAAATAATAATATTTAACACAGATGGTCTCGCAGAATTTATATTAGGCAATCGAGTATGTTCTGTTTGTGGACATCCATGCAATGATACTTTTGTGAGATATGGGGAATATTTTATGACAGACCTTTTGCCAAGATATAACTTGCAACAATGTCACATCATCATCCAATTTCTCAAGGTCAAGTGAAGGACATTTCAATCTGACATATGGAATTCCAAACTTGGTAGGTTCTGGTGTTGAAGCCTGTTCCTCTTTATGAGATTGGCCAGTCTAAAAACGAAGAGGATGTAAGTTTGATTAAAATGATTGGAACTTCAAAATTCTGGCACCAAGATGGCGCACAACCTGAACACAGTATGTGTGTACCGGTTTGGATTCAGGTTGTGCGACATCTTGGTGTGCATACTTCTGGAGCACCGAATGATTATTGCACAATGAATGGACCTATGAATCATAGGACGGCCAGTCTAGAACATGATGGGGTGGGCAGAGTTGAATTATCCCTAATGGACCTATGGGTCATTTTAAAAAAATATATTTTTGTTGTCTTCTGTCATCTCATAACTAATGAACTAACTGATTTGTTTTGAGGAGTTTGTTTGTTAATGGTAAAGAAAGTTATCTCATTTATTTTATTAATATTTTGTGTTCACTAGATTTGAAATTATTGTACACGTAGAACCATATCTTACCTTAGGTTTTCTTTTCTTTTGAGCATTTTGTCCGCTGATTAAGACATCAATGAAGTCTTTGGCATTGTTCAGTTCTTTAGCAATCTTGGTTGCTGGGGTTTGAGGTTTCAACACACTGGCATAGGATGACATGGCCATTCCTGGGTGTTGTGTGAACGTTGCAACAGGCTAAAAGAGGCAGAAATAATTCTAATCTTTTGAGTTTTTCTACGCAGACTACTGTATTATCTGGATCATAAGACTTACTTACGTACTTTCAATAAATTGTCTAAATTGGGCTGTCATTCATACATAAGGCACCAAAATCGGCTAAATTTAGGGACAAAATTCTTCCGCGTGCCGTCCAAAATTCAAAACAATGCAATACACAATAATAAACCTTTTAAACATATACAGACTGATTCACTAATCGGGAAAATGTCAGTCCGACAAATAGATTTGATTACTTTTCTTATTCTATATCGGCGAGAGTCTGCTGCTGCATTACCACTTATAGAGATTTTACATTGGGTTTATATTTTATAACTTCCAGAGAAAACTAATCATTTCATCTTTCAGGCTACTCCTATTACGAGACTCAATAAAGTTCTTAACTTAGAACCAAGATTCACAAGCATATGTAGATGAAAACATACATGAGTAATGCAGTTGCAAAGTTTTTAAGACACAAAAATTTTTGGGGAATGGCATTCCAATCACGCAATAGTTCATTTTCTGCACTTCTCTCTTGTATTCCCTTCCCTAATTGCTTATATTTCATTTGAAATCAACTCATAACAGTAAGTTAGCAAGTAACTCTAGCCAACATAAGCTTTACAACTTCATAAATCAAGCAAAAATGAAGAAAAAGTTTGGCACAGACGAACTATATTATGTAAGAATGTAGCAAAATAAATGCGACACTCTTCTCAAAAGCCCACTTATTCGTTTCGTCATGATATATTTCTTTGTAGCCATACGCCATGAATAGACAAAAAGAGTTAAAATAAGTAACAGATTGTTAAAAAAACGATAATGAATAAGCGAACACCCGGTTTCATCAGGTAATTCAGAGTCTTGAAACACTTTAACTGAAAGAAAATGATCTCGTTTCCGAGGCCTCGCTCGCGTGCCGAATAAATGGGCTCGCGTGCCAAGTTTGGCAGGCGTGCCAGGGGTTGCCCACCCCCAGTGTATAAGACGCAACAGATCTTAAAGCAGTACCGTTACTGGTTTTGATTGTAGGCGATAAAGTATGAAGCATTATAGCTGATCCTTACATTAGTCGCACTGGCTTATAAGATACTCGATTTATTTTTGAGAATAAAAAAAAATTAAAGTGCGCCTTATGGTCAGTGAAATACGATAATCGTTCATTTTTGAGATGCTGATAAACGGCCGAAAAAGGACAAAGATAAGAAATTTCATATTTATCCTGGGGGAAGTAAAATCACAATAGGATGTAACTAATTAAGCACTGGCTTATAAGATACTCGATCTATTTTTGAGAAAAAAAATTAAAGTACGCCTTTCGGTCAGTGAAATACGATAATCGTTTTTGAGATGCTGATAAACGGCCGAAAAAGGACAAAGATAAGAAATTTCATATTTATCTTGGGGGAAGTAAAATCACAATAGGATGTAACAAATAGCTGCACATGGATTCGATATGAACACACTAATAAGCTGAAAGAGACGAGAATCAGTTATGAAGCTGGAGCCATGTTTTACCATAATAAATGGAAATGGAACTGGCGCTACCGAAAATTTAGGTGGTTTCAGCTCCTAACAATCAAACCATTTTTTAGGTGCTCCCGAAGTATGTGCACCTGAACAGGTTGTGTGCCATCTTGGTGCACATACTTCCGGAGCGCCATTTTCTAATATGTAATACAAATAATAAAATCTATTCTAGGGTCGGAGCCAGTGTGATTTCAAACCAGCTTCCATCCTGAAAGAAATTATAACTCAAAGCTCATCATCATTATAATCAACAAATAAGTCGAACAAAGGGTGCTCCCGAAGTATGTGTACCAAGATGTCGCACAACCTGAACATAGTATGTGTACCAGGATAGGGTTCAGGTTTGGCGCCATCTTGGTGCACATACTTCCGGAGCGCCAAACGAAGAATAACTTATGGAACACCACCTTTTTATTGTCAGTTGTTCCCAAATTACTTTGCTTTCTATCTGATGTCAGTTTATTTTGGATTCTGTCAATCACCAATGGAGCATCTGAACATGAATTAAAAATAATTATTTCTTACCAAGTGCAAGAAAATGTGATGTTAATAATATACGGCAAATGAGGGAAGATTTCATTTCCAATTACATAAGAAATTGGTTTAACCAAAAACTGTACGGTTTTCACATGAAGTTTAGAATCCTGAGTTAGACGAGTCCGAATTATTCCATTATTTAGACCAGTGCTTCCAAATCTTTTTCAGTTTGCGACCCACTTGTATTGCCCTTTTTTTCTGGGAGACCCACAATGAGACAATGTACCAAGCTTGATGGTGTGGCGCATCGTGCTAAGCGTTAGGAATAGGCTCACCACCGCATCTCTGATTACTCTTCGTGGGATCGCAGGTTCGAATCCCATGCGGGGATGATCATGTGCGAGAGAATTGCTGGACTCCTCGCCGCCATAGGGTGGTTCACATAACCGCTGGTCGGTTACGGCTTCCTCCACCATCAAGTCCATGCTTCCGAAAACAAAATAACTGGCTAACTAATCCCATACCCGACCTAGACTGGTAAACGGACGAGAGGCCGTGGTTCGCCATATGGTTAAGCTGTCTTATCGGCTTTCCTCTCCCCCGAGATAAATATGTAAATCATATCCTATGTATCCCAATGTAATTTACGCTGATTAGAAACCACTGACTCAAATGCCTACCTGAAGCCATGGACCATATATCCTTCATTGTACTGCTGACCCCAACTTCAAATGTCCTGGTCATGTGTCCTGTTGCAAACATTGGATGATGTAGAGTAGAACTTCCACTAGAGGTGAGAAGAGAGTAAAGTTAAAAAAAGGATAAAACTTAGTCTATATCGTGATATTAGAATGAGATTTCTATATTCATTCTGATGAGCGGAAAGTCAATAAATCGGTTTAATCACACGGCAAAAACCGCCATATGATAAACTTGTAACTGTCCAAAAGAATTAATAACGAATTGACAACATTAGCAGCGAAATGTCGCAACAATGCAGTTGTTCAAATATGCCATTATCAAAATCAAATAGTTAATTTTTATAAACATATTGTGAATAATAGTCAATCTCTTCATAGGTTCCATAACACCAAAAGTTTAAGAACACCTGGCTTAACCAACAATAAAATCTATATCAATTATGCACTCACCTTGTTAGGCTGTTACTTTGTCCTTTTTGTGGTTTCTGTCCCGTTCCTGATATCAAGTTAACGATGTATTGTTCATCTTCAAGCACCACACGAAGTAGCAGAGAGCGTACGAAGCCGGTCAATTGACCAAGATTTTCAGTGTTGTCAGAGTTGAGACTGAAGAATGATTTGAGAAATAGTTAAGATTGGAACTCAAAGGTATTTATTCTGATAATAAAAATATAACTGCTGATAGCGAGGTTTTTTACTAATTGCTGGTAGTTTGAGCAATAGGTACTATCGATTAGGTCTACGCTAGCCTAACTACCTACAAATACTCTTTGGATTTCCACTGATACATTGATTCCAGTAGTTGATTGACCGCGATCCAAAAATTAGAAGCTGGGGGATATTAGAGGCGAGGCGCCCACAAGAGGGCGATACTTGTATGGATGCGGATAATCAGGATACCGGATAATTAAAATTTCAAACCAAATTGTTAGGAATATACACATACCTAAACTGTGATAATTATGTAACAATTGGCGATATCTAGAACACATCAAAAAAAAAAATATCATAACATCGATAAGATCTAATCCAGCAGTTCTCAACTACAAGACCACAGAGTAGTTGGAGGAGACCATAATGCTAGGCAAACATCGATTTTACTTTTTTCCTCCAAAGAAAACTCTTTCTCCCTACTAGTTTCATAGCTTGACAAGTTTATTTCACAGGGTGTTATTACTTTGAGCATAAATTGTTTGAACATAATGGAATTTGGAATCTACCAATCGAAACAACACTATAAATACCACTGGAATGATAGAGGTCCATGACAGTGCTAAATGACTTCGGAAGGAGGCCACAAGCCATAAAAGGTTGGAGCCAACGATACAGACAAGGGGTGTGCAACCTGCGGCCCGCGGGTCAAATGTGGCCCACAAAGAAAAATTGTGCGACCCGCGAAGAATTCCCAATTTTGAATGGCGTGCGGCCTGTGAAACAAGTTTTTAATTTAGTTTAGTCTGGTACGTGTTCCAATCTCTCACAATGCGCTAACAGCTAGCTTGTGCAAAACGAACAATGCATGTCATAAGATCAATAACCAAAATTTTTGTGCTTGCAACTACTAGAAAGCCATGTTAAATGAAGGTGGGGTCCACGGTTTCGCCCAGTTATATGTATCTGGCCCTACCATATTTAAGGTTGCACACCCCTGACCTAGACAATCTATACAAACAGGTGACAATACCTGACAATATCACATAATGTCTTAGTGAAAAGTTGTTGATTTCGAGCGTTGCATTTTGTGACTTGCTTCAGTAAACATATAGTTGATTCTTGCAATTCCAAAAGGAGATAGCGAGGCAATCTTGATGAAGGAGTACCTGAATAAAGAAAACTTACAGATTACCGTATTTGCTCAGTTTGTAGCCCGGGCCCATATTTTTTTCAACCAACTCACTAACCGGGCCCTTATTCAAACCGGCCCTTATTCAAGCATGGGCGCTTGTTATTTTCGATCGTTACAATAATTAATATATTGTTATTTCCAGTTCTCAAGTATGATTTAAACAAGAATAACAAAAATTTTGAATTTTTCTAAGCACCGCACGTACAAATCCGCAAAAGAAGAAAAGTTTTTCGACGCGCTATCAATACTGAAACGACGCACTTGGGTGTCGCGACGTCCAGTTTGAGAACCATGGTGTTACATAATCAATGCTATTTGTTATGTACTTGGACGCCTAAGGCGTGAGTGTTATCTACCGGCGCTTAAAATTCAACAGTGTCAACAACAAAAGCGCTTCTTATTTCCTATTGTTCTCTACCACTGAAAAATCAGCTTTTACATCGGACGGGTATTCAAGCACCGGCCCTTATTTATTTTTGTTCTGTTCACACGGGCGGCTATTCAAACAGGCCCTTAATCAAGATCGGCGGTAAAACGAGCATATACGGTATACAGAAATTCACATGCACATTTACATTTATAGTTTTAATTATAAGATGACCTAGTTAGAGGTTATAGTCTTTGGCTTAACTATACAGGCATCGCCGGTCATAGTTCTAGAATTGAAATCCTAGGTCTGCAACCTTTCACCCCGGATGTAATAAATAGGGTAGGCAATGTCGAATCCGAAAATTTTAAATTTTTCGGAAAAATATCTCCTTATATGACAATGGCTGACATGGAGGGGCAGTCTTAATGGGAGTGTGCCTAAATAATAAAAAAAATTTCTACAATAATTTGCATGCGCAACATATTAAACTTGCAACGAGAATATCGGTCGGAGACCGAAGACTTATCGATCGAAAGTTGGGGAATCCCTCAAAATAGCGCTCTTACTCCATAATGACACCTTGTGTCCCATCAGTAATTAATTAATAAATAACTCGCTAATTATACGACATAATTAAACCAAAATCAATAGGCCTATGGTCCGACATATGATGAATGCACATGCAAAATCTGGAGCAGATTCAATCTCGTTTTCGTGAGATATCGCGTGCCTCTAACAGACAGACAGACAAACACCTATCAACATACTTACCGATTAAAATCGATAAGTAAAGACCTAGAGTTAATACAGAGTTTCTCCCACTTCTGGGCCACACTATATATTTGGGTAGGCCACAAACCTATTAAAAATTGCTGAAGACCAAGATTGCTAATTGATTAATTAGTTAAACTTTCACTGTAGTATCAGCAAATGACATGCTGTTTTTTCTACTGATTGGTAATTATCTTTCTAATTATTAAAGTTGAATTGTCCATCTTTGTGTAAATAAATTCATTCTGCTATGGTCGCCTGTATTTTCAATATTAAAGTGAATGAAAAATAATATAAAACTGTAACATACTCAAAAGATTTTGTCTGTTTGAAACCAACATAACTTGATGCAGTGTTGTCAGTAATGTCTGCCATGTTTTCATGCCTTGATCTGATCCGAGAAAGTCTTGTATAATGTGGAGATTGCAGAGGTCACTAGAAAATAGAGTAATTGTCAGCGGATAAACTTTACATATTTATCCAAGGGGAGAGGAAAACTGTTAAGACGGCTTAATCATAAGGCGAACCACGGCCTCTCGTCCGGTTACCGTTCCATGTCAAGTATGGGATTAGTTATCTAGTTGTTTGTTGCACATAATTAACCTCGCGTGGGATTCGAACCTGCGAACCAACGCAGGGTAATCAGAGGTGCGGTGGCAAGCGCACTCCTAACATTTAGCTCGATGCACAAGGTTTACGTGGTTTTCACGGATTTTGCACAACAGTGCTGAAAAAGTATCGAAGTCCAACCTAAAAACAGGATAATTATCTTAAAAAATACCTGAAGAAGTTGATGACTGCAATCACGTTATGTACATTCACTTCCAGTATGAGGTCAGAGGCCAGGTCAAAGGTCATCTGAATTGAAGCTGTGTTTATTTGATACACTTCCAACACTCGATGACAGAATTTTTGAAGTCCGTTCGATAATGCTTGCACAATTAATTGGTTCCCCAGTATCTGAAACAGTGACTAGTCGATATCAGAGGTTCTCAAAGGGCTCCATACTAAGCCCTAGGGCTCCGTGACCTATTCGTCTATTTATTAAAATACTGAATATTTTTTAAATGCAAAGCAGCGAATACAACCGAGTTCATTGAATAAAGTAATTTTAGATTACTCAGGGAAATTAATTGGTTGATACCAATGTGTTTTTTGTTTTATTTCTGATGAATTGATTGCGGGGCTCCATGAATAATAGTCAACTTTTACAAGCTCTGTAACACCAAAAGTTTGAGGGTGCTCCCGAAGTATGCGAACCAAGATGGCGGACATCGGAACGTAACATGGGTAACAGGTTAGGGTTAGGCGATAATTTCTTTCCAATTTTCCTTATTTTAGTCCTATTTCAGTTCGAAGACTAGCCAAGAGCCTCCCGTAGTATTTATAAATAAAATTATGGCCTAACCCTAACCTAGTACACATATTACATTCCGATGTCCGCCATCTTGGTTCGCATACTTCGGGAGCCCCAGTTTGAGAGCCCCTGATCTAGATCAGAGTTTCACAAACAAGGAAAAATTCCTCCCAATGAAGAACTTCTACTTTGCAGTTAGTAAAACTAACTTTTTTGTAATTTAGTATTAATATAATATATATTTATGCACACATTATAAAGTATTCGAACTATGCAGAATCCAGAGTAGGAGTTGCGTGTATCACTCGATCCACGTTTCTCAAACTGTGTTATGCCGAACACTCGTGTTCTGCAGGCTGTGAGAGTGTAGATACATTTCACAATTTTTTTATTATTAATTTTATCTTCTAATTTCTTGGTATTACGCAGGGCAAGATAAAAAGGTTAGGTGTTCCGAGACAAAAAAAGTTTGAGAAACGCTGCTCTAGATAATTAGTGGGGAAAAAATGAATTCCTAAACAATTCTGAAAACGGGCAAAAATGTGTCAAAAAGGTTAGGGAACATTGTTTCGAAAGTTGCAGAAAGTCAACCTATCACTAAGCTAAGCAAAAAAGTTTGAATTATTTTAATGGCCATTGCAATAAAATTATGAAATAGGTATATTGATAATACATGAATTGAAATAAAACTGAAATTTTTTACGGTACCCCATAGGACTGAGAAAATATTTCGCATTGTTTTTACCTTTATACATTCTGGAGTCTGTGATACAATAGTCAATGTCTTGATCTGTCCTGAAGACAATGGGAGCCGCGTTGTATCCATATTGTTTAAACCTGGGAAAGGGGAATATAATAATTTTTTTTCATTACATTTATCAAACAATATTATATATTATACGAAGAGTCCAAAAAGTTTCGCCCGATTTTTTAGGACTAACAATTAAAAATTTCTTTGCCTGTGTTTACTAATATTTCCCATTGTGCTTTTAGGTCTCATTTATCATTTTGACACCCTGTATATATTTATATTGACAATAAGGTGAATCGTATATTTTTCATGATAAGAAATTATTATCAGCTGAAATAGTTAACTCTTAAGGAGTGTTCTATAGCGATTGTTTTAAATTCTATACAAAAATTTTTTGAGTCGCAGTATGAGATTTTTAACGCCCCCTCTTTTGTACAATTTGGCTGCTCCCCAACGACCTTGGCATATGACCCACTCCGAGTTCAGACACCCCTAGATGTAACAATATCAGAAATACTATCCGATTGGAAAAATCAGGCTCCTTTTGAGTGTAAGAATATTTTGATTATGGTAATATCGGTATTTACAAACCATTCTTAATTTCAACAGAATAATTTTGACTTCATACTGTCATATGTTTGAAATTTAGCTCAAATTTTAAAACCCCAATGCTAAACTGGAAATGCCAATTCTAACAAAATCCATGAATACTAAAAACGGTACTCCCATAGTGTGTGTACCACGCTAGGGTTAGGCCATAATTTTATTCCGATTTTCCTTATTTTAGTTCCATTACAAGGTCGGTGACTGTCTGTGTTAGCCAAGTGAATATACCCCTGCCCATAGATTTCAGTCACTTTACACAACTTGATGTAAAGTAGGCAAACAAAATTAGTTACCTCCATATTGATACACATACTTCTGGAGTGCCCAAGTAACAATATCAACAATACTAACCCATTTCTTTCAATACGGCTTCATAATTTTCCATGTTGACATGACATAAACAGCATAGCAACCAATCCAATGAGTTTTTCAATGAAGATGAATTCGAAAATCCAGTTGAGAGAGAAGAGGACTGGCTTGACTGTAGAGACTGGAATATACGGAATTTATCAAAATTCTTGTGATAAATAATTTTTTACCAGGCTGATGCTGGCTTACACGTAAAGACAACCAACACTTCTGTTCAAAATTAACTATGCTCCTCACGAAGAGCTCTGTGAGAGAAACCTAGAGAATCCACGAGCTATAAGGTTACTTTCTAAAATACTGAATATATTTTTAATACAAAGCAGCAAAAACATCAAAGTCATTAAATGAAGTTGTTTAAGTGTACGTCCCTGAACTCCCTATTAAATAAATGTAATGTAGTTTATTTGATTTTACTTGTATTATTTTTAATGAGTAACCAGATATAAAAAAGTGAAAATATTATTTTATTTTACCTGAGCCCACTGATATATAGTTCTTGTTAGTTCCAAATTTGCACAATCCTTGGCGTCAGCTGTACCTGTACATGACCATAAGCCACAAGCTATAGCATGTATGTGTTGGAAATTGGCAGTGGGGGGATTCAAACTCATGACCTCTGGGTTGGAAAGCAGAAAACAGTCCGAAACCCATTTCAACATTTCTGATAATCTGAAAATATAGATTAAACAAGAAATCATCACTATTATTGATGTCTCTATAGATGAGGCTTGCCATAGAATAGCTGCGATAAACATGATTTGATTTCCTAGTTGTTACAGTGCAAGGAGTTAAAGAATAGGATAAGAGGAAATTCATGTTAATCTTAGAGGAGAAATACGAAAAGCTCCACGCACGATCGCCAGTCCAGCAACCCTCTCGCACATAAATATCTACAACAGGATTCAACCTTGTCAACGCACACAGCATAATCAGAGATGTGATGACAAGCGTCGTCCTGACGCTTAACACAATGCGCCAGCGCCAAACACCAGGGCATAAATAAAGTATATTATCTGGCCATCGGGCGTATTTATTTGATTTGGCAAAATAAAAATATTCTACATTATTCTTGAAAAATGAGAGGTTGAGCATTACACTTAAAATATGAGATATAAAAATTGAAATACACAAATATTTGATTCACAACTACTTTTAGCGAAAATTCGCATGCAAAACTTCAAAAATATTTGGGGTCCGGCCTTTCTAGAAATTATATTTCGGCATCCTTGAACACGCACTTCTCAGGTGAATAATGATTAGGGCTGGGCATTTTCGAATACCTTGTGATTTCAGAATCGAATCGAATAATTTTTTCGAATCGAATCGAATCTCGAATACTTTAAAATATATAATTGTAAGCGACTTTATTATAGTAATTGGTCCATTCAACAAATGAATTACTGAAGACATAGAATAAATCAATAAGATAGATTACTGAGCGTTCACACAAAATAACAAGCACGTTTTATCAATAACTCACTACAGAAAATAGTCATATGTTAGAATTTCGTTGAAAAAATATGACTCCAATGAGAAAAAAATTGGGGAATTCACCTCGACCATTAGCGGAAAGATAAAAACAAGATGGCGGCGATTCGAAATTTAGCTCTGAACCGATTCGAATAATTTACTATTCGATTGGATTCGAATATTCGATTCGAAATGCCCAGCCCAACTAATGATTAATCAAGATTGTTTATTATGGCGTTATAGTTCTTTTCATATATATTTAAATCTATGAAAGTGATTTTATAAACATAAACTTCAAATGTGGGGCTAATGATCCACTTACCTCAACTCAATATCTCCTGTTCGATTTTTACACAAAGAATAAATCAGGTTGATAGAAGACTCTGTTGCTTCATTAGACAAACCTCCAAGAAAATGGCTGAAAATAAAATAAAAAAATGCTATTAACAATTTTTATATTTTACAAAATTAGTTTGACACAAAAACCACCAAATATGAAATACCAATAGAGCACGATGGTAGTGCTTTTAAGGCCATTAGCGGAAAGCTGCATTATCAAAAAATTAAAAAAACAAATCTCTTTTAAAACTGTGAAGATATTTTCCGTAACAATATAAACATTTTTCGCACATTTATTTTATAAAGTCAAATACCAGATACCTCAGTCATGCGTGTTCAAAGCACAAAACAACACAATACCACCAAGGACTTATGTGAAAATATGCAACAAGTTTTTCATTGATGCTTCAATTGAAAATCTATGATCTCTTCTCCATAATAAAAATATAATTTTTGACTTTTGCATTAAAAATGGTTCTTAATCTCTGGCCTAGGATCTGGTTGCCACTTCGTAAAAGAAACAAAGATACAACACACAAAATATACAGGGTGTCCATTAAGTTCCTTTATTTTGTTATGAAGTCAGTTCTCAATGTATCTTAAATAGGTTTGTTGTTTTTAATCAGTAATTGTTTGTGTATTTTACTTCATTTAATATATTCTGTGAGGATATTCCTGTAGTATGTGAACCAAGATGGCAGACACTGGAACGTAGTATGTGTACCAGGTTAGGGTTAGGCCATAATTTCAGGTACAAATACTACTGGAGTCACTAGGCTTGTCCTTGAACTCGTAATAGAACTAAAATAAGGAAAATTGGGATAAAATTATGGCCTAACCCTAACCTGGTACACTTACTACGTTCCAGTGTCCGCCATCTTGGTTCAGATATTACTGGAGTACCTCTGTGAGGGCAAAAACAATATATGGTATCAATAAATTCCCTTTGCAATTTAAAACAATTTTTAGGTCCTTATGAAAACCATATAGATTAACTAATATTAATCACCTTGTGCCAGAAGATCCTCTCAAGATACAATTAATCAATTCCGAAATTTTTTCTGAAGTTCCAGACTGAAGCAAAACCATTTCCACAGCTGTTTGGTGCATTGGTATGATGGGCTGGTGTAGAATGGCACACAGGGTGGGAATCAAACCTGGGACCTCAAGAATGACATTGTTGAGCTGTGAAATAAAAAGAGTATTGATCTACTTATTGAGAATAAAGTAATAAGGCCTGTGCAACATTTTAAAATTTACAATAGTTTGCTGTTGCATGTGGTCGTTTTCTGTTGTTGACATGCACGACTGTTAGGCATACCTTGGCGTATTTTTTGTTTTTCAAAATAACATATATAGTTTGACTTTTTATTATTATTTTCTTGTTACTTTCTTGTTGGTTATATAAGTTTCCCACTGCTCCCCTCAACCATATTGCTTTTTTTTATAATTTTTTGACAACTTCTTGAGCGGTAGAATGCGGCACACATGATTGGAAGTATTTCGAATAGCAAATGCATTGGTTTGGTTTTCAAGGGTCCCAGGTGTGTTCATCTGTTATTATAGAAATTTGCTTGAAATGTCCAATAAATGAGCAGAATATAAAGTTGTGGAACCCCTGCACCAATCCAAATAGATTGAAAAAAAAATAAAAACAATTAAATATCTCCACCTTAGGTGTAATTGCAACATCAATGGTCAAGCAATGATGCAGAAGTCTCAACCAATTCATGGTAGATCGTCGATCAAAAGTTTGATTCAAAGGTCCGAGAGCATCGTTGATGAGTTTGTTGCCAGAATTTCCAGAAGACGAAGAATAGTTCATGAAGTTTGGAACGCCGTTGACAATTATTCTGGTCAGACCTAGAAGATGAGATTCGTCAATTTTTATGAAAAATGTCTCATTTTGTTTTCGAATTAAAGGAGATTTATCATTGAGCAAAGTCACATGCCCACTCAGTTCCAAAAAAAAAAACCACTTTTGATTGATTTTTGATGATATACTCAAACTTTTGATAGCAAAATTTAAACCAAACTAATATTGCTCACCAATAGAAGATGAGTCCACTGGTCTTTTCATGTGAATCTTCAGAGAAGCCACAACGAGATCAGATGGAGGGCTGATAATAATTTGACTGAGTCCGTTTGTAGCGAGAGGGACAGATATCGGTATATATGGAGTAGTTTCTGAGCCTGTACGATTTGTCTCTAACATCACTGCAGATGGCGTAGCTAAGTAAGAAAGAGCGAAGTGTAAAAATCCTCAAGTTCTTGGATTTGAATTTCAGTCACATTGGAGATTGAGCAAGTCTGACATAGCTTCTCTTAGTCGGGAATTTCTACGGATAGAATTTAAAAATTTCTGGCAAGGCTGAGAAGACACCTCTTATGAGGGGTTGAAGACTATCCTATACCCACCACTTCAAAAGTTGTTTGCAGTATTCTGCAGCATATTTTTAAAGTAAACTTCTAAACTTATGAAAACAGGTTGGCCGGGAACTTTCGGTTAAGAAGTTTAAAGTATATAGAAAGTTCTGTGATGAGGTTAATAAAAAGAAGATATATTGAATATGATTGTTTTCTAACATTACTGCAGATGGAGTGGCTGGAAGAATAAATCTCTGTTCTATATTTTTGGGACTAAGGAAATTGTTTGGGTTAGGGTGGGTGGATGATGATTGTATTTTCATTGCTGCTGCATGGATGACATAGGCATGAATTATTACAGTGGCGAATTAAACTGGTATAAATTAACACATGTAAAATTTGAGAAAAATATCGGGCCCCATAGAATTTCAAGACAAATAAAACTTTCCGAATAATTTTTGAAAATTTGAATTTGATTGGCTCATCAGCTGCACAAAAAAGCGGCAACGAAATAACTTGGTAAAATACTAAAGTGTACACTGTATGTTCAATAGATATACTCACTTGATAGTGACATTGTCATAGGTATAAGTTTCACACTTTTCAAAATGAAGGCAGTCGGAAAATTAAGCTGTAGTGACACCCAATGGCTCTTTGTAGGAAAATGATAAGACCATGATGGAGATCTGGAACGTCTGTGAAGAGCTTTTGGTTTCAGGAGTGAATCAGCAGGCTGGGAGGCAGTATCAGAGCAGTTTATTGTTGCTGTAATAAAGAGGAGTTCATTTTGAAAAACTTTAAAACAGGAAAGCTTGAATATAGGGGAGCAGCAAGTAGAGGGGGAAGGTGGTTTAGAGTCGAAATCCCCCCCTTTTGAAATGTAAAAAAAACAAAATTATGTAACATACATAGCAATTTTGTGAGTTTAAAAAACTTTTTTAGAACCCCTCTTGAAAACCTACATTTTCAGCGTTAAAGGAAATATCAGGCTCTGTAGTATTTGAAAATAAATTAAAAATTTGTTAATCGAGATACGCTGAAATATGAATATTATGTCAGAATATTACAGAGTAAGTCTGTTTGAATGATGAAAAGAAAAACCTACCAACAGCTGCAAAATCAAACTCTTTATTTTCTTTCCAAGGACTTGTCAGTACTTTAACACCAGGGTTGCCAGATGGTATCACAGGGGCATAATTGAATCCTTGACTGCCAGTTGTGATTTTTTGAACAGTTTTCCCCGCGGAACCTGGCAACCCAGGCCACACAGAATCATTATGTAGAACAACAGGAGCACGGGGAGCAAAAGCTGTTGCTCTATCTGATGCCGCTGTCAAATAACGAAGAACCTGAAAAAGGATTTGAGGAGTTTTTATGAATAGGATTCATATTTATCCACAGCTGTTGAACCAGAATAATTTCTGCTTTTATTGATATTGAGGCTGTAGTCGTATTTACACGTTGGAGTCGTAGAAGATAAAATTGGCCAAGTTGGCCCAACAGAGGATTGGAAAAGGCATGCATACGCCAAATTCTTCACTATCAATGTAATAGACCAGGGGTGTGCAACCTTTTTTTGTCGGTGGACCATATAACCAACTTCAGACATTTACCTGGGCCTCACGAATATACAGAATACGGCTATCGCTCAACCTCACTGTAATAAAAGTCACCGGTCATAACAACGAAAAATTTAACACAGCGACAAGAGCAAAAAAACATCGTGTATTTTTAACCTTGCGAGCGCCCTTTTAAACATAAACTGCCAGATTATGATTTTAGGCTTGATAGTGTCGACAGGGGCCACACCAAAGGCCGACTGTTGCAAACCCCTGGTAATATATGTTATGTAAATTACTACAGTAATCCCAGATATGCAGCTGATGGCAGCAATACTTTTCAACGTTTACGAAACAAAACGGTTGACTTTTATCTTAGCAGCAGCAGAATGCCATCTATTTACAGTAACTCTTTCTGTCTAGGACACCACATTAGCAAAACTAGAAAGGTTTTTGATGGTTTTTGGCAGTTTTCAAACGTTTTAGCGAGTTTTCTGATAGTTTTTGATGTTTTTCACATGTTTTAACGATTTTTTTGATGGTTTCCACACGTTTCAGCGATTTTTTTGATTGTTTTTACATGTTTTAGCGATTTTTTGATTGTTTTTGGCAGTTTCTACACATTTTCACAAGTTTTTTGAAATGAAATACTTGCCTCTGAAGTCTGCCCATGTGTTTGGTCAATCGTCTCTTTAGCAGAGGCTACAAGTGAATCAGCGATTAGTCTAGCTCCACCTAGTGCACAGAACTTGCTCACATTTTCTGAAGTATCGAGTACGGAAAGGAGAAACCATAACAGTGGCATTGATAACTGACAAGTTGGAGAAATAGAGTCCTGAAATAAAGACAAAAAATAGGTTGGGACCTACACCTGAACCTTGTATGATACCGTTAAATAGGCTATTGCTGCTTAGGATCACACAAATATTACAAAATTGAATTAAATGATACGAAAGACAGTAATATCATACGCAGCGAACATGCCATGATATATAGAAGCTAACGACACACCAGTCAGTCAAAAATAATAGGGATGAAAGGAAAGAAACGTGTATTGTTGCCTGTTATCAAATTGAAAAATCACAATATGAACAGAGCAAAATCTAAAAAAATCGCTGTCCACTTTAGTGGGTAAGCAGGGAAGATTCAAGCCCTAGTTCAATACCTCAACTATAGTCTTGTCCAGATTGGAGGGGCATAAAAGCCTGATAAAAAAAAAGTAACTGCCAGTTTATTAAGCTGAAATTCTCGAATTTTTAAAAATAAAAAACTGTTTCTTTCCCAAACCTCTGCAGAGACATATTTTCCATCCACCAATTCTCCATTGCTCATGTATCTCAATATAGCTTTCAAAGGTGTTGAAGAGTCAGTGGTCGCTTCCACTAGTCCGCTCAAGAACACATACACCCCATCACCAGTAGATGAAGCTGCTTTCTCTATGACAACACCGGGTGTGATGTCTCGACCACTGAATAATGAGTACATTGAGGATCTGAAAGAAAAAAAAAATAGTCATTAAAGATAGGCTGGAATTTGGTTTAACTTAGTCAGTGGTTCGAAAAATTTCATGATCTCTTTCAAAGACTTGTGGCTCCCCTGCTATTCCTTCTATAAAAATACTTGGTTTTAAGAGTTATTTTATGCACCACGTTTAACAATTATAAAAAAACAAAAGCAAAATACATTTGGAAAAAATGCTATTCCGATAAGGTGCGAATCCAAGTACCAAAATAACTTTTTATCTTTATCTTCATCTTATTCAGTCTAAATATATGAGGCAGCTTAATTATTACCATTTGTCCGTTACTGATTACTAACAACTATATAAGTTGATTCTTGTGTCTGTGGGGTGTCTTTGAATAAAATGAAATCAAATTAAAAAATATGGCTGACAAGCGTCAAGAAACAAGGTAAGTCAAAATCTAAGAAATCTTTACACAGAGCAAAAAGTTTAAAGAAAACATAGCCCAGAAGGAATGGAAAAACTACCCAACTTTCAAGATACAAATCCAATCCTCACCCTGAGCACATAACCAAACTAGACAGCAGCGTTCCCATCATGTCATGGTTTTCTAAGATATGATCTGCAACCGTGCGGAATGGACGAGGCTTCTTCACCACTTTTACTGGTTCAGTAGGTTTCTCGTCGTCTACGTCCATTTTCTGAAAAATTTTAGTTATATTAGAAAAATGGGATTTTTTATACTCAAAGTGGGATATCTGAAGGATTAGAAGAGCTGCTTCACACACTAAGAATTTAATTTATTTCACAGAAAGGGTGAATCAAAATGGTAATGGCAGAGATTGGATCTTAGGGTAGTTCATGTTCTACAACCTACTTTCCCGACGATTTTTAATGCTACATATACTATACAATTGTGATGTCATATTCATATACGCCACGATGATGTCACACGATTAGGCATACGAAATTATTAAACATATATACACTGTATAATAAAGGCTCTGATACTAAAATCCTAGTGTAAAGATTCTAGGAATGTAACCTACATAAATTTATGAAATTTTAACATTAACATTATGTATGAGTCACAAGCTCTACATATCATTTCTTGTTGGGAGATGTTAGGAGATATCGGCTAACACAGGTTATAAGTCAATAATTTCAAAAAAAAGATGAGCAGAAAAAAGTTCAAGTAAGCAAGGTTCTTCCAATTCAGTATAGCATCGCCTACCCAATTCATTACAACCGAATAAGGTTACAAACATGAAAAAAAGCGTCCAAACTTTACATGAATTAATCAATTTAAATATCATAAATACAGAAAATAAATATAAATACACTTACTTGCTGTTCGCTATCTACGTCCATCGACTCTTCCTTATTTTGTTCATCAATCATTTCAACACTTTCTGGGGAGGCCGGATCCACATACATTTGGGAGACAGCAGTCCGATAAACATTTGCAGTAGGATGAAGAGGCGCCACAAACTGAAAAAAAATGAAGCATTAGAATGGTCGCCAAGAATTTTGAAGAGTTGATTCTAAAATTTCTAATTGCCAAGTTAGACCGTATCAGCTGGCCAGTCCGGTCGAAAAACAGAAAATGTGGGTCCTAAAAGAGTCTTGACGAATCTAAAATGTGTGTCAAGCTACGAAAAATTGCTATGTATGATAAAATGAAAATGCTTTTTTTTACATTTTGAAAGGAGGGGGGTTCTGACCCTCAACCTCCCCCTCCCTACTCCCTTGCGCAACATCTCATCCAGTCCAGGTCGTGTCTATGAAATAAAGTTATTTGTTTCAGATGAATGTTATCAAAAGTTGAGGAAGACGTAACCGGTTATCTGTTACACAAATCACCCTACAACAATGAGGAGTACAGCAATCCTCATGCAAAAAATTATCCTTCTCAGGATTCATGTTGAAAAAGTACACAAACAATTTACCCAAGCCAGTTCAGAGCAGAGTTTCAGCAACTTTAACATTAAAGAATCCCTTGGAGATTCAATCTTGGATGGAAAACTGCTGGATGTTGGGTTGTTTAATATGCTTGATAAGGCTCCAGACATACATGAACGTGGGTCGACCTAAAACGAAAAAAATTTATGATTTATGATGGAATTGTTGGTTCGTGTCAAGTAGGTGATGTCATTGCTCAACACAGCAGTTCATGTAGGTTTGCCATAGGCTGCTGGAATTGAATTTCTTAGAAATTTTTTATGAGAAAAAATATAGGAGTTTTAAGTAAACACTGATATATTAAAAGCTTCTATACCAAACTACAGCTCGCGAGCAAAATCCGTCCCATTTTGCAATTCAATCAGGCCCACCCAATGCTGCAACAACCAAACTAAAACCAAATTTTGATGTTTTGGCTAAAAAATAGCTCAATAAATTTGTTGAGATTGCGATTGAATTTAGTTTTGGAACGAGGTTTATTGTTTTCCACTTTTGCTTTTGTAACATTGGAAATATTGTTCATAAAATATAACTTTTTAAACTTACATGGCAAGCCATGGTGGGCAAAATTTTTAGCTCCTGGTCCAAAAACATTGCCAAATGTCCCCCCCCCCCTTCCTCTTCTGTACGTATATAAAGCTTGAAACAAGTGGACTCTACACTGTCCGGAAAAGAGCCCTCTACTTACCCCTTGATCAGAATCCCCTTGTACAGCAATCTCAGACCACTGAAGATATTTGTAAGAATTGTCTGTGACATTTTTAATGACCATTAGAAGGATTTCAACGTCTTTTTCCCATAATCTAAAAGCATACAGGGTGTAACTTTGAAAAAGGCTGGAGTAGTTTGTTCAAACTGGATGCTAAAGGGGCTAAAGGGGGTCTGTGGGGGTCATAAAGCAGATATCCGGGGGCCATGAAGTAGATATGTGGGGGTCACATCTCTGCGGGTCATGGAGCAGATCTCTTGGGGTCATGAGTAAAGACTTTCACCAAATGAAATTCGCCATGTATGCATTAGGTTAACGTAAAATGACTGCCAATTTGTTTTATTTTTTGACCATGATGCATTTCATTCATTTGGTTCGTTAGTTGGTTTTTCAATATTAAACATGACACATAAAATAACTGCTAGAAACTCGTTTAATACAAAACAATGTATTCTGATAAAAGAGTAGGGAGACACAGGGGTTAAGAAAGTCTTTCGAAGGGTCAGCATCATCCTTTGATGCATCATGCATTAATAAGCAGTGCCAGTGGTGTAACTCGGGGAGCGGGAGTTGATGGTTAAACAATACAATAAAATATAAATAAATATTGAAAAGCTTACTTTAATTCCCAGGCCCATTTTTCATTTGTGATAATTTCAAGCACCGCTTCCACAAGAACAATTTGTGCATCGGACGGAGTTACTGACGTAAATCCCATCGCATCAACACGACAAAGTTCAGATAATGTCAGCAATAACATGTCTTTATACTCAACTATAAGCTGTGGAATTTGTCTGCAAAAAAAATTGAAAAAGTTTTGATTTAAAAAATATATATAGGGTGTCCATCGAGTCTTAAAAAATTTTTAAAATTGAAAAGGGAATTCATCGATACCGTATAACCCTAACCTGGTATACATACTGATTCTTTTAGATTGATTGATTTATATCTGGAAGTTTAATATTTGGCACAAAAGTTATGTTCTCTATAGCAGTGTTCTACAACCTTTTTTACCGTGGTATACGTTTTACAATTTTTCAAGAACTTTGTATACCTTACAAACACCAATGTTCATTCAATTCCTAAGTAGACATTAAATTTTAAGCACAGATTGTATTGCAATATCATCATGCAATCTAATAGGCTAGTTATAAACGTTGTGATTTGACTGCCTTTCCTTAGCGTGAACGGGAATATTGCTCAATGTAAATCATGGCAGCCAAAATCACCAGCCCAGACACGTGCCCGCATCATCTATATAATTTGTGACGTAACAATGTGCTTCAGTCTGTTATTTGCGTAAATACCATTTTATATTTCATGTGCCCCTCGTTTGCATTGTTGTCTCCGCTTGAATATTTTATAATTCATTATGATACAGTTCAGAATCCCTGACTCAGACTGTATACCCTTTGTATACCCTCTATCAGTTGTATACCTAACTTATGGTCCGGTATACACTTGGGTATACTGTATACCCTGTTGAAGGGCACTGCTCTATAGAATTTGTCCCGAATCTTAGTTTATTTTTTGTGGAGGTGGGGTGTAGGGGGATTAACATGTAAATATATGAGTGGAATCTCTACAAAACGAACATATAAAAACAGCTTTTCAGAGTGTAATCTTTTATCAGGAGTTCCTCCCAACTTTACCGTATAGAAATGGAAAAACTTGCTGTTACCTCGTATGAGATTTATCAATATCTTTGCAAGCTATAACAATGTTGTGGAAAGTTGAAAGCAATTTTGTGAAACTTTCACAAGTCGATGTTCCCAGCAAAGATATCGACTGATTGAAACTACGACTGCTGGAATTCGATGCTGCCATCTGTAGAGAGATAAAAAAAGAAGTTAATAATTCATAAGTTTTTTCATAAATTTCCCACAATAGTATTCTGATTGAGGTTCTAACCAGACAGGCATTGTATATTTTCGAGACTGGAAACTTTTGAGATATACTCCGCACACGAATGATCTGAGTAATTGTTCAGTAATCAGCAATTGTCTTTCCATCTGATACTAATGATATTGCAATCTTTCATGTGACTGTCGTAAGTTACCTATGATTGATTTCAGGCAACACTGCATGTTGCTTTCTGGTATGGCTGCTATGTGTGATAATATATCTGATATAATTAAATGATATTTGTGCATCACGAGTGACAAAGGCGAATATAACAGATATATGTAGGAAGCTACTAACTGACTCCAGTATAAGTAAAAAAAGGTTTGCAGATGTGAAAGTTTTTGTGATCAAAATTTGCTTTTCTAAGAGTTGAAATTTCCTCCAAGTCCAAATTTTTTTCAACTAACGTAGGGGGAGTTTTATAAATGGCTTGGCATTTGTAATTGGGAGTTTCCATGACTACTCAGCAATTGTTTACCAACCCATTTACCTGCAAAAATTTATCACTTACCTTGGATGAAAGCATATTGACAAAAAATGGCACAAGGTCAATTTCAGGTTGCAAGAGTTCACGAAGAATCAATGGTTTGCTGTATATTCGCTAAAAATGGAATATTAAAGATTAAAAATCAAATATGGAATATACACTAAATTGTACAGCTCCCTTTCTCACACTAAAATTTCCATGATCATGCTTTCCAAGTCGCCATGATGTATCTTTTTTAATTTTTTAAATAACATATTTAGTTTGACCTTATTTTATCACGACATCCCCTAGAGCAGGGCTACTCAACTGGCGGACCGCAGTCCGAATCCGGACCTTTCGAGTATTGGATTTGGACCGCACCTAATTATTTATTTTGGATCATTAACCGCACTTTTTGAATTTCCTATTATAAAATGACTTTCATAGTTTTGAATGTATATGAAAAGAACCATACCACCATAATAAACAATTTCACTTTGCTACTAATCATTAGTTGGTCGAGGAAGTGCTCGTTTAAGGATGCCGAAATATCATTTCTGGAAAGACCGGACCCAAATAATTTTGAAGTTTTGTTTGCGGACCTTCGATAAAAATAGTTGAGTAGCCCTGCCCTAGAGTGCCGTCGCTCAATAACCAGTATTGGTTTTAGGACTTCCTCTTCCACCTTGAAATGCAGGCTTTTCAAAATATTCAAAAAAGGAATTTATTGAAAAATGGGTTGAGAACAATTCACTTACGTTATGGCCTTCTAGAAGTGGTCCAATGAGGTTCAATACCAAGCTCCAAATTTGTGGGTTGCTATGGAAATTGTGTCCATAGTTACTGTTGACTGCCAATAACAATGCTCTAGTGCCCTTTAGTGACAGCAAATGCACGAGCTCTGAATCAGTTGATTCACTTGAAAGTTTAACGTCTCTGTAGCAGTTCTGTAAGGTAGTGGGAATAAAAATATTACTATTGATACTATAGGCCAGTGTTTCCCAACCTAAGGTCGCAACCCAAAACTGAGTCGCCTGAAAATATTTTTGAGTTGCTTTAAAATAACCAAAAGGTAATTTCATTGTATTCGTGGAAAGTACAGTAAAAACAATTATTTTGTTTTGCTCAAGTAATAACTGCACCATAATTTCAAAACCTCGCTGACGGCAAACTAGCCATGTCTTTCTCACTTTGTTTTATATTAGTCATTCAATTTTGCGGCCATAAAAGTACTACATGCCATTTAGTGTTTAAGAATATGCTTGGGACATGAGATTTGACAAAATTTATTTGTTAGAAAATTTGGGTCGCTTGGAAAAAAGGGAAGGTTAGCGAGAAAGCTGACAAAATGGCTTTATCATGACGAACCACATATGTCTGTCTCCGATTACAATAAAACATAAAATAAAATAAATGTAAAATTTTCATTTCCAATACATTCGAATATTAAAACTGAATGGCCATCCATGTCTACGATATTAAAAAATATATACCTGTAACAGCATGATCAGTTCCAGTAATGAAGGCAAATGAACGGAGTGAGACTCTGAATCATCTAATATAGACAGAAAGCATTGCTGAAGCATCTTAAACGTTTTCAGAGGATACGGCGGTACAGGTTGTGGTTCTGAAATGAAAAAAAAAAATTTAAAATGTATTTATCGTATTTCCTAGTGATTACGGTAAGTCGCTTTTTTGGAACCAATTTTTCGGCCTGATTTTATGTCTTCAATGGGTGGCTATGCTAATTTTATTTTTTCTGGGGACGGTTTATTTTTCGCATGAGTCTTCTCAAACATGATTTGTGTAAACTTTATATCTGGATTAATACTTTATAATGTATTCGACGGCAAAGTGTCTCTGCCATAGGGAAAAACCCTCTTTTTGATGCTAAAAATAGACTTCGTCTTATTTGCCGGGTAGAGTAATTAGCCGGAAAGTTCGGTATATGTTTACTTTTTATAATATAACAAAATGGTTCATAATTTTTTTCAATTCAAATCTAATCTTGAATACTTAGCAGGGATGGCCATAACCGAATACATTCTAAAAAAATATTTTCCCACTCGAGCTCATGTGGGCTAAAATGTTCGAGCATCGTTTAATAATAGAGCAGGGGGTGGAAGGACCAGCTCAGCATGCTCAGTATATACTGGTATACATATTTTCTTTTATATGTTTGTCTTCTCCAAACACCATAGTGGGTGGGCAAGTGGAAGATTTGGATACCAAATTGGGGGGGGGGGGGGATAAGGGGGCCTGTGCCAAGCATCATGCGCTTATCAGTACCCATATTCTCTTCTATTTATCAACCATCATCTAGGTGGGTTGGTGATAGATTGATCTCAAGTAGGCAGGGTCAATGTTTTGATCAGGAGGGTGGGGCTGCGGGCTAGGGGTGATGAAGGGGGCCTGCTTAGAATGTTATGCACTTACCACATTCTCTTCTATATGCTTGTTATCTTCAACTACCATAATAAGAGGGTTAGATTGATCTCAAGTTGGCAAGTTTGTTGCTTTGATCAGGAGGGTGGGGTTGGGGGCATAAGGGGCAGGATGGGTGGCACCATAATAGGAGGGTTGGTGTTAGATTTTAATATAGAGTTCATGTTTAGATCATAGGGGCGGGGTTGAGAGCTGGGGGTGGGGCTAGAGAGGGTGAGTAGGGGGGCCTTCTCAGCATGATCAGTACTTACTAGTATCCATATTCTCTTCTATATGTTTGTCATCTTCAAGTACCATAGTGGGAGGGTTAGTGATGGATTTTGATATCAGTTTTAAATATCCCATTGTACATAACTTCTGGTTTAATTCACATTGCCTCGATATACCATGAATCTTTCTGGAATCGTAAATCTGAAATGAATGAAAGATTCGTCACAAAAATTAGGCCTCAAGACAGGAATATACTGAAACAGTAACTCTCTAACTTTTTAAGCCCTTTTCAGTATTTCTTAAGTCTTACGTCCCACCTCCAAAATAACTAGCTAACAATAAGCTACAAATAACAGATAGTAAGGTGAAAGTATGTTTCATTCAAAAACATGTCGAAAATACGTGGACGGAACGTAAATATCAGAAATATAGAAATGTAAATATTCAAAACAAGATTGAATCTAACAATTTTATTAGCTCCACCCACCCTTAAAAAAATGCCTATGCCCTTCTTGTAGGGCGCACTTCACCGTACTAGATTATAGTATGTTTTATGGGCCTTTCAATTATAACAAGTCTTGGTACAAGTGGCAACTCTTAGATAGTGAGGTATTGTATTTAGTACGAACCAGAATATTTCTGGTTCGGCATTGCGTAACCAATTTTTTCAAGGCACTCACATGAGAACAGAGTAACTGTCTGTTTGCTCCAGTTGAGTTCATTTGTCCTTTTTTCCCAGTTTTAACATCGGTCAATCGTATTTCTTTTAAAAATGATGACATCGGATTCGTTGAGGTATTATTGACAAAAACCACTGAGGAGGTTTGAGGAGATTTTTTCACTTTCATTTTTACGTCAATTCCATCCATCTCAGCACGAAGGATTGATATGTATCGCATCTGTTTGTAAACCTGGCCTTTCGGTGAAGGCGATGAATCAGTTTTCTTCAGCTTGGGAGATGGAGCAGAATCTGAAATAAAAGAATATCTATGATGTTAATTAACTTTTTATTGATACATTGAGTTATAGCAAAATGACGCAACATCTTTTTTGAGACACTATCCACACACCTGCACCCCATGCAAAGCTTTGTACAAGCAGCCAAAATATACAAGCACCTATTTTTGAAAGGTTAAAATTTTTCAGCATTGCCCAACCAACATATCGTGGTAATTTATGTAATTTGTTTTGCATATTTTGGTGTTCTTAACTTCATCTGTTTACTGGCAACAGTAATTTATTTGCAGAGTCACACTTGGCTTGGTTTTATCTGAGTCATGTTTTGTTGATGCTTTATCATTTCATTGTGTACTGCTTTAAGGTGCTAATAACGTTTAAGTGAATTAAAGCCTAGTATTTGTGAAAACAATAAACTGAACTTGGGTTATGACACTAATTATACCTTGGTGAAACAGTGGGCATAAGCTTAGAGTCAGGATTATGTAATGGGCATAAAAACTTACCAGAACTTTTCACCCCTCCCCCTCCACTCCCAATATCTGGGTCCTCCCCATGTTGCACCATGATTCTTTTAATATCGTTAATAAACTCTTCAGCTGATGATATGTAGGTGTCAACGAGAGTCAAGCGTTTAGCGTGTTCGTCATTTTTGTCTTCAATTATTTCGCTTTCTTCGATTAAATCAGAGGGTTCCGATGATTTTTCTGCGTTTTTGATATTTTCTGCCATTTCTTCCGGTTTTGCAGAAGTTTGAGAAGTATTTGCCTAAATATAAATCATGTCTTATGGTCATTGCCAATAGCTCAGCCAATGGGGTCGAGATTGAAACCGTAGTCATAGCAACTGCGAGCTACGCTGAACACCGAAATTTAATGTAAAAGATATTTTGAATTCTGATATCAGCCATGAATTAAATATTTTGCCCAACAGGAAGATTTTTTGGTGCACCCGAAGTATGCGAACCAAGATGGTGGACATCGGAACCTAACATGGGTAACAGGTTAGGGTTAGGTGATAATTTCTTTCCAATTTTCCTTATTTTAGTCCTATTATCAGTTCGAAGACTAGCCAAGAGCCTCCCGTAGTATTCATACCTAAAATTATGGCCTAACCCTATCCTAGTACACATATTACATTCCGATGTCCGCCATCTTGGTTCGCATACTTCGGGAGCCCCGAATTTTTTTCTGTTGAAAAATTGACACTTTTACGAGTTGCATATTTGCCGATTCATTCTTTGATACAAAAGTGGTTGCCAAATGTATCTTATCAAGATAAAAAATCGAGATAACCAAATAGGTTACAAAATTCTCTCATCATGATATAAAAATGATGCAAAAAAGATCTTATCAAGGTAAAAAATAAGTTACAAAAATCCTCTTATTGAAATAAAAAATCAGATGCAAAATTAATCTCACCGAGATAAAAAAAAAAAGAGAAGAAAAGTCTATCTTTGTCTTATAAGGATAAAAACAATTTACAAAATTCATCTATCAAGATAAAAAAATTATCTGGTCAAGATAAAATATAGGTAGGAAAATTATATTATCAAAATAAAAAAAATAATTTATCTCATCAAGATAACAGATAAACGAGAATATCGGTCGGAGACCGAAGACTTATCGATCTTAGATCGGTAATTAGTTAATAACTCGCTAATTATTCGACATAATTCACCCAAAATCTATAGGCTTCTGGTCCGAGGTAAGATGCATGCACATGCAAAATTTGGAGCAGATTCAACCACGCGTTCGTGAGATATCGCGTTCATCTAACAGACACACACACAGATACCTATCAATATACTTACCGATCTTAAGATCGATAAGTAATAAAAAATTATTTTATCACCACACAAAATTATTTACCTCAGAAGTACTTGCAGACATCTGCTCCAAAGCCTCATTCATCATTCTCTTTCTTAAATTTTGCAACTTCAACCAATGGATGGGGTATAGCTGCATTTCACAAGCCACGATCGCCAAATTCTCTGACTCGATTGCGTCTTGTAGAAAACTTAGAATCGCGTGATTCGGCCAAGGTCCTGGTGAGATAGTGGAACCAGCATGGGAATTCCCCTTCGAATTTGCATATTGAGTACCCCCAGTTGATAAAAAAATTAATTTTCTCATTTCGTCAGGTGATACAAGTTCTGCAACGAATAGCGGAAGGGGTATAACTCTAGCGCCCTCTGACTGCGACTTTTCACGCGCATTGTAGACACATTGAGAGCTGCACCAACGACACAATTGACTTGAAAGCTAAAATTTAAAGAAAAAATTGATTATTAAAACTAGAAACAAATCAAGCAATTAAGGTGATAAAGATAGGCTGTATATTGCAGTACTACCTTAGTATGCGAACCAAGATGGGGGAGACCGAATCATAGTATGTGCACCAGGTTAGGGTTAGACTATAATTTATTCCAGTTCTTCTTATTTCATTTCCCTGGACTAGCCAAGTGACCCCCATAATATTTGTGCCTGAAATACGTTACTACGTTTGGGTGTCCACCATCTTGGTTCGCATACTACGGGAGTACCTATATCGCAACAGTAAAAACAAAGGACCTTATGTCAAATTTTGTGGTTTAGAGAAAATCACATTTAAGTATCATCTTTGAAAATCAGCTTTGAAATCTATAACGACAGAAGATGTCCATTTCATGTAAACGTTAAATAGGCTACAACGGTTTTACTGAGTATCAGAATATATTCATAACATACAGGAGGACTCCAAAAACAGAACCCATAAATTTTTTATTAACTCAATTTCCTAAATTAGTAAATTTATTCAACACTTTCGACTTTTTTGTGTGTGATTTTACCCAAAAGTTTGGGTAATCCAGGAAACTTTGCACAAAAGTCTCGTTCTCTCTAGACAGTGTTTCTCAAACAGTGGGGCCCGCCCCTAAAAGAAGGGGGGTGTAGACAATTATGTGAGGGGGCGTGAAGCTAAAAAAATGGAAAATACTTGTAAGATTTGTGATCTTTTCCGCCTTATTTTAGATATTTAAGTTCCTTCGACGTATTTTCAACATGTTTTTTGAATAAAACATACTTTTGCTTCACTATCTGGTATTTGTAGCTTATCGTTGGCTAGTTATTTTAGAGGTGGGCGCGAAATTTGTCAAATTCTGAAAAGGGGACGTGGCCTTAAAAAGTTATGTTTCAAATGACCTGGGTATTTTTTTTGTCACCCTTTAAACCAGGGGTTCCCAAACTTTATTGGCCGCGGGCCAAAATTAGAATCGAAAGGGTGTTCGCGGGCCGGAAGAGTGTAGTGCCCGAAAGTGTGCAACGGTTTAGCTGGGGTTCTGTGGATTCACATTTGACATTTTTTTAAACATGTTTGTTTGATTCATAATAGCGCTTTATGTCGTATTGTTTTATAACTTGAATAGTTCGTCGGCAAAGTGGACAAATCGCTGAAGTGTGATTCTTTTCAATACAGAAATACGAACGATGCCATTTATCGGAGTAACATCTGTTTTCAGAGTCTTGTATATTATTTGACATCTCTAACCTTTCTTAAACGGCTGATAACTAAATTACTGCCCTATGTAATCCTAATACGGTACGTATAATTGAGATACCGGCATAATCGAATTGTTACCATGAACACGAGCTTAAACTGTGATAATGACATAACAATTGGCGGTTTCTAGATTGTAAAAAGGTAGAAACAAAATCTATTTCATTGTTTCACTTAAGCTCGGCGGGCCATTTTAAATTGTTACGCGGGCCGGAGTTACGCGGGCCGGAGCCACCTCCGGCCCGCGGGCCGCGATTTGGGAACCCCTGCTTTAAACAAATCATACTATAATGTATTATACAAATTTGAAAATAATTTTTAAAAATGATACAGAATCGAAATTTATTCATTTCCCACACAGTTAAAAGCAGTGCTCACCTTGCAAGCTAGAACTACAAAATCAGAAGGAACATTAAAATCCATTTTCAGCAGCAAACCAAGTACATTACGTACAACGTTGCGACAAGAATCCACAGACACATTCACGAATTCTGTCAGACATGGTAAGTTTTCGGCGCCTGGTATAAAAACAATGATTAAGTATATTTTAATTTTCAAAACACTGACATGAGCAAACCATGGCCCGTTGGATAGTTAAATATGACCCGCCTGATGCTGCCACAACCAAACTAAAACCAAATTTTGATGTTTTAGCTAAAAATACCTCAAGGAATTTGTTGAGGTTGCGATTAAATTTAGTTTTGGCATGAGGCCTATTGTTTTCCGCTTTTGCTTTCGTAACACTGTAAATATTGTGCATAAAATGTATATTTTTATGTCACACTTACAAGGCTCGCCTAATCTGAAATTTGATAGCAAGCGTATTCCTTAAGCTTAGCATGATGCGCCAACCGCCAATGCTATGGATGTTTCCCCGGACATCGATTTCCTTGTTTATTTCCGTACCAAAAACCAATCAGCATAAAGGGAGCAATGACATAACAATTGCAAATTTTGCGACCATTCAGACACTTAATTCCCTCAGAAAAATATTCAAGCAGGGTTGTAAACATTGCCTCGTTTTTGCGTGTTATTTGTCAGTTTTCAGTTGTGTCTCCAAAAATAATTGTAAATAAAGTAATTACCTAAATGTTTTTGCCCATCACTTGGTTTCACTTTAAACAATTGATGTAGCACAGTCTTTCTATCAAGAGCTCTTCTGAAACCAACAATCCCTCGTAAATGTTCATTCGCTTTGGAAGTTAACTTTTCGATTCCTGCTTGTATGTGTTCATCAGGTTTGCCTGAAAAGTAGTAAATGAAAGTTCAAGATTATAATTTAGGATGAAATTTTTGAATATCTAAAGATTTGAGAATCGAATCTGAATACTTCAAAGATATTCGAATTCAAAATTCAAATGACGTAATTGTATGTGGATTTGTGATTGCAATAGGCCCTTCAATTAGTGAAACATATGATTCAGTTCATAACTCAGTCAGTTCCTTGAGTTGTAATGCAATTAGAAACATGTTTTCTCAATGAAGAAAATAGTCAATGAAAAAAGGTTGGGAACCACTGTGTAAGGTTCTAATATTGTAAATTAAATTTATTCATGGATTATACACAAATAAATATGTTACATATGGTACTGCGAGTGTTGTGTTGGAGAATTGCCGCTATATGTTGATCAAAAGCTATGACGTCATTGTCAAGCACGTTTTGTAGCGGACATCCTTGAAGGACGTTCGAATAGTGAAGCAAGTCGCACTAACTTGTCTCACGCTGCATTTACTCTAATAGACTTTTCAATTAAGTTGTATAATTTGCGTGCTTGCTTCATTACTTATCGATCTTGATCGGTAAGTATGTTGATATTTGTAAGTATGAGGTATTTGTCTGTTAGATGCACGCGATATCTCACGAAAGCAAAGTTGAATCCGTTCCAAATTTTGCATGTGCATTCATCATATCTCGGACCAGAAGCCTATTGATTTTGGATGAATTATGTCATATAATTAGCGAGTTATTAATTAATTAGTGATGGGACATGCTGTGTCACTATAGAGTCATGAATCGAAACCGCAATTTCGATCGATAAGTCTTCGGTCTCCGACCGACATTCTCGTTTATGCAATATAAATAAACACTACTGCAAGCACCCACCGGCTTGTTTCATAGTTTTCGACCTTATGATCAATGCAGTCTTATCTTCGAAAAGCCGGACAAGTTCGGCCCGATGAAATTTCAAACGATTGAGGACAGCTTGCATTGAAGTAAGAACCTAAAAAAAAAATAAATGTGATAAATCGAGGATAAAAGGTTACTTTTTGTCTTGAGGTTGCAGCAAATCTTTTTGACTTCTAAATTTTGCTGTGGCGACCACTAACTATAAAGTTGACGTACTAACTAACTTGGGAGTGGACGGTACTAGAACACTTTTCGATTTCATGTCCTTGTATGATATTTAATATCTGCTTGAATATTTTATATTCGACAACAGCTATTATTACTGAGAGCACGGGCATAGCCTGGAATTTTCGAGGGAGTTCTGGAAATCGCAAAGTCAAGCCGTTCCCGCACGTCCCTGATTGAGATCACACACTGTTTTATTTAAAGTCACATTTGAAAAGGGCGTCTTTCACCCTCCTAATTAAGATCAGTTCAGTGATAAATAAGACTCGGAACACTGATTACCCACGACTAGGGCAAAGCATTTTTGAATACCTGATGATTTCGGAATCGAATCGAATATTTTCATCGAATCGAATCTCGGATACTTGGGAGATATAAAACTGTATGTAACTTTCTTATTGTATTAGGCCCTCCAGACACATAAATTACTGAAAACATAGAATACATCACTTAGGCAGATTGCTGAGCGTTCACACTTCACACACAATTAAAAACCCGCTTTCACAAATAACTCACTACAGAAAAGAGTCATATGTCAGAATTGTGTTGAAAAAATATGGCTTCAATAAAAAGACATTGAGAAATATACCTCGACCATTGGTGGAAAGAACAAAAACAAGATGGCGGCGATTTTGAAATTTTCCTCTGAACCGATTCGAATAATTTACTATTCGATTCGATATGCACAGCCCTACCCACGACCCAACTAGGCTCCAAATTAGGAGACTCCTACACAACACACACCCCGTAATTTCTTTTTCCCAAGATAAAAAAAAAAATATTTTTTCTAAAAATGCAGTAGGTCATACCTTCAAATAGCCAGAGCTAGCGGACAATTTCCTATTTCCTTCGTCGCCTGATACTGTGATAAACTTCCATCTATTCTTCGATTTTGATTCTTTAGATGTGCTCGTTGGTGGCTTGGGTGGCATGGCTTTTGGTGGTGCCAAAGAACTGGTTGAAGGTGCCTCGGATGGCATTATGATGCCACCAGTCATTGCATCCGGGCCCATTAAATTTAGGATAGGATTTGGTGCCAATCCTGGTACAGTTGTAGTTTTTGAAGTGCTTATGAAAGCTTTTGAGATTCCAGCTTCATTGGTTCCCATGGGCGGTGTCATGGTTGTGACATTTGTTGCTTCGGTCGTGGCTTTTTCTTGAGATTTTGAGGCATTCGTTCCAGACTGTGACTCGGAAGTGCTGTCAGACATAAAACATTCATTTTGAACTGCAATTGTTTCAATCATGTGCGACGCATACAGCAAAATCCAAGTTAATAATCCCATATCAAGATTCTGTGGCGAAGAAACATTCCCAGCCTTAATGAAAAGATTTTCCAGCAGTTTCAATAAACTTTTAATCAAATTTTCAGCTTTCTGAGACGTTGCAAGCGAGCGCTGGCCGAGTACAAGCAAAATAGAGAACATATAATCTTTTGAAGAATGTTTTGCATCCGATGTTCGTGTCGCCAAAGTTTTTACCAAAGTTTCAGCGATAAAATCGCCCCACCATGGAAATGGTGATGAGTATGACAGAAGAAGGCAATTGGCTTGCACCTTGAGTCTAGGATTTCCAGTACAGATTAAATTTTGAAAAAATGTTGCACATAATGAAGGGCTAATGAGAGCAGAATGTCCGTTTTCTAATTCTTGTTCCAAATTTGGTTTGAAATAGACACCGTGGGGTACAGAAAGCATCGTGTTCAGCATCAACTCACAAAAAGTTTGTAATTGGGTAAAGCTGGGTGGCCTTGCGGTTGGTAGATCAAAGTGGGGTACGTTCAGGCCCATATTTGGCTCTTCAGTGCCCCCTAGTAAAGATTCCATGTAGCGTATTGCATGAGAGACTCTGTTCATTTGGACTTGTAGACGACTGCACTTTTTGTATGCTGTTGTGAGTTTTTTCATTTGTCCTCCTTTGCCGAATTTTGATTGGGTATTAAAAGGGAAGTTTTCCATGAAAAGATCTGAAAATTTTGATGAGTCAGCACTTTTTCCAGAATGTGTAGCAGATAAGAATGTTCGCAACTGGTTACATGCGAGACTATATCGGCACTCAATGTCATCTTGATATGACCTCAGATAACCTATCGACCTTTGAACTGCGGACTTTCCTGCGATCGAATCACTGACATCCAATAAATCAAGTAGAATAGGATGCTCGTCTTGTTGAGTGGAAGTCTCTTCCAAAGAATCTTTCATGCTCTTTTTGGGGGGTGAGGGAACAGCAGTCTGAGGGTCAAAGTTCAAATGATTTTTCCGGTATCCGACGCAAGCGGGGCGGCCATAGAAACGACCTAGACTCACACAAGTCTGTGCGTTTGTGGTTCCATATCTTCCAATCACGGTTATTCTCACGTAACGACACAACACTGGAGGTGCTAGATTGCTCAAGACGAAATCGTGGTCACAAATATCTAACGTAACCCCAACGTGAGTGAAAACAGCTTTGTTCAGCGTCGCGTCTTTCGTACCCTCAAGAACCAGAGAGGATATATCCGGACATGATGGTATATGAACGTCTGTTAGTTCTACAATTTGACCAAAATCCAACACGACGCTTCGGCGAGCACCTGAGTGCATTCGAGACACCGTCAATACACTAGTTGGCGGTAAACTGAAACTCATATTGGGGATGACGATATTCATCGACACTTTTTGTTCCACTGATGTACTCTTCAACTCAGCATCGATTGGTAAATTTTCTAAAAAAAAACAAACAACTTGAAGTTATTTCGATCTGGAACTTTAAGGGCAGTCGCAATAAACCAGGGTTCTTCAATCTAGCGCACCAGTTCTCAACCAGTGGGCCATGGCCCACAGCTGGGCCACTGATAAATTATTCAAATTTGATTGTGGTAGCAATTAATGATGATTCTTTTTTTTGCTACTAAATAATAATTATTATTTATTGAAGTGGAAGTTCCTATTTGTACTTTGTACGAGAAGAAGTTTTATTTTTTCTTGTACCTGGTTAGTTTCTACTGGTTAGTCAATAGCAAACAGAAAAGAGATCATCCCGGTACTAGATAGCAGTACTGGTCTGTACGGGATCTTTCTCAAGGTGAAAAAAGTCATATAAACCAGGGGCGTGCAACCTGCGAGCCAAATGCGGGCCACAAACAGCTAGCTTGTGCGAAGCATGACGAAAGATCAAAAACTAAAATTTTTGTGTCTGCAACTACTAGAAAGCCTGGACCTCCCGAAGCACGTGCACCAGGATGGCGCACAACCTGAACATGGTATGTGTACCAGGTTACCAGGTTAGGGTTCAGGTTGTGCGCCATCTTGGTGCACATACTCCAGGAGCGCTGAAAGTCTTTGTTATATGAAGATGTAGCCAGCGGTTTCACCCAGTTATTTGTATCTTGCCCTCCTGTGTTAAAGGTTGCACACCCCTGATATAAACAATTCAATCTTACCTGACGCTTCCATGAATATGGGTAAACTTCTTTTCGGTGCAGAATCTTGTTGCATTTTTTTCACATAGGTTTTGGGAAGTTCGCAATAACCTTTTTCTGCCAACAGTTTCAGCTTTTCAGTTCTTTGTTCCGGTGAGGAATACCAATGCAGGATGTCATTTATGGCATCTGTATATAAATTGGGATGTTGGTTGGGGCCCAAGGCAGGGCTTGCGCTGGACGCAACAATATCATTTGCGACTGTAATATTCGGAACAGAACTTTCCAGGTCGTTTTCAGTGTCAAATCCGACAGAACACCCTTCGCTTGACTCGACACACGTAAAATGCAGCGGCTGGCAATCCAAGAGTCCAAATCGAGATAAAGATAATCCGTCAATCAGGTCTCCGATTGCGAGTCCACGTCGAATGCCGAGACTTCGCGGCGTAACTAGGTCTTGCATGTTCAACTCCTCGCTGCTAAAATATTTCTCCCATGATTGTTGTTTCGTTGCGTGTTCTGTCACAGCCATTGGAGTGGAACCACTAGGTGGTGTAAGATTCCTGTGTGAACCGCCTACGAATTCAACAGTAAAACGTTCAGGGTCAAAGGGCGTTCCATATAACCCATGCGACGCTCGCAGCAAAACATGCAAAGGGTGGATGCTCTCTCTCATTAAAGTTGAAGACTTCGCAAGCACGGAAACACATTTTTCCAACAATTCTATAAGCAATGAACTCTGACCTTTGCCCTTTTGAACCTCAGTTGCTATGACAACGCTCAAAATTTGAAACAAGCAATATAGTCCATGAGCAGATTCAACTTTTCGTTCTAATGCCATTTCCAAGCATTCTAAGACAGCTTTACTTAGAATTTCAACTCCGGAAATAATTTCAGACTTTGAGAGAGAATTTGGACCGCTAACATCAACGCATAACACTGTATTGAAGATAAGACGCAGAGCTCGTACAGAAACATCTCTTCCGGAATATAAGAAACACGATATCAGGAATTTTTTCAGCGTGTAGACGCCGTCGACAATTTTCGTTGATTTTTCATTTTTTTCATCAACTTTTTTCGGGTTGTCCTCCCCAAGGGTAGCATCCAAAGTTTTACTATGTCTCGAAGATTTCTTGATTTTGCCGTCAAAAAAGCATAAAAGCCATGCCAAAGTTTCTGAGGGCGCTAGAGATCTTGTATTCGCAACAACTCTTGAAGAGTTGTCTGAGCCACTACTGTTTTTCTTTCGTTCATTTGGATTTGCCGTTTCCAATGCTCCAACCCAATTCAAAATGTCGAGTGCGACGACTTTTTGTGGCAAAGATTCCGCAACGAATATTTCGCCACTTGGGGCGCTGTTAGTTTCCTGTTCGCAGAGGCCGTTCAAAAGTTTTTTATGAAGTGATCGGGAACACATAAGACTGAATCTTTGAGTCCTAAAAACAAGAGAGATGTTAAAATATAATATGGTTATGTAGGTCAAACAAATGTCCTTCCGTGTGTGTCATAAAAAGTGTTCCCATAATATGAAAGTGTTCCTCGTGTTATGAAGTGTTCCCATTTTAGGAAAGTGTTCTTATGTTATAACAAGTCTTCTCATATGTTACTAAAAGTGTTTCCATATATTACGGGAAGCGTTACTTATTGTATAAAAGTAATCCTATATGCTATTAAAAGTGTTCCTATGGATTTAAATAACACAGCATAGTTATGGGTGAAATATTGGGTGATTAGGTAGGCAAGTACATAGGCAAGTACTTATAGTCTCGCATATAAGCCGACCCTGCAAATCGTAACCTGCCTTACACACTGCCTTACACACAGAAGAGAATTAATGTAAATGATAACCATTATTGTTATGTTTTACTTCAATTAATAACGGTAAAAAGTGTCACAAAATGCTTCAAAGTCATACTGACTGACCAATCACAGACTGTTATTGGTGTCATAGCGCAACTTTTTTTCAGTTTTGAACCGGGCTTACATGCGAGGATATAAAGTAAAAGCCTTCTAGTAGCTTCATCGATGTTTTAAGTACGAAAAAATTAAAATCATTGGTCCAAACCATAGGATGTCTATAAAATTTCGCTCAATTTTATAGTAATTACAATTGTAAGTTTAGATGAATTTTATTGTATGATAAATGAGAACTACAAGAACAATGGATAGGATAGGATTTACATATTTATCCCGGGGGAGAGGAAAGCCAATAAGACGGCTTATCCATATGGCAAACCACGGCCTCTCGTCCGGTTACCATTCCAAGTCGGGTATGGGATCAGTTATATTGTTTGTTTTCGGAAGCATGGACTTGGTGGTGGAGGAAGCCGTAACCGACCAGCGGTTACGTGAACCACCCAACGACGACGAGGAGTCCAGCAATCCTCTCCCACAGAACCATCCCTGCATGGGATTCGAACCTGCGAACCCACGCAGAGCAATTAGAGGTGCGGTGGCGAGCGTATTCCTAACGCTTAGCCCGTTGAGCCACACCGCCGAGACTATTAATATACAAAAATAAAGAAATTTTCAATCATTACTACTATAAAATTGGGCGAAATATCACGGACAGTTCGTATTTTATTCTAACCCTGCTACAAGAAACTCCACAAACCTTTCATGAGCAATATTCGTTCTCTGAGACTTATTTACAGTGATAGAAATCTCCTGCAAACGATTGCAACCTCTTTTTCTCCATTCATCAGAGAGAGATCCTGAAATGAAATAGTAATAGGAAGATGGAAAAACTCTCCAAGTTATGTGAGCCGTGTTATATTGTTTGTGTGCGTCGGTGAGAGACACACGTCGCAAACATTATTTTAATCTTCATTTTTTCAAGATTTGTGGACATTCAAATTTTATCAAGGTATTTGATCGAGTTTTGAAACAAATGTCAAAAACAGCATGAAACCTCAAATAAATTACAAGAATTAAATTACATTAAATAGGTAAAAAATATTAATAATAGTACAAGAAATAGAAGTAAAATTTCATCCCACAAAGCATCTGGTTAGGAAACGATGCTCTAAATATAGTCTTTTGGGTGCTCCGGAAGTATGCGAACCAAGATGGCGGACATCGGAACGTAACAGGGGTACCAGGTTAGGGTTAGGCGATAATTTTTTTCCAATTTTCCTTATTTTAGTCCTATTATCAGTTCGAAGACTAGCCAAGAGCCTCCCGTAGTATTTATACCTAAAATTATGGCCTAACCCTAACCTAGTACACATATTACATTCCGATGTCCGCCATCTTGGTTCGCATACTTCGGGAGCCCCGTCTTTTGTTATAGAACAAGCTGCTATGAGATTCAGTAACTTACCTATTTTCACTAGCTTTGCACTGCTTGCATCCTGAAAAAAATATATATATGATAAGTGAATCTGCTGAATACGACCTGCTTGTGTAGTTTCACCAATAAATTTATATTGTTACATACAGTAATAGCAATTCGAAATATGGTATGATTCAAATTCATTCAGGAGAGGAATAAGTACAAGACGTTTTATCATATGGTATCATACGACAAACAACAGCCCCTTGTCTGCTTACAAGTTAGGTAATCTTTCCCAAAAGAAGGATTTGTATCAATCAATAGGATAGGATAGGATTTACATATTTATGCCGGGGGAGAGGAAAGCCGATAAGACAGCTTATCCATATGGCGAACCACGGCCTCTCGTCCGGTTACCATTCCAAGTCGGGTATGGGATTAGTTATATTGTTTGTTTTCGGAAGCATGGACTTGGTGGTGGAGGAAGCCGTAACCGACCAGCGGTTACGTGAACCACCCAACGACGGCGAGGAGTCCAGCAATCCTCTTGCACATAACCATCCCTACATGGGATTCGAACCTGCGAACCCACGCAGAGTAATAAGAGGTGCGGTGGCGAGCGTATTCCTAACGCTTAGCCCGTTGAGCCACACCGCCGCGCCAATTCATGGCCAACTAGTCTAAAAAGAGTCAAACTTAGCTATGTTGCCATCGCACATTAAAAATCTCAATCACAGTTCCACAAGTACCATGGCTGCCACCTCATCCAGATTGTAATAAAGTGGGTAGGCAATGCTGAGCCGGTAAGAATCTAATTCATGGCAGCTCGTAATATGTCAGTGATTACTTGCGTTGAGCCTTGTTCTGAGTGGAGACATGAAAGTTTTTGAGAAATAAAATATATGTGTATAGAGTGTCCGAAAAATTTCACCCAATTCTATATTAATAACAATTAAAAATTTCTTTGCCTTTGTTTATTAATAATTCTTATTGTGCTTGTAGTTATCATTTATCATACAATAAAATTTATTTAAATTTACACTTGTTATTATCGGCACTATAAAATCGTGAGCAATTTTTTGGACACCCTGAATAATAGGAAAAATTCCAACATCAACCAGCCACTCCAAAATATAATAGCTTCCTAAATATCAGTGGCTGCTTCAGGGCCTTGCTCAGAGCAAACATCATTAATTACCCTCCCTAGATGAAACTATAAAATCAAATCTCACACCTGGATTTGCACTAAAACAGCTCTATGCCTCGGTTCTTTAATAATAAAACGACTTGCAATCGTAACCACGCCACCAATGCCGCTCGCATCTGTGTAGTCTGATAGGTTGACTGGTCCAAAGAGGACGGAAGAACTGTAAAATTATTAATTGAAAGTATATTCAGTCGAAAATATGAAATATTGTCTATTGGGAATAAATAATCCAGGACAGTGTTTCTTAAACTGCGTTCCGCTAGCTTATTCGAAGCCTTCCGTGGAACTGGGATCAAAATTGCAACTAAACTGATCGCCATAACGATCTCTGTCGTACTTCGACAACTCTGGGCAGGAAATTTGTCCTCCAACTGGCGACGAACAGGCGAACAAGCCTCGATAACAAGTTCGAAGTCAGACAAGAAGAATTTTAGTATCTACCTCTGAAGACATAATGCCTCTATAGAAATCAGTAGATGATTGGCAAAGACTGGTTTTAAATAAAATTAGTCCTTTTAAACCATGTTAGAATATTAAAAGATAGGATGGCATGATGTTACAACGAGAATATCGGTTGGAAACCGAAGACTTATCGATCGATAGTCAGGGGATCCCCCAAAACAGAAACTGCAGTTTCGATTCATCCGCTCTTGTAACTTGCGCACTGCGCATCGCACACACACACTCGGCGGGTTTCAAAATTCTCTCGCTTTACAAAAATCTAGATCACTATATCAATAATTGATTGATAACTCGCTAATTATACGACATAATTCGCCCAAAATCAATAGGCTTCTGGTCCGAGATAAGATGAATGCACATGCAAAATCTGGAGCAGATTCAATCTCGCTTTCGTGAGATATCGCGTGCATCTAACAGACAGACACACAGACAGACAAATACCTATCAATATACTTACCGATCTTAAGATCGATAAGTAACTACTAAGACAGTAGTAAGTGGATAAGATAAGTTTCACATATTTATCCCATGGGAGAGGAAAGTCGATAAGACGGCTTAATCCTATGGCGTCAGACAGCCTCTTGTCCTGTTACCAATCCATTTCGTGTATGGGATTTGTTAGCCAATTATTTGCTACAGTTGTATGGACCCATGTTATGGAAGAAGCTGTAAGCGACCAGTGGTAACGTGAACCACCCTACGCCACGAGGATACCAGTAACCCTCTCGTAAATAATATGCCCCACGCCCCACGATTCAAACCTGTGGACCCACGAAGGGTAATCAGGATGACTGCTAATGCTGATAATACAAATAGTATAAATTACGAACCCATCTTGGTTCATGCTCTCATCATGTTCTTCAGTTCCTGACATGTCAATCAAAGAAGGCGGGGACTCATTCATTGAAGCATGACTGTTATCTTCTATGACATCATCATCTTGATCAGGGTCTTCTGCAGAAGGCTAAAAAGCAATCAATGTACCTAATTTGAGATATATATGAGGCCTATTCTGCGAAGACTTTCAAACCAGATCATCTCATCCTTAGGTATGAAATGTGAGAAGACGGGTTGAAGCAGAATTGCCATTCTTACAGTTGGAATTTGCTTTTTTTGATATAGCCAACACAATTCACAGATAGTACAATGAATAGTTGATGAATTATGTTGTTTGCGGAAGACACTTCTGCCACCTCTTACCCTCCCCCTACTTTAAAGGAAAAAAAGCCATGCATGGGAATTTCCGATTTTGAAACCCCTCATTTAAAATTCCTGGCTGCGCCCTGATTTCAAGACACCTATTCGATAGATTTCAAGTCATAATTCGACGCACTGTTTAAACTGCACTGTCCCGTCCCAACCATTGCGAAATGGTTATTTGTTGAGTTACTTGTTGCAGCATGGTTCGCATTACTACTGCTTTAATTTCAACATTCAATTTCTTGCAAATAGAAAAAATAATCGCGATTCCTGTGAGTGATCTGGATTAGTAAACTGACTGAAGGCCGCCGTACATTACTGCGTTTTAGCTTTTTTTTATTGATATTAAGAATAAATATGACAATCTTGAACCTGAAAGGCTATAAGCTGCAATAGCAAAAAATATCACGTTTATTGAATTAACTGTACTCCCGAGGTATGTGAACCAAGATGACAGACATCGGAACGTAGTAAGTATACCAGGTTAGGGTCAGGCAATAATTTTATTCCTTTTTTCCCTATTTTAGTTCTATTACGAGTTCGGGGACTATCTAAGTGACTCCTGTAGTATTTGTACTTGAAATTATGGCCTAACCCTAACCGAGTACACATACTACGTTCCGGTGTCCGCCATCTTGGTTCACATACTTCGGGAGTACCAGTTAAACAACTATATATCTCATTTCATGGGAAAAACAAAGACGTTACCTCTTCAATGCCCTTTTCTTCGGACTGCCCTGTAGCGCCATCACTTGGTGGATCATTGTCAGTATCGTTGCTGATTGGTTCCTCACCACTGGTTGTTCTGGACCAGTACACATCTTCTTCTAAAGACTTGAGTTCATCAGCCGACACTAAAGATAAGTTGTGATAAGTATCTATAGTTCTATACCAGGGGTGGGCCAAGTTTTTGCACCAGGGGCCAAAAATTTGGCCCACCTACACTGACAGGTTGGCCATGTAAGTGTGACGTCAAAAGTTACATTCTATGAATAATATTTACAGTGTTGCAAAAGCAAAAGCGGTAAGCAATAAGTGCCAACTAAATTTAATCGAAATCTCAACAAATTCTTTGAGCTATTATTCAGCTAAAGCAGTGGTTCCCAAACTTTTTGAAAAAAATTCCATGACGAACCCCTCGCAATTTTCATAATGATTCGCGGCCTTGTGCACTAAAATGGAACATTATGAGATCACAACAATAAATCAGTGCACCGTATGGTATAGTGAAAAATGCCTCTTTCCCACCTGCTCTTACAAACGTGCAAAGAGGCAGCGTCAGCTACACCTCTGCAGTCAGTTGGCTTGTAATGGCATCAACAGAAGCCTCCCTGTAATATCACAAGCTCATAGCTCTGTGACGTCACAAAGGGGAATCGCGTTTGAAACAGAAAGTCGGGAATCAGTGTATCCACTAGTGATTGCAAAGGTGATAAATGTGTATTTGCAAATTTAAGCACTCGGGGCTCCCGAAGTATGCGAACCAAGATGGCGGACATCGGAATGTAATATGTGTACTAGGTTAGGGTTAGGCCATAATTTTAGGTATAAATACTACGGGAGGCTTTTGGCTAGTCTTCAAACTGATAATAGGACTAAAATAAGGAAAATTGGAAAAAAATTATCGCCTAACCCTAACCTGTTACCCATGTTACGTTCCGATGTCCGCCATCTTGGTTCGCATACTTCGGGAGCACCAAGAACTCAATATTTGTATTATCAAACTATATGCCATATAACAGATTTCTTTCGTGAACCCTTCGAAGATGCTTCACGAACCCCAAAAGGTCCGCGGACCCCAGTCTGGGAACCACTGAGCTAAAACATCAAAATTTGGTTTTAGTGTGGTTGTGGCAGCATCAGGCGGGCCGGATTTGGCTCGCAGGTTATAGTTTACCAATATCAGTTCAATACGGTATCAGTAGCTCCCCTGTATTTCAGTCGTAACTTTGCTCAAAGATCACTCTCCTTAATTCCGACTCGAGTGTGTGAGTGTGCATAATCTTGCTTTAAATAAACGCTCTTGAAAAAATAACATACATTGTTTAGTTCAAGAATTCTTCAACAGACCTTAGGCTCTCTTTCTTAGAACCCAAATCATTTTGGTCCAACCATACATACCCAGACTAAGAGGGGGAAAATTTAATTTATAACAATTCAGTTGAATTCAAAAACACTCACATGAAGAAATCTCCTCTTCTGTGCATATTTTCAAGGCACCGACAATAATTCTCACACTACTCGTCCCAACACAAACTCTCATGTAACCATTGACAACGACCAAATCCCCCACCTTTATGCCTGTGAAACATTTTTTGCACATGGCAATGATCTGTGAAAGAAAAATTAAATTGTCAGTTTTTGTGAGCTTCTGCTTTGCTAACTTGAAGCAATACTTTGATAAAAAAGACAATCACTAACAAAATCTATCTATCAAACTATAAGGTGTTTCCCATAAACTTGGCTGTGTGGCACATCCTGCTAAGCATTAGGAACACGCTCGCCACTGCACTTCTGATTACCCTGTGTAGTTCAAAAGTTCAAATCATGTGGGGATAATCATATGCCAGAGGATAGCTGGACTCACCGATGCTGGTCAAACGGCTTCTGCCACCATCAACAACCCATGCATCTGAAACAAATAACTGGCTTAACTAATTCTATACCCGACATGGACTGGTAACCAGACTTGGCCTTCCTCTCCACTGGGATAAGTATGTCACATTAAATGAATATAACAAAGTAATCTGCTAATTTCATTATTCAATAAATGAGCACCGTTAAGTACGGTGTATTGGGGGTTCATCTAATAACCACTTCTGCTACAAGGGTAAAAAAAGTTTAGAAGTGAAGTACTGTGTTAACTTAGTATAAATGTATATTTATTAAATCTCCATAACAATAACCAAAGTAACTTCTAAGACACACCAATAGAAATGAGGCCTCAGTACAGAGAGCACATGACCACTTGACCTTTACAGCTGGTTGGTCATGATCAGTCATCCGTGACTGATGACATCATAGGTCAGGCTCAGCCATCTGGTAAAATACCAGTTGCCAGAAAAAAAAGTTACAGTTAACACAATGTGCTTGAATCACATAAAAAATCAACTTACTGTCTTTCTGCTCCCATCCATCATGACCCATTCTTTTGCCATAGATTCCGATGTTTTTCGCTCAAAAACCACAAGTAAAATTGGGTTTTCAATGTCTGATTCCATTAAATTGTCAACAAAATTCATTGTGAGCTGTGAAAATAGAGTTGAAGTTGGGAATTTGAAGCATTGGTTCTCAAACTGTGGGTAGAACCACATCAGTTATGGGCCAACAGATATTTTTAGTGTGCAAATTTGTTTCTTGAAAAAGTACTTATTTGCCTGCGTAGAATTGGACACAATATGATCAAATCTAAAGCCAATCTCCCAAAGCTTAGAGGGTGTAATACACTGAGTACACTCAAGATGAGTCAAACTTGAACTCTTAAAGCTCTTAAGTCTTCTCTATTTGAAAATGCGACACAAAGAAAACATGCCAAACTCTGCAGTGTTCTATCAGTTTCATCTTGCCCGAAGCCTTATTCTAAGCAAAAGTTTTGATGATTAATTTATAAATTTTTTATCTTCTACATGCCAAACCAAACAAAACAGAATTTTATGTATAGTGCGGGAGGAATGAAGAGTTTTTTTTTTTGGGGGGGGGGGGGGAGGAGACAATTGAAAATAAACATATTTGCTAGATTTGATCCTGCCCACCTTATTTTAGATATTTACATTTCAAACTCATTTATTTCATTCATTAGGTTCCATGCATGTATTTTTAACATGTTTTTCGAATAGAACATACTTTCGCCTCACTAGTTGAGGCGGGGCACGAGACTTGACAAATCCTAGAAAGGGGCGTGGCTTATAAAGTTTGAGATAAATACTGGTATATATCATGCCGTCTTCCACATACCAGATGCATAACTTTAGGAAATCTTTCATCAGCAATGGCAGCAAATCTCGACTTTCCATCTTTCTTGGACCCCGTGGCCGAGACTTTTGAATGGTGGCGCCATTTTCTTCGCTGTTCGTTTCTTAGAATCTCATTCTTACTGGTGGTAAGTCCAGGGTGCTTCAGAAGTGTTATCTGAAATAAAGTGAAAAACATTATTTAATACTGGCTTCTGAGTAGGACTGTGATCATTGGAATAATGAAAGCGTGGGAAGAATATCGAGTTACATTTAATCAGAACAAGGCTGTGAAGTCAGGGGATCGCTTGGCATGTTTTCATCAATGATGTGAAATTTATCTAAAAACTGAAGCAGATAGTAGACATAGTAAAAGTACTGACATATCAATGGATTCAAGTGAGTCAAAAAGACAATTGTGTTGATTTTCAAACTACCTACAGTCAAGACTCAATTTTCTGAATTTCCCTCAATCGTGAATCATAATTACAGACTTAAAACTGATAAAAGAAGTTAAAATATACTACAGAAACCCAAAAAGCATAAAATTCACTAAGCGTTCTTAACAGTCTCTCAAAGAAGGACTTGCTGCCCCCAAAGGGTATAATAAATCGGACAAGCTGCCATATTGCATCACATTGTTCCAAACAGGAAAGATTCCAGTTTTCAAACCCTGAAGCATTGAAGCTCCTAAATATTAGCATCTATTCGTCTAGAGCAGGGGTTCTCAACCTGGGCTGGAAGATTTCCAGGGGTACTTGGATGACAGTCGAGTTTTTGTATGTTGCTGTTTTTTATATCCTTTATTACTACCATGGGAAAATGCGTGCCCATTGAAACTAGATCAGTGCTCTTCAACAGGGGTTCCGCAATACATGCAGTGCGTCGTTGCGAAGTTGTTTGAAGAGTGTAGACATGGATATGAGAATTCTAGAAGATTGCAAAGGAAATGCAAGAACAACCTAGTCACTGAATTTCACGCTTGTTACCTTCTTTCTGTTCCGTTCTTGAAGTAGAAATATTTGAATTACAAATATTTCGTGTTACGAGTATTTAGTGTATTATTTTATTTTGGTAGTTGGGGTTCCATAAAAATCGAAGAATTATATCAGGGGTTCCACAATAACAAAAAGGTTGAAGAGTACTGAACTAGATGCCAATTGGAACCTAAAATTTTCCTTGACGTTGCATGGTTGTGATTGTGATGTGACAATGTGAAATTCAAGGCTTTGCGTGCAAACTGTGAAATCTCTAAAGACAGCGTGCTGCGAGCAATGGAGAAGTGATTATGCTTAAGAATTTATTAGTTAGGCAGATGACAAGGGCAATAATATCAACAAGACGATTCAATTTAGTTACACATGGTCATTAAATTGGTGTTGCAACAAATCGTTAGTCAATATATCAGTATATCACAACTTTGTTTGGTGTCTGATTACCGGGGGTTCGCGTTGATTGTTTCGTGACTCGGGCGGTGCTTGACAGAAAAAAGGTTGAGAACCCCTAGTCTAGAGCCTTGTTTTAAACAACCTAGTGATGGCCCTGTACATCAGCTCATGGCTTGAATTTCTTTGAAAAAACAATGGAAGTTAGCAATGAAAAAAGAGATGGAGGATGATTCATATTTTAAAACTAGTGACTGCGATAAATTAAAGTGAATCTGCTCATAGTAGTGAGAAGTCCACAATATATAATAGACAACCAAATAAATAAACAAACCTGTATGTCAGATCCTGGCTTTAATTTTCTTGAGAGAACAAACTTAAGATCAATATGGCTGATGTTGGTTGGTCTTGGGAAGACTAGCTCGAATAGATGTTCACTCCAACTGAGACTAAAATGCGAAGAAAATATTGGAAATTAAATTCTGAAATTTGTTGATCGAATCAAATTGTATTGGGTTCTGTTTCAAAAAGTCCACTGTAAGTTACTGCAAGTTAATTAGTGTGTTGTGAGTTTGAAACTTTTGAAAAAAAAATATCTGTTCAGCCCTTTACATATAAAACTGCAGGATTTTGGCGAATGACTGAAGGTGTTAACCTAAGTTAAGTTGAGAGGAGCTCCCGTAGTATGTGCAACAAGATGGCGGACACCTGAACATAGTATGGGTACCAGGTTAGGCTTAGGTCATAATTTTATTCCAATTTTCCTTATTTTAGTTCTATCATGAGTTCGGGGACTTGCCAAGTGACTCCAGTAGTATTTGTACCTGGAATTATGGCTTAACAGTAACCTGATACACATTATCACATAATACGTTACGGTGTCCGCCATCTTGGTTCACATACTACGGGAGTACTAGTTGAGAGTACTTGGATTTGAAACTGAGATAAAAAAGTACCAGTTATTATTATCATATAAAACTTACCAATCAGGTTGAAGTCTCCAAGCCCTTGTATATGATACAGCATCAGGAGGGTAATGCTCATTAGCATGTCGTAAATGTCTTCTATAAGGCTGTTGTTGAGCAGTTGACATTTGGGCCACGCCTTGCCTTCTGTACCCCGCCTTCTCAGGTTGTGGGACTGTGTAGTATGGTCCAGTCTGACTGGCAGCCCCAGAACCCAGGTTGGGGCTAAAAGGAACCTCTGTCCAGCATACTGGGGCATTCGCTGTGAATCTGGGACGCATTGGTTCAAACCTATAAAAAAAGAGATTTGAATTAAAATTTGTAATGTTATGATGATAGCTATATTACTGTATTTCTCCATGTAGGATCTATTTCATTATCAAAATTGGGGTGTGTTGGCCATTGGTAAATGAAAAATCATAAAACACCTTTTTTCATGCTTAATAACTGGCTAGCCCTCTCCATGTATTTTTCCCCAGTGGGCCGCATTTGGCGCCCGGGCTGCAGGTTGCACATCCCTGTGCTAGGGGGTGACCGTACATTTGAACCCATGTACATTTGAACCCATGCGTATATCCACGGGTTCAATCTATATGCGGGTGCTAAAACCCATGGGTTAGGGTTAGTATGGGTTTAACTATCCGTGAAACAAAAAAAAATTCCATAGGTGCAATAGCATACAGGTGCAATTGTCATGGGTTCAAATGTACGTGGGTTCAAATGTAATGAAACCGTGCTAGGGCGTTCATTCAGACTTAAACTTGGAAACGAGAGCTGATATTAAATTGTTTGATATTGAAGTTGTGTTCAGGCCAAACAATATTCAATATTGTGCAAGATGATTGCTCAAGGTGGCTCATGCAGCTGTTAATCATTTATTGTTGGGTTGTTGCTAATGTTGATGAACAGTGTTGCCAGAGTTTGAAAATCATTTACAGAGGGGTGTGGAATATTTTTTGTCGGTGGGCCATATAACTAACTATACACATCTAGCTGCGCCACACAAACATGCAACTATCGCTTAGCCTTATAGAAATAAAGACACCAGGCAAAATGGCAAAAGCAGCAGGTTGTGGTTGTTGCACACCCCTAATTTAAGTCACACACATACAATATTTTCAAGGAATAACTCACTTCGTAAGATGAACAAGATTCTTCAGGTTCTCTGTAGTCAGAGGGTGATTGACAATCAACATTGCTGGAGTGAGTTTAGTTTTTTTGGTCTCGGTAGTGGACGGCCCATCTACTTGGTCAGAGGCCTGGGCAGTTGAAGTTCCAGGTGCAGTTGAAGGCTGAGATGAACCTTCAATAGCTGGCTTAGTGATGCTGGGAGAATGCTTCCCAATCTGAATAGTAAAATTGTTGATGAGAATTCGCTCAAATTAAGGTTATGTGAATACACTATTTGAAATAAAGCTTTCTTTTTGAGCAAAGCTACTGGTAAACACTGAAATGCTGCATGAACCATGAAATGGACGCTACTCCCTATTGCAGGGGTGGGCAACCCCTGGCACGCGTGCCAAACTTGGCTCGGGAGCCCATTTATTCGGCACGCGAGCGAGGCCTCGGAAACGAGCGTCAGCTATCAGCGTTAATGCAGCAACAAAGGTCTCACTGATATAGAATAAAAAAAGTAATCAAGTCTATTTGCGGACTGATATTTTCTCTGTCTGTACATGTTTAAAAGGTTTATTATTGTGTATGTTTGCTTTGAAAGAAGCAAAGGTATGTTTTTAATTTGGGCCAGCACGCGGAAGAATTTTGTCGGTAAATTTATCCGATTTTGGCATGCGAGCCGAAAAAGTGCCCACCCCTGCTTTATTGCAAAGGTTCTCTGAAGGGGTAGCCACGATTTGCTAAGTGCGCCCAGAAAATTACCAGAACTGTGTTGAACATGACTAATATATGATTGAACATTTGAAAATACGTGTTCAGAGCAGCAGCCGCGCACTTCTCTTTCAATAAAAAAGTGTGAATGTTATGACAATATGTTGTTTCTTTGACATTGGCTTTATTCGTACAAATTAACGATCTAAGACTAGGTCTTATTTTCCGAGAAACACTGTATCAAAACAAAAATCTACTTTTACCTTCAAAAACACAAGCTTCCCAGTGTCAGTAGAAGCACAAAGTCTTTCGGTACCAGAGCAATAAGTAATAGCAGTGAATTTCTCTGGATCAGATAAAATTGTTGAAGTTTTCGAGCTCTGCTTTTCTGGTTCCACATCAGTAGTCGATATAACTTCTTGCACTGTTTCAGGAGAGTTGATTGGAGTCACTGAGTAAGAAAATAAATTTTGCTTTGATTTCTGATTTCAAAATGAAAGCACATTATGCACCCCCATATTTTTGCGCAGTCTCAGTAGTTTTTGGAATTTTAATGGCTGTTCGTAACTTTTCTTAGAGATAAGTCTCCTTTACTTCTAATAGAGCGCCATAATTTATATAGTTTCAGTAACTCTTGACACATTTAAGTCATTGCAGTAACTTTATCCTGAGATGAATCATGTTTACTTCTGAGTAAGAACTATTCTAAGTGCTCCAAGAGTCATGCAGAAGCGCTGAGAAAACAATTCTCAAGTAAAATTTATGCAAAAAAAAATATTTACTTGCAAATATCTCTGTTGGATTAGTCTTAAAAACAACTTCCAGGGTTGCCAGATTCATAACATTAATTTCACCATCTCTTGTCAATCCCAGGATAAACAGTGATCCAGGTGGAGTAGGACTGTAAAAGAATAATTATCAGTTTTGTTTTCTGGCATCCTATATGGCAGGGGTGGGCACACCGCGGCTCGCTTAAAAGTTGAAAGGAAGTTTTCGTCAATGATTAAAACAAATTATGTTTTAGTATGAAAATCGCTGTAGCGTTGAATTTTGAATTTAAGTCAGTCAAGTCAGCAAATTTTTCGTCACAATGGTCAATGTTTATTGATGAGTCGGCGGTATTGCAGCTTGATTGCGGTTAGTTAGTCACTGTGCAAAATGTCATCAATTAAGAAACGAAAATACGAAGATAAAAACAGAGTTGTCAAGTCAGAATGGGAAGAAGAATACGCATTTACCAGCCAGAAGAATAAACCTTTGTGCTTAATCTGAGATAATCTTCCTACTAAGTCAGAATAAAGTCAGCAATGTTAAAGGGCACCATGAAACGAATCATGAAAACCTCTTACGAGACTACCCTCGTAAATCAGCTATGAAGAAACACAAATTAAATGAGCTCAAATTGTGCATATATTTGAGTATAGCTGCCTTGTTTATCTATTTATTGTTATTGGACTCTTGTGTGAATTTCTTTCCTGTTCATGGTATTTTAATAATAAAAATTTACAAATTCTGCGGCTATTTTAAAGTTCTGACTTGCAGCAGGCGGCTCTTATACTAATAAATTGTGCCCACCCCTGATATATGGCATAGATCGAAAAGTTGGCTGTGATTTTTTTTTTGTTCAGTATTTCCATAACTTCACTCCAAACTAGGCCATAGACAAGCAGCTTATTTTTATAATTTCGCTTAGAACTGTTGAATTGGTTAGAGCTGGGGTGTGCGACCTTTGATACCAGAGGGCCAGATACAAATAACTGGGTCAAACTGCTGGCCGCACCTTTATTTAACATAGTCATAGGTATTCTAGTAGTTGCTAACACAAAAATTTTGGCTATTGATCCCATGACATGCGTTGTTCGCTTTGCACAAGATAACTGTTGGGGGATTGTAACGTCATAGATATTGATAATAAATGGGACTCATGTATAGGCTAAGCAACAAAAAGAGATTGGAATTACTCGTATCTTCCAGATTAAACTGAATTGAAAACTCGTTACGCGGGCCACAGACCATTCAAAATGGGCACTTTTAATTTCCACCGTATTCTAACTCAATTTACCTCCCACTCCCATCACTCTTTTCCCCTTCTTGCTCCTCCTTATTCTCTTTCATTGATTGTTCATCCTCTTCTCCTTCCATGCTATCCACATCCTCATCCTCATATGAGGATTGATTAAAGTCAGACGGTAGAATCATTAGTTGGTCGTAGATCCGAGAGTAGATCCATGATTTATCTAGAGAAAATTCAAATTGATGGTTCAATAATATGGAATTGCTTAGAGCAGGGCTCCTCAACTATTTTTACCGAAGATCCGTAAACAAAACTTTAAAATTACTGGGGTCTGGTCATTCTAGAAATTATAACCCCATATCCACCATAGACTGGTAACCAAACAAGACAGGCGGCTGTGGTTCACCATATGATTAAGACTTATTCGCATATCTCTCCCTGAGAAAAGCTATAAAATCATAATCCCACTTTTTTATGAATAAAAATGTTCTAGCATTTGAAGTCGGCCTTAATGAAAGTTCTAACAGAAACAAAAAAAATTTTAGGCTCCGAAAGATAGGCAATTTATTATAAAAAACAAACCCTGAACACATCTCGAAACAAAACTGCAACCAACCTTTATCGACAGAAGAAATCTCTTTCGGTGAAACACAACTCACATTGCTTGAAGGTTCAATCTTAAAAACGAACAATTTCCCTCGACTTTGACAAGATATTTCCTCGTTTCCGTCAGTTTCCATTTTTGTATCTTCTTGAATTTTCATTGGCTGATCCACATTGGGCGTGGAAAAAGCTTGGGCAATGATTGGTTGATCAGCTTTAGGTGTGGTCATGATTTGAACTCCAATTGGTTGATTCTGAGGTGTGGTTGGGGCGTCGTCCATTCTTAAATTTTTCTCTGCATTAATTGATTGAGAGTTATCCAAATCCTCCCCATCGGTTTTGATTGGTTGTTGAATTGTGGGTGTGGCTTCATCCTGCATTTCGATTGGTTGATCAAGGCCAGGCATATTTTCTGAATCAACATCATCAACTTTGATTGGTTGGTTCTCTTGAGGCGTGCCAATGTCACTCTTGAAACAATCTTCTGGGCAAGTCCCAACAATCATCTTGCACCCATCCTCTGTGGTTAGTATATTGTTGATAACTTGAATTTGCTTTTTTGAATCAGATTTCTCAGGTTTTGCACAATGGTCAATCAAGACTAGTTGTAGTATAGTCGCTGGCAGGCATTTTTCTGAAAAAACAAGAAAAAGATTGATTTATTCATTTGTAAAAAGACTTATTTTGCAAAATCTCGCTCAGAGCTTGATCCAACTATATGCCTAGAATCTATATCTATACTTTTAATACATCATTAAAATGCATAGCAAATGGTATTCAACATAATTGTAAACTTTCGCTATTTTAAAGACTCGCTCAAAATTTACAGTCTCTCTGAGTCTTTGAAAAGGGGATTAGATTACAGGCGAGTTGAGTTACCGACTCGTGTCTTCCCAAGAGAGCTATATCCCAGACTCATGGTTCATACACAATATCCTGATTCCTTCTAATAAACTCCATTTTAATTTGGTAAAGATAAAATGATTATATAGATTTAGAGATGGAAATTACAGAATTCATTTTGTGAAAAAATTATTTGAGATAATTTGTATAATTGATCAATCAACTTACTTTTTATGCCACTAGAGGCAGCATCTTCTTCTTCATCGGGGAGTGTAATATTGGCATTCTCATCAACCATCAATCCACCGTGTGGATTATTGAGTTCGTTCTCCATTTCAGCCATTTCATCGGGGAAAATCTCAGTGAGAACGTCTTGGGCATATTCTTCAAATTCTTCAGCAGTCTGAGGAAGGTATGGAGGCATGTTCTGGAATTATAAAACAATTTATGAATATTGGTGCTCCCGAAGTATGCGAACCAAGATGGCGGACATCGGAACGTAACATGGGTAACAGGTTAGGGTTAGGCGATAATTTTTTACCAATTTTCCTTATTTTAGTCCTATTATCAGTTCGAAGACTAGCCAAGAGCCTCCCGTAGTATTTATACCTAGAATTATGGCCTAACCCTAACCTAGTACACATAGTACATTCCGATGTCAGCCATCTTGGTTCGCATACTTCGGGAGCCCCTGAATATTTTTATAAAGTTTACTTGTAATGGTCTTAAATTTTCAACTAAAAATAAACTATCTATTGAGGAGTATCATTCAACTAAATAACTGGGTGAAACCGCGGACCGCACCTTTATTTAGCAAGGCTTTCCAGTATTTGCAGCAACAAAAATTTGGTTATTGATCTTACGGCATATGCATTGTTCGCCTCACACAAGCTAGCTGTTAGGGCATTGTGACGTCATAGGTAATAAATTGGACCGAGGTATTGGCTTTACAATGCAAAGGGATAGGAATTGCTAGCACATACCAGATTGAGGTGATTAAAAACTCGTTTCGCGGGAATAACACCATTCAAAATTGGCACTTCTACTCGCCCCACACAAATTTTCCTTGTGGGCCGCAGTATGCACACCTCGGTTTAAGGGACAAGCACTGATCTCACTATCTGATAGATACACAAAGCTATGCTACTTCAAAATCAAGCTTGTTAAATACAAACCTGTAAATTCATCTGGACTGGAGGAACCGAGATATCAGACGCCTGTTGTTGTTGCATTGCAAGTTCCATGAGGGGCATCATTTGTTTGTTCGCCTGAAGAAAAATATGAAAGAAAATATTAAAAATTAATACCAGTAAACCAATTATATTTGTTTATTTTTCCAGAGCGATAGGCCCATACGAAGAACAAAAAGGATAGTAAAAACAATCAGGTACCAAAAAGAGGAAAAAAGAGGAAGCAATGGGAACTGACAAAAGCATCACAAAAAAAATATCAGGGAAGCAAATTGGCCTATACATTTGTGACTGAATGTATTAGTAAGCACAACACAATTATGGGGGCTCCCGAAGTATGCGAACCAAGATGGCGGACATCGGAATGTAATATGTGTACTAGGTTAGGGTTAGGCCATAATTTTAGGTATAAATACTACGGGAGGCTCTTGGCTAGTCTTCGAACTGATAATAGGACTAAAATAAGGAAAATTGGTAAAAAATTATCGCCTAACCCTAACCTGTTACCCATGTTACGTTCCGATGTCCGCCATCTTGGTTCGCATACTTCGGGAACACCCAATTATGTATGTGTTTTTACTCTAAAATTAGGCATATCTAACAGCATCAATGCAAAAATGTCAAATTTCACAAAACAAAAAATTTAAATTTTTTTATAAATGCTAAAGTTGAATTCTTAAAAAAAGCTTTTTGGACTTCTAGCTCTGGAAAGGTTAAAAAAAGGTAGCGATCAAAGACCGCATACTTATCAATCTAGCGGTGTGTATCCTTCGCTCTCTTCGACTCAATAGCGACAGCGCCTGTCCCATCACTAATTAACTAATAACTAGCTAATCATACGACATAATTTATTCAAAATCAATAAGCTTCTGGTCCGAGATATGATGAATGCACATAAAAAATGGAGCAGATTCAACCTCGCTTTCGTGTGATATCGCATAACATACGAAAGTGTTTAACAGACAGACAGACATACAGACAGACAAATACCTATCAACCTACTTACCGATCAAGATCGATAACTAATAAGACTCCAGCTTATACTCTAATGAAAACATGCAAAAATTTAGCTCAGACTTCTCAGCACGAGTAATAGAAAATTTGACTCACCATTTGAAAACTCTGTGGGATAGAGACAGACCCCACTCCATTGGTCATCGGAGCATCAGGAGGCGGATATATTTCCACTCCTTCCATTGGCTGGGGTTGGAAAAGCGTGGTCTTGGACATTGATAGTTGCTGCTTTTGAGATTTGGACCCCAAGGTGCTGAAACAGTAAAAGATAGATATATTACTTATCGGTTTTATTCGGTGAGTATGTTGATAGGTATTTGTCTGTCTGTTTGTTTGTCTGTCAGATGCACGCGATATCTCACAAAAGCAAGATTGAATCTGCTCCAGATTTTGCACGTGCATTCATCATTTGTCGTACCAGAAGCCTATTGATTTTGAATGAATTATGTCGTATAATTAGTGAGTTATTAATTAATTATGGGACACAAGGTGTCACTATGGAGTAAGAGCGCTGTTTTGGGGGATCCCCTAACTTTTGATCGATAAGTCTTCGGTTTCCAACCGATATTCTCGTTTATATATTTACGATGAACAAGGTTTTTTACGGGGGGCATAGCCAAGAAATTTAATAGAGGGGGTTCTGAAAGAGTCCAGGTTTCCAAGAGTCTTGAAGCCAGAGGCTAAAAAGCGTTTCAAGCTACGAAAAATTACTATTTATCATACAGAAAAATGGGTACTCCCGAAGTATATGAACCAAGATGGCGGACACCGGAACGTAGTATGTGTACCAGGTTGGGGTTAGGCCATAATTTCAGGTCCAAACACTACGGGAGTGACTTGGCTAGTCCCCGCACTCGTAGTAGAACTAAAATAAGGAAAAATGGAATACAATTATGGCCTAACTCTAACCTGGTACACATACTACGTTCCGGTGTCCACCATCTTGGTTCACATACTTCGGGAGTACCGAAAAATGTGTTTTTTTATATTTCAAAAGAAGGGGTTCAGAGTCCAAATCCATTGCAATTATTTTCAAATCCGATTTCAGTTTGTTACTGAGTTTTTTGGGCGGCCCTAGGTCAATCTTCTTCCCACTTCAGTTACAACCACCTCATTTTTACCACCCTTACTTTTTACTGTTATTTCAACAATCAATAATTGTTCCCGAATTTATAGAAACTAATCCAAGTTACCTTTTTAAATCTTTATTGTCTTCAGTCCTCAGAAAAAGCAGGAGAGAGAATTTATGAGATTCCAAAGCAGGAGGGAATTCTTTTCTGGGACTTCCCCTTCCACTAGAAGATATATAACTTTGTTCCTCTGAACAATCGTCATATTTCTCTGCAAGTGGGGGGACCTCAGATTTTTTATCAGCATCTATGCTTTGGGTTGGCAATTCCACGATTACTGGATTACCAAGATTTTCGATAGGACCAGTTGAAGCCGGTTCTAGGACATCCATGGCATTTGAGAAATTTTCTGTGGCACCTGGGGGCACATTCATGACATTATTATTATTTATGACTTCGGAAGAAGTGTTTGTGGCATTAGATGATTCATCTGTGGCATTGCTGGGATTATTTGTCATTGGGGTTGGGTGTTCTACGCTAGGTGTGATGTTTGTATCGATGTTAGGGGATTTCCTCTCTTCAGCAGATATTTTGGGAGCTTTACTAGGGCTCTTTGTCCTACTCCCAATTTTAGTTTTACTCAAGTTATGAACGCTACTCCCCCTAAAGGGTCGCGGGATCAACTCAATCGTTACCCCCACTACGATAGAGGGGGTTTTCACAATTATGGGTGAAATTGCGCTTGACGTCACTTTCATTTCTGATTTTTCGTAACTTTTTTTAAACTCCTCATTTTCCTCCGTTGCCGTGGTGATTAGATATTGTTCCGGGTCACACGATTCAATTTCTGGTTCTGGGGCTAACTTGTCGAGTATATGAAGACTTGTAACCTTGAGGTTGGACATGGAATAGTTTGCTGAGAAAAATAAAAGTATGGGAGTCAGTGACAGAAACCAATATGTGTTTGTGGGTGCAATAGCCTAGCAGCGCAGGGATGGTGACGCCCTGACCCACAGGTTGCAGTGTGCCGAGATATGTTTGTTGGTGTCTTGTCAAAAACACAAAACACCCAACACAGATTGTACTTGCTAATTTGACAGGTAGTTATGAATGTTTGACCTTTGACCCCATAAGAAGTGTAGAGAAAAATGCAACACCAAGCTTCTCCTTGGTTTACACAATAATTATTGCAAATACATAAACATTGAATTTGAAATACAAAAAGTAAAATAAATGTTGTTATCAGATTTTTTATTTTGTACAGTTTAGAATTAAATAAAACCAATTTTGGTACTCCCGTAGTGTGTGTACCAGGTTAGGATTAGTCCATAATTTTATTCCAATTTTCCTTATTTTAATTCTATTACGGGGAAGTACGGGGACTGTTTGTGTTAGTCAAGTGAATATACCCCCTGCCCATAGGTTTCCGTCCCTTTACACAACTTGATGTAAAGTAAGCGAACAAAATTAGTTACCTCCATATTGGTACACATACTTGGACTGCCCCAATTTGTTACTACCGGATGGCAAAATTACTATTTTAATTTGAAATATTCTACAGCCAAAACACATAATTACTCATACGAACAGAATTTATTACAAATTTACCATGATCGTACCTGAAACAAAGCTTTCAGCATTTGGAAAGTTCTCGTGCTTGAGTCGTCGTCGTAGAGAGAAAAAGACGCTTGATTTGCAAACTGATGAGATGCTTTGAAGCTGAAATGCAACAAGAAAAAGTTTTTTTATCCTTGTTATGAAAGTTATTAGGTAAGGGCTAAAATATACTGTTTGACGTAAGTAATACTAATCTAATGACAACTTTTGCTTGACTCCATCTGTTGAAATCCAACAATCTTGTTGCATGTGAATTAAAAATAAAATACATAGTAATTCGAAGTGTGACGGAGGTGTTTGACGGTCGCCATATTCTTAACTATATGCTAGCCATTTCACTTCTGAACATTCTGGGTACATGACCTGGCTAGAGGCTGTGAATTGCAATATGATCAGACCATCTTATTGGTTTGCTTTTATCCCCAGACAACTATAAAAACCCTATCCATCGCACTCGTAAATTATGTGTAAGTGGACTGGTGGGTGGACTCCATAGAGTGATGCACGTAACTGCTGAACGGTTACGGCTTTTTCACCATAACAAGTTCATGCATCGGAAACAAACAACATTGCATACCCTGGCATGGACCGTAATCAAATGACACGCTGTGGTTCACAACATAATTACGCTGCCTCGCCGGCTTTCCACTCCTTAGAATATTTCTTAAAAAACTTACCTCGGGCATCATATCACTGACATCCCATGTTGCCAGATATCCATCTCGTGAAGCAGCTGCAATGATATTTGAGTTCTCACCAGCAGTGATAAAATCCAATGTGGGAATAACCTTTGACCTGCCCTCTGACCCTGCTATGTTGACCTCTGACCCCTCCAGGTTTGTGAAAGGGTTTGGCAATGCAGGTTGTGTAGCATAACTTACAGAGATCGGTACGTTAACTGTCGGTTCACAACACACAAACGGACAGGATGGTGAATGGCGTTCGTGTTCAGACCTGTAAAAACCAAATAATTCAAATTAATTGAATCTACCTGAATTGATATTCGAATAGTGGGAGGCTAGTAAATAGTGAGACATACTGATACTGGGGAATATAAAACCAATGCCTAAATGTTCTAAACAAGAAGTAACCAAACTTTTCAAATTCATTATACATTTACTTTCTATAATACAAATCATGGTACAAGTATACCTGCTTCATTAAAACCGGATTATGACAAGGAAAAGATTTCGAACATACACAATTAGGCGATGAATCGCATCATTTTTGTTCGCATAAATAGGATAGGAGGAGGATAGGATTTACATATTTATCCCGGGGGAGAGGAAAGCCGATAAGATGGCTTATCCATATGGCGAACCACGGCCTCTCGTCCGGTTACCATTCCAAGTCGGGTATGGGATTAGTTTTACTGTATTGTTTGTTTTCGGAAGCATGGACTTGGTGGTGGAGGAAGCCGTAACCGACCAGCGGTTACGTGAACCACCCAACGACGGCGAGGAGTCCAGCAATCCTCTCGCACATAACCATCCCTGCATCCCTGCGAACCAACGCAGAGTAGTTGGAGGTGCGGTGGCGAGCGTATTCCTAACGCTTAGCCCGTTGAGCCACACCGCCGCGCCATGTCCGATATCGCTAGCCATGCTGCTCCCTCAACATTGATTTTAACAGATTTGATCATTTTATGTCAAATATTAGACACTGGCAGATTTGTACCTTGATATGTCTGTTAACAGTTAAAGTAAAACCGTTAACCATCTAAAATTGGTTAGCCAAGTAACCAGTTGACCATTCACTGCCCTAATTCTGACCATAACACATGTGCAAGATACTGACAAGGTTCAAGCATTGTTTTATGCAAATATGAATAATAAATGATCAAAATTCTTACCATGGTTCATCAGATGGTTCCCAACAGACAAGACAAACATTGCAAGCAAAGCACATCGCTCTGTCGTCTCCTGCCGCTGCTGGTTGGTGATAGAAGCCTGCCTCTGCCATCGCATGTGGGAGAGCATATCTGAAAATAATGAAGATTATATAAGAGAATTGAACAATAGGAATAAAGAGTCAATATTTTGCCAGTATTGTGTGGAACTATTTGATTCAAGAGTCTTGCTGCACACTAACACGAATTTCGGGTCGGGCTCGGGCTTCAGATCTTGACTCTACCCTACAACAGCAGGAAGTCCAGAAATCCTCTCGCACCTAATTATCCCCAAGATGATTCAACCTTTGAACCCACACAGGGTGATCAGGTCAATGACAATCGAATTCCTAACGCTTAGCGAGATCCAAGCATTTCTACCACCCAGCTTCCGTTGATTATCAAACTCCAATTATTTTTTGCATTCATAATATTTTTCCTACATTTTTCACCGCTAATTTCCATGGTTATGAAACAATATTTATTGATTGGTACAGCAGAACATTTAACAAGGTGATGGTAATGCTACTCCTTCGATTTGGAGACATGGAAGCCACTATTTCAATAATACCCTATGGCATGGGCAGTACAGCCCAGGGGCTCTACAAGTTTACATTCATATCCGAGAGTCTATACAGGGTGTTAAAAAGTAATGCAAAATTAACAGAAACTAGAGCTGCGTGCAGCTTTAACAGGCTTCCCGCGTAAAAAAAACTGAAGACGCGTTTTGCCCACTGGAGCGTGAAAGCGTGGTCAGTCATGCATAAAATTTGCAATTTATGATGGGGGACTTATTATCTGCATGTGATTTAAATTTCAAGTCTCTAAGTAGTGTCGTTCTCGAGAAGAAGATGAAAATGTAAAATCCTATTTTGCTCACTGGAGCGTATCGCCGAGGTCACTCATGCGTATCCTTGACATATCGTATCCGGAACATGTCCATTAATCATTGTTATGAATTTCAACCCAATAGCATGTATCAATTTTGAGAAATCGCGAAAAAACTGAAAACGCGTTTTGCTCACTGAAGCGTGAAAGCGTGGTCAGTCATGCATAAAATTTGCAATTTATCATGGGGGACTCATTATCTGCATGTGATGTAAATTTCAAGTCTCTGAGTATTGTCGTTCTCGAGAAGAAGATGAAAATGTGAAATCATATATTGCTCACTGGAGCGTATCGCCGAGGTCACTCATGCGTATCCTTGACATATCGTATCCGGAACACGTCCATTAATCATTGTTATGAATTTCAACCCAATACCATGTATCAATTTTGAGAAATCGCAAAAAAACTGAATACGCGTTTTGCTCACTGGAGCGTGAAAGCGTGGTCAGTCATGCATAAAATTTGCATTTTATTGCTAGCTGAGAACTTCTGCACATTTGAGGTGAATTTCAAGTTTGTAGGACCAATTTGAAAAAAAAATAATAAAAATAAATAATAATAATAATAAATAATAATAATAAAACACAGGAATACAATAGGTTCCCTGCTGACAAGCAGCGGGAAGCCTAATTAAGATGAAATCCTACTCAAAACAATTAACGATTGACACCTTTTAGCAGTATTGAATTACGGTGAAATGCCATTTAAACATTTCACGACTGACTATTTTCAACATTACCATGACATAAAATTTTAGTTTATTTTGCGTAGCTTTTTCAACACCCTGTATTAATATACAGATAGTGTTTAAATATAATAAAATATCTATTAGGTGTGCCAATATTATAAAACTTGCTACACTTTAATAAAGATGAATTCACTTAGTCAATATTAAGTTGACATCGTTAAATCATAAGATTAAATTAGGCAGGCACCACACACAACGCTCTCTCTAACAGCCAGAGACATCAAAATTGAATAGTGTCATCTTTGTGTTGTGGTGTTTCGGTTTATTTTTACCTCATGTCTCGAACTCCCAATTATTTTTTGCTTTCCTGATAATCACTCTCCATGGTTATAAAACAATATTTATTGGAACAGCAGAACATTTAACGAGTTCGTATTCCTAATGCTTAGTATGATGTACCAACATCCGAGCATTTCTAATTAAATATCGCCTACCGGTAGCTTCCGTTGATTTTCAAACTCTAATTATTTTTTACATTCATAATATTTTTACCACCTAGGCTACCTTCCATGGTTATAAAACAATATAAATTGGAACAGCAGAACATTTAATGATGTTCGTACTCCTTCAATTTTGGAGAAACGGAAACCGCTATTTCAATAATAAATAAAATAATATGAATTCAAATTTTTGATCGGTTCATGTTCTCATTTACAGACTGAATTTATAGAAATTGCGTCTAGTAATAAAGACTATGAAGAGGTACTAGGATGTTGTGTATTGAATTACAAGACCTTTCTCCTTACTTCCCAGTGGTTCTCAACCTTTTGGAGGCTTTTAGCACTCACGCTTTTAGCCCCCGTTTATCATTCCAATAGTATTTATAGTGTTATTTTGACTGGTAGATTCCAAAACCCATTATGTTCAAACAATTCATGCCAGACAAAGTAATAACACCCCGAGAAATAACCTTATCAAGCAATGGGAATGAGAAGAATGGCAAGTGTTCTTGTAAAGATAAAGTAAAATCAGATTTGCACCTAGCATTGTGGCTTGTGGCCCACTAGATGGGCCAAGGGCACCCAGTTGGGATCCACTGCTTTATCCCATTTAAGACCTGGACTCGTTTCATGGATTGTTCAATTGAACTCTTATCTCATTGCTCTCCACAGGAAAAAACACATAAATTATACTCTATCCCTAATCGAACACCTGTACAAGACCACCCAAGATTAATTGAAGACATTGAACAAATTCCTAGGGTCGCTGGCGTTGTCCATATTGAGCATATAACAGAGAAAAGGCCAAAATTAAAAGAGGTCGCCAACATTAAAAAAGTAGAAAGAGACACTGCTTTAAATCATTTATTCAGCCCCAGATGAGATGGGGTACAAGTCTGAGATCTTTTATCACCCAGCGAAGCGGACATTATTTAAGTCTACCAGAACCGTCCACAAAATTATCATTTATTTACGAAATAAACAAAATGGATGAGATGGGGTTCAAGTCAGAGATCTTTTATTAACCTGCAAAGACGACATTGTTTAAGTCTACGAGGACTGTCCACAAAATTATCATTTAACTACTAAAAAAAACAAAATGCCTACTTGTATTTTGAATGTGGCCATTCTGTGAACGTAGCTCTTCTTGTTAATTCTGCATACATCAGCTCACGAGATGGCATCCTAATGACAGGTCCATGGCATCCTTAATGAAAGAAAAATCATATTAATCTGTCGGACTAGCTTGCCGATAATCGTGATAAGTCGTCTAGCACAGAATCCAAGCAAAGTATGTGCTAATACCTCATGTGACGCCATGGAATTTGAAAAAAATAAATACACTAGAGAAAATGGACTGTGAATGAAAACACTGGACTGTGATTAATGAAGCATTGCCCACAAAAGCGAGAAAGCCCCCTTCAAACCGGGGGTATGTGACATTTTTTGGTGGTGGGCCATATAACCAACTTCAGATACACACAAAAAAAATTTAGTTTTTCCATGCAGGAAACGCAAGGAAAGAGAATGCGGATACTGCTCAGCCGTACAGTAAAGACACTGGACATAACGACAAAAGATTTAACACAGTGACAAGAGCAAAAAACATTATCTGGGATTTTAAACATGTGAGCAACTTTTTCAATATGAACTGTCGGATTCGAATTTTATGCTTCATGGGGAAGAGTATGAGTGTTGACAAGGGCCACACTAAATGGCTCGAATGGCCGGGTTGTGGCCGCCTGTTACTATCCTCTTGCTTTGAAGCTAAGCAACAGACACTATCACCATGACTGGTAAAAAAATTTATTTAACACAATATGTTGTTACCTGGATTATCTGATGGGTTTAGCAGAACCAGTTGATGCAGCATAGAAGATACGATCGGTAATCCGTAAGAAGAATGAGATGATTCATGATATCCTGGAACCATGGATCGTTTCTCTATCGATTGCACCCGTCTGGAACAAAAAAAAATGAGATAATTTGTCAAAAATTGAATAATATATTCAGAATAACTATTAGGCTAATGCAGTAGTTCCCACGAAGCAAGGGCCAAAATGCTAGACGCAAAATTTATTTTACTTTTCCATTTACAGGAAAACTCCCAGTTCTTCCTAGTTACTTATCGATCTTGATCGGTAAGTATGTTGATAGGTATTTGTATGTCTGTTTGTATGTATGTCTGTGTGTTAGATGCACGCGATATCTCACGAAAGCGAGGTTCAATCTGCTCCAAATTTTGCATGTGCATTCATCTTAGCTTGGATCAGAAGCCTAATGATTTTGGATGGATTATGTCTCATAATTAGGGAGTTATTAACTAATTAGTGATGGGACACACGGTGTTACTATGGAGTAAGCCCACTGTTTTGGGGGATCCCCTAACCTTCGATCGATAAGTCTTCGGTTTCCAACCGAATTCTAGTTTCCTTTCTTGATAAGAATATTTCACAGGGTGTCTTCACTTTATTAGGCATAATTGGTTAGAACCTAATGGAATTCGGTATCTACTAATAAAAATAACACGATAAATACTGCCGTAATAAAAACGGGGGGCCATGACTGCTAAAAGCCTCTGGGAGGGGTCACAAGTAGGGCTGGGCATTTCGAATCGAATCGAATAGTAAATTATTCGAATCCGTTCAGAGCGAAATTTCGAATCGCCGCCATCTTGTTTTTTTCCTTTCCGCAAATTGTCGAGATAGATTTCTCAATTTTTTTTTCATTGAAGTCATATTTTTTTAACGCAATTCTGACATATGACTCTTTTCTGTAGTGAGTCATTGATAAAAACGTATTATTGTGTGCGAACGCTTAGCAATCTGTCTGAGTGATGTGTTTTACGTTTCTAGTAATTTATGTGTCTGGAGAACCCAATACAATAAGAAAGTTACATACAATTATATATCTCCCAAGTCTTCAAGATTCGATTCGATTCGAAAATTTTATTCGATTCTGAAATCATCAGGTATTCGAAAATGCCCACCCCCCGTCACAAGCCATAAAAAGTTAGAAACCACTGTGCTAATGTATCCCTGATATGTAAGAGTTACTACTATTTGAAAGATCAAAAATTTTCAGTTCAGCATGAATCAGGTCCATTACACCCTAGGTCAGGGGTTCCCAAGCTTTTTTCAGGTCGACCCCAAAGACAACTTGGTACAAACTGGTACTGGTATGGTACAAACTGCTAAATTTAACATGGTTTGTCAAAATTTAGATGTTTTGTACATCCACCCTCTACCATACTTCAGCGACCTCACCGACCCCATGACTTGTTTGCCACCATACCTACTTATCACTCCGACCCAATTTGGGGTCGCAACCCCTGGTTTGGGAACCCCTGCCCTAGGTGAACGATGGCGGGAATTTAACTAGCGACAATAACAAGAAAAACTCTCTAACCAATAGACCAGTGATTCAAACCTGTTTCGACACATAACCTTCCACTTGCTATTCAATCTTGAATAACGGATCATAAGCTAGTGCGTACATATAGCAGACTTTTGGGTATTCCGTTGTATGTGAACCAGGATGTCGGACACCGGAACATATTACGAGTTCGGGACTAGCCAAGTGATTTCCGTAGTATTCGTACTTGAAATTATAACCTAACCTGGTACACATACTACGTTCCGGTGTCCGCCATCTTGGTTCACATACTACGGGAGTACTGACTTTTGTACACATTAAACAGTATATACCCATGTATGTATTACAATAACACTAAATTACTCAAAATTATGAGTAATACAACATAAAAATACAAGTGAAATTCCCTCTTAAAAACAATGAAACCTATTCATGGCTGGGGAAACACTGGTGTAGGCCATCACATTCGCCAGTTGCCAGATATTTGATGATGATCAAAATACATAAATATTGCTCATTCGAACAAAATTAACTTGAGACATAAAACTGACTACTGAGTGAAAAAAAGTTTTCTTTACCTCTGGTGTGGAATAAACAGTGTTTGGCAAGCTGATTTGAGAGTAGAGTAGGGAAGAGATATCTTCACTGTTGTCCATTTGCCAGAAAGCTAAAACACAAGAAATAATTGTTTGATTATGGGACTAAATCAGGGGTGAGCAACAGGCGGCCAGCGTGCGAATTTCAGTTCTAAAATGAAGCTACCGGTAATCAAAAAAGTATCTCTTCCAACTAATCATTCTCATTAGATAATTAAAAAATGCTTGCATGCGATGCGTCAATGTGCTAAAAATTTCCTTTTATTTGGAATCAGTAGCAGAAGTCGTAAGTCAAAGTTTTTGTCAACCTGACGTTTTTAAATGTCTAGGAGTTGAGTGCAAATTTTTGCACACTTGATAGCTCTGGTTTGTCGTGAGTAAACTATATAAACAAGCAACTATGCAGCAGATATAACACAGGTGCCAGAAATGAGATTCGAACCTACAACTACTTACAGTCATCTTATCTCTCTCATCTGTATTACTGATTTCTTTAACCAAAATACTGAGCAATTCCTCCACTGCGTCAACATCTGATCCTTCAATCTTGGGTTTCTGATTGCCACCATCTTGTGCCGAGGATGTAAAATCACTATCTTGAATGAAATTGGTCAGCAGCCGAGCCTGAATAATAAGAATATTAATATTGCTTCAACGTAAGTCAGCCATAAACAATTAATTTAACATTTCAAACTTCTGCTTTTGTATGTTTGTACCCAAAAGTTTCTGTAATCTGGGACGTTCTGACCAAAGTTACGTTATCTTAAAATAAGTTTAAACTAATCTAAGTTCAGTTTTTTATGAGGGTCGCCCTGTATATTGACTACAATATTCTATTTGTTGAATATGACCTATTTAGGATAGTTACATCCTCGCATATAAGTTGACTCCCTAAAAACGGCCCTACAACAGTGAATTTACAAAAATTCGCATATAAGCCAACCCTACAAATCGTAACATGCCGTACGATTGTAGATGTTGGAATTAAGTTAGCATAACGACATTTCATGATCAAGGTCAGTGGCGCAGCCAGTGGGGGGGGGGGGGGGGTTCGGGGTCGAAACCCCCCCCCCTTTTGAATTTTCTGAAAAGTGAAAAAGTTGCCGATAACACGTGCAATTGCCTTCTGCTAAAATCGCCGTTCGTTTTTTATCAATGCGGCATATTATTTATGCCGTGAACGCCCTTTACATTGGTGTTCATTCTCTTTAAATCACAAATTTGTGCCGCGGGAACAATGATAATTATTTTATTTTTGTACCCGCACGGAAATGTGAAAACTGAAAAAGCGTGCAATTGCCTTCTGCTAAAATCGCCATGTTTTCATCAGCGTGTTATTAAGGCCGTGAATGCCCTTACGTCGGTTTTTATTCTTTCTAAATCATAAATTTGTGCCACGATAAACATGATAATTATTTTATTTTTGTACTTTGCACGGAATTGTGAATTCGTGAGTTATTATACGTTCATCGGTGGCGAGGTTCTAAAGACAAAAGGAGTAAAACCGCGATCTAAATTTGATTGAAAAGCGGCATTATAAAATACTGAAAATAAAACCGTAAACAATATCAGTTTTGTTGAGTCCCGCGACAGTCTAAAAACGTTTTTCTAGTCGCAAAATCGCAAAATTTCGTGTGCCTACGGCGCACATTATGTTTGGTCGCCGTTTAGTAACATACCGTCACTAAAATCGAAACACGATTAATTGTGGGTGGGATTTGCCTTTTATCCATTACTTTAAAATTGTCGTAGAAAATTTTCATGTTATCATTAAACAAGGTTGAAAACACGATTTTTCCCCGGTTTGTGATGATATATAAGATAATTAATCCGAAGTATATCCATCAATTTTTATTGTACTGAAATAAATGTTACTCCATGAGAATTTACAGCAGATTTAGGGATTTTTCAGGAGGTTTTATCTTTAAAAATAATCGGAGTGTCAGCATTGCGATTGAACGGAGTCACTGTTACAAGCACATCTTAAATTTGTCGAATTTGCGAAATAAAAAAAATACGGATCAAAACAATATATGATAGGCGACGGGCAGTTACCACAAATTTTTATTTTTATGTCGGCAAATGGCTGAGGTATTTTAAAATTGTGGATTGTAAAAAATTGTTTTGTTTTGTCGACGCAAACGCTGGTTAAATTGAAGACAATTAAATTAATAAAGCAAGACATTTTAAATATGCCCTTATCGGTCACGAATTGATTACTTTGCACAACAGAAAAATCATTTTTCGTTGTAAACGTCGGCTCTTTTAACAAGTGGCGTAATCGCGGCGATGAATATGTATTTTTGATTTAACGATATACTTCATATGCATTTTCATTGTACTTTTCGGGATTTTATATCAGATATTGAGATTTTTCTAACGGCGATAACGAGTTGGCAAGATTTCAAAAATACGTATTAAAATTAAATACACCGTTTATCTCATATTTTTATGTCCACCGATCGCCGTGGCATTTCAGAGAACTAATGTTTTAATTTTGACGTAAGAAGAAGCAACCCCGAGTTACGTTGGACACAATTAAACTAATATATAAAGACATTTTAGAATTTTGTAATTGTCAGAGATTGAACATTTCACGCGACAAGAATAATCATTATATGCTGAAAAGACGTCCCTTTAACGAGCACGTAATGCGAAGACTGTTACAGACCGCAATGGGAATTTATGATTATGAAACCCCCCCCTTTTGAAAATCCTGGCTGCGCGCCTGATCAAGGTTATGTGTGAAAAGCTGAATTTTTAGTGTGATGAGAGTCATGTGCATAATATAAGCCGACCCCTTAGTTTGGCAACCTTTTATAATAAGTTTTAAACTCTGCTAAAATGCCAGAATATACAGTAATCGAAATTCCATATTCTGAAATAATATTTTAGATCGTATTTCGACATCGCTGATCAGAAGGATCTATTTTGATCAGCCAATGGTAGAGAATACCACAAAAAAGAATACTTACATCAGAAATTGGTAGTTCAAGAATCACTGCATCTGTATTTGCAGAAACAGGAGTTTGAAGAGCGGTGTTGATGAGAAGAATTCCGTTATTATCAAACCGGTATCCAACCGATTGACTGTCAGTTATTGCAACGCTTCGTTTTGATTTATGGTAGCAACATTTCAATCTCTTTTTCGGTTTTGTACCTGTGATTTTTTCAATACAAATTTGGCATTAGTTTATTAATGGGTGCTACTGGTATATTGTTTTGTCTGAAGAATTCAAACTATTATCTAACGCAGTGGTTCCCAATCTTTTATGACTCGTGGCCCCTTTCCAGAGGCTTTCAGCACTCATGCCAACTCCCCCCCCCCCCCCCCCCCCCCCCCCCCTACCCCTCTGTTTATCATCCCAGTGGTATTTTTTAAAGTGTTATTTTGATTGGTAGATTCCAAATCCCATTATGTTTAAACAATTCATGCTCACCCTGTCAAATAACCTTATCGAGCATTGAAAATAGGAAGAATGGGGAGTGTTCTTGTAAAGTGAAAAGTAAAATCAGTTTTGCGACGAGCCTTGCGGCCCCCTCCAACTGCTCTATGGCCCACTTGGGTGCCGAGGGCCCCCAGTTTGTAACCATTGATCTAACGAAAGCTAACAAATATAGATATTATTTTGAAGTAAGTGATTATGTTATTCTTATGTATCACTTCAATACTATCTCATACAAGCAGCCTTGTGGTAATGGCCACATACAGATCCAAAATAAGAGGTAAACAAGGAAAAAGGGACTGCACTACAATACACGATATTAATTTTCATAGTTCATAGTCATAGTTCATAGTCACAGACTAGTTGGGGGCACAAAACTGATATTACATTTACATGGACTTGATAAATATCACTGGAATGATAAACATGGGGCCCATGAGTGCTAAAAGCCAGGGGCCATAAAAGATTGGGAACCACTGGCCTTCACCCACTGCAGTTCAATACACAATAGGGATTTTCCTAGTGATATTGCCCTTACCATGAATTACTTGTTGTAGAGTAACACCAGAATTTTCATCGAAAATTTTTATCGTATTTTCTTTTGTAATTCCCAGTACTGCATTCAATGAGGCATGATATTCCAATTGCTCCATAGCACCAGCATGTGGCACGCTATCATCGCAGAAGGAAAACCAAGTTTCCTCATCCATAATTTAAGTTCGATTGTTAGGTAATATCTATTTCCTATATAAAGTTGGAAAACATATGAGACAGAGATGCCTAGTATAATCAATCTCGAAGTTATCGGTACTCACTACAGTACGGCCCCCAGATTAAAAGACATAAAGTATAACAGTGAGTGCAAAACCCTCTTTTACAAGAGGGTCTGGAACTCCATATCAGCACAACACGTCAAATCGGCACTGCGCAACAAACTAAAAGATAGCACAACCTAAAAATGTCACTATTGGATTCCTATGAAAAAAATAATTCTATTTACTGAAAATAAAAATCTTCCGTAGCAGTCAAGAGACAATTCATTTAAATTAATATCAAGACAAGCATGGTGCGATCTGACCCAACTGCCGTCATGCCAGACGTCCTCTTTTAAGAGAAAAATAGAATGTTTGTTTTATTGAATTAAATGTTGAGAAATACGAGAACTTCGCCCTACTGCACTAACACTCATTTCTTCGCTGTGTTTCTTTATGGAAGTGGTCGGCAGTAACTTTGATAGACTCCGATTATGAGCTGAAAAAAAATTTGTCTCATATGGCAAATCTCAGACTCTCATTTGGTAACCAAGCCATTCGAAGTCAATTCAATCCATACAGTACGGCACACTATACAAATCAGGAAATAGTTGTCCCGTTTCAGAGAAACCCATTTTACAGATGATCAGACACCCCTCCTTCGGGAGACGTCTGGACAACGTTGTCCCTCAATTTCGTTAATAATACAGTATAATGAAGTTTCGCAAAATACTACAAAAAAGCGCAATCTCGTAACGTCATCATTGAATTCCTTGGAAAAAAATAATCCATTTTACAAAAGGAAAAAAATTTTACCGTAGCATTCGAGAGTTTTTAGCAAACAACGGGAATTTTGGTCATGTGACGGCCGCGATTAGTATTGAGACAAGCATGGCGTGATATGAAGCATCTATCGTGGTCCCACACGCTCCTCGTTTGTGAGACAAATTGAGTGTTTGTTTTATTGAACCAAATGGAGAGGAATTCTTGGAATTTGGATAGTGTGCCGTACTGAAAGAACTTCTTATGTATTTCTGAGAAAAGAAACAGAAGGAAAGCTAATAATGACATCTCATTTAGTGACCCACCAAACTGACAGATACAGTCTAGAAAAAAGTTGTCAGTTACCGATATTAGGTAACTTATTTTCAAGATATTCTGAAGCTGACAAGACACCCATGAGACTTTCCAATATCAGGAGACTGATATCCATCTACATATTCAGATTTTGCACATCTACTAATTTATTTTCACGACATTACCAAAATATCTAGCTGGCAGCGTTAAACCACACTTCGGCACTTCGTCAAAAAAGAGCCCTTCCTCATATTGCTAAAGTACTGACAAGAACTCCCAGGCTCAACTTTCTTTTTCAATATTTTCCTAATTTAATTTTTTTCGTTTTCTTATTTTTGTCAATATGAGAGTGAATTAAAATTATTTCTTTTCTCCTTATCCTAACGCATATATGTCTGGCATTAAGACCACCCACAAACAGTTCAACCACAATCAACCAACAGAAAACAGAAACAAGTAACTGAAAATCAAAATCGAAATTCAATCATAAAATTGGGCTTGGTGGTGTGGCGCATCGTGCTAAGCATTAGAAATATGGTCGCCATCGCGCCTCTGATTACTCTGCATAGGCATTGCTGGGGTCTCATGTAGTTTCGTACCTAACGTACTTCCAGAAGGCGTGGCATAACAATTTTTTCACGTATCAATCCTAACCCCCACCTGACTTCGCCATCCAAAAATCACGTCACTACGACGTCACAGTGACGTAATAGACCCCTTCAAACTATACGAACTGTCACCCAAGACGCGCAGACGAGAACCCGAAATCGAACAGTTATTTCTCTCGTTTTCTCGTCACAATGATCCCGATAGGAGCGAGATCGCGGACGTCAGTCAGTTCTTTATTGTCGGCGCCGATGCCATTTCGGGCGATCGTATGTGTATTTGGCAAGCTCCATGACGTGATTGTGACGTCGTAGTGACGTCATTTTTGGATGGCGTAGTCAGGTGAGGGTTAGGATTGACATGTCAAAAAAATTTTATGCTACGCCCACTAGAAGTACATTAGGTACGAAACTACACAAGACCCCATTGCTTGACCTTTCGTCGTCATAGTAGGATGGTTCACATAACCACTGATCGATAACGGCTCACTCCGCCATTCATCCATCTGTCCATGGTTTCGAAAACACCAATCTCATAGCCTATACCCGACATCAGGATCAGGACATGGACAGGTACCGTATGGTGATGCTGTAAGGCATGAATCTGAAAAACGGATGATATACCGCTGTACCGTGGTCCGTGTCCGACATGACCCTTCATCTGCCCCGATTTAAATAGAGAAATGTGTGAACCCTGTCTGCCTGTCCTAATTCAGTACAGTAATTACAGAATTATAAAAATTTAATTTGTCAGCTACGGAGTTAAAATTAAAAACGTACCTAATGGACAGTTTTGGATTAGGCCTAACTGTACAATATGTGATCTCACCCTATAACAATAACTAACTAAAACTTTCACATCTTAATATCTGACTATCTGAAGAATAGATTGGTGGCGAACTGCGGCTGCTCTCACAGCCTTAGCGTATGACCTTGTTACCGTTTTACGTAAGTACCGGTACCGTAGCCAGGCTTGACGTTTACTCATGTACTCCTTAACTGAGTAAATAAGACAAACATGGAGTATAGAGACCCATTTCATTAATAAAAATTTTAAAAAAGTAGAATTTAATAACTTTTATTCACGGAACTTGCCAGAAAGAGCAAAGGGGAAAGAACGCCAGGTCATGCGTGACCAGGTCCATTTCCTCGACCCTTCCAAAGTTATCAAAACCAAAGCATCTGTGGAATATTTGATCATGGAATCAATTCTTTAAATATTTATACCTGTTACTTCTTCAAATTTTAATTAATTAATTTTTAGCAAAATATTGGCTAAAATATTATCTGGCATCTTAATATAAACGTATTTCGCAATTACGACCACCAGTCGGTTAAGAAAGTCACGCGCTCTCACTCAGTAGAAGTACAGGGGATAGGATAGGATAGGATTTACATATTTATCCCGGGTGGGAGGAAAGCCGATAAGACGGCTTATACATATGGCGAACCACGGCCTCTCGTCCGGTTACCATTCCAAGTCGGGTATGAGATTAGTTATATTGTTTGTTTCCGGAAGCATGGACTTGGTGGTGGAGGAAGCCGTAACCGACCAGCGGTTACGTGAACCACCCACTCATGTATGAGTGAGGTTTTAGTCGACCATTGAGACTATATATATTTTTATGGTAGCGCTTTACGGGCCGGCAAATGTCAGCCGACCCGAGATTTGAAGCAATTCGTCTGAGATCAGAAACAACGAATTCGAGGTACCGATACTGACAATAGTGAAGATAGCCTATAAGTTTGCTAAGTGGACGTCGGTTGTTCAGTCAAGCATATTTGTTGATATTGGTGGATTTCGTTCTACCACGTTTGGTATATTCACTCGAACACCATCTTAAGTACCGATATGACAGGTTTACACTTTCGCTCTTTTTAGTACTGTAGTCAGTAGTGTATTTTTGTACTTCATCCCAAGTTACGCTTGCCTTCCATGTATGGTAACTCTGCAATTTGTTATTTTATTGTTTTATAAAATCGATTGATTTGCTCGGCGGTGTGGCGCATCGCGCTGAGCGAATACGCTTGCCAACCCACCTCTGATTACCTGCGTGCAGGCGTGTGCGTTCGTAAGTTTGAATCCCGTGAGTAATGATTATGTGCGAGAGGATTGCTGGACGGGACTTCCGTAGTATGCGTAGTAGCAGGTTAGAGTTAGGCCATAATTTTATTCCGATTTTTCTTATTTTAGTTCTATTAAGAGTTCGGGGACTGTCTGTGTTAGCTAAGTGAATATACCCATATGTTTCAGTCCCTTTACACAACTACATGTAAAATAGGCGAACAAATTTAATTACCTCCATATTGGTACACATACTTCTGGAGCGCCTGCGGGACTCCTCGTCGCCGTAGGGTGGATCACCTAACCGCTTGGTCGGTTGCGGTTCTTCCACCATTAAGTCAATACATCTGAAACTAATAACTGGCTAAATAATCCTAAACCCGACATGGACTGGTAACCACACGAGAGGCTGTGGTTTCCTGTGTGATACTATGATTGATCTGTCTTATCGACCTTCCTCTCTCCCGGAATAAATATGTAAATCCAATCCTATTGATGAATTACTCGAGGACGACTGAAGCATTACTAATTTGTAGATGGCGGGCTGCAATCAATATGGGTTCAAATCCAACACGATATTTCAATAGATAAAAAGTGCAGTAAATGAAACAACCTAAATTAGATGTCCCGCGAGTCCACGTACTTGAAATCTCACATTGCACCGGAAGAACGGTCAATGACGCTCAGAGTCTATCGCAGTGGTTTTCAACCGCCGGTCGGCGACAACCTTGCTGCCGGTCCGCCGAATATATTGCAATGTTAATTTATTACAAGCAAAGTATTGGCGGCATGTCCATTAATTTAGTGATTCTTTAACTCCTATTGATTCGTAGTACGCGATATTCGTCTAACAACCAAACTTAGTGAGAGGTCCTCTGCCCATTTCAGGCCCTGAACGGCTGGATGTTCGTTAAGTCTATGACCGGTCAATTAAGTCATAACGGTGGCTAATGTCATAACGGAGCAGTTTGAAAGTACGGTACCTGATTGGGAACTTCGCAGTTCGCACATTCCGTAATTTGACAGTAGGCCTATAATTTAGCGAGGTTTGATAGTAAAATGGAGGTACCAATATGCCCAGTCTGCGCCAAAATTCTTTCAAACGACGCAATGAAACCCGCAAAGCTGACGAAATCGTTGGATTTTCTTCTTTTGCACCGCCCACTTTTGTCTTAATTGCATTCTTTTGATAATGTTTTGTGTTTATGACATTTTTGGTTAATTTGAAAAGTCCGCCGGTC